ATATTATGGACAAACTTTGTAGATATTAGATTTTATTCTCCCTCTGACACTATAGATAATGAAGTTTTATCAACTCCCTTTTATTACAGCTATCTAAAAATGTATCATGTAATAGAATCGTAAACATTTAATGAAACTCAGTGCTGCACTGAATTTTAAAAATGAAATTTTTAGGATAGACAAGTAGATTACCAGGATGTGTTTTTATATATCTAAAAAGTGCTGTTGAAGTAACTCTTTCAATACTAAACCAAGCCCACTCCACACACAAACCTATTAGAAGTGGTGCGCTGTGATTTATTTCAAAGTGTCTCTTTTTTGTCAATTGCTGCTTTAAACCGCGTAAAGGGCCAAGCCTACAGGAGTGAAAATGCAGAAGCTGAGCTCTGCCATCTTTCCAGAACAGAACTCACTTCATCAGGTTTAACAAGTGTTTCCAAATACATTTCTGGTGCATTTTCCTGTACCTAATATTCAGGCGGAGTCAGATCTTACTCTAACAAGGCAGCTGCCAGAGGGATCCTCTGCCTAGCAGCTTTGGCTGAACAGGATCACATATCTTCTTCTGGTCAGTGTTGTCAAATCATTGCAGCCTGTTATTTTCTCTGTTGTTCTATGTTTTTCAGTTATGATTTATTGATATATAGTGTTATGAGTTTAGTAGAGGGGTAGGCTGTATGCCTGAGCCCCTTTCTAATTCCTGGATCCAGCACAGATTCAGTTCCTGGAATAGCTAGGCTAGCTTCCTAGTGAGGTATTGGCCCTCCAAGTATGGGCCATTAAGGTAACAAAGGAAGTGTCTCTGTGCCAGATAGAAAAAGGGTGGGACCCCCTCCCTCAACTCACCGCTAATTAGAAAGGCAAAAGCCAGAGTTGTGAAAATAAACCATATTTCCTAAAGACACCACAGTCTCCGCTGTCCCTCAGTCCAAGGAAACCAAACCCTGGGTAAGTGCCTGGAACCCCTGGAATCTTGCACTGCTTGGAGACTAGGGTGGTGTGCAACAATATAAGGACTTGTCTGTCCAGTGTGAACAAACAAAGATTATGGGGGCTTTTCAGGGTGTTTATGCCTTTAATTTCCGGCCACTGCTGCTTCCTCTTCCTCTTCTTATCATTAACATGATGGGAGGAGGATTAATAAGGAATACCTTCTTCATTGCCCCTTGAATAGGTAAAGGTAAAGGGACCCCTGACCATCAGGTCCAGTCATGGCCGACTCTGGGGTTGCAGCGCTCATCTCGCTTTATTGGCCAAGGGAGCCGGCGTACAGCTTCCGGGTCATGTGGCCAGCATGACTAAGCCGCTTCTGGCGAACCACAGCAGTGCACAGAAACGCTATTTACCTTCCCACCGGAGCGGTACCTTTTTATCTGCTTGCACTTTGACGTGCTTTTGAACTGCTAGGTTGGCAGGAGCAGGGACCAAGCAATGGGAGCTCATCCTGTTGCGGGGATTCGAACCGCCGACCTTCTAATCGGCAAGCCCAGCTCTATGGTTTAACCCACAGCGCCACCCGCGTCCCTTATCCCAGTTCTAGGACAGCTTAATTAATAATTCTCTAATTCATAAATATGTTTTGCAGTGCAATCCTAATCAGAAATGAGTGTTATTGAGTTTCATGGGACTTTCTTCCAGGTAAGTGCACCCAGAATTAAATGTTTGCAAAGACTTTTAGATGCTTCCAGTCCATGACTGGTGCAATGGATGGCTTTAGGCCATTAGAATTCTGGTTCAAATTTCACTTTGTGTCTCTCCCATACACTAACCCATTCTCACAAGGACTTGCCATGACTGATAGATAAAAAGTTCTAAGGCCATAGCTTAATTTATTATTACACTACTTAATGTCAAAATAGGATTCCAAGAGGAGATTTCTAACTCTGTCCAACTGTGTCTTCAGACAATAGTGTATTTCTGTTGCCAATCTGTATTTGAGCCATTGTCCTAATTGTCAGTATGAACCAGATTACATAAGGATCCTCTCCCACCTAGTAAGCAAAAATGTGGTTCCAGTGAATTGAACTCTGGCTTTATACAAGCTGCACAGTTATTTAATGATTACGCTTCACTGTAATATCAGAAATTTTAAAGAGTGCATGATTTTAACAGACGTCTCTGCCATCTGTGCTTCTCCAATTAGAAATGCAAACAAATAAGTATTTTACAGTAACATCAGTTAAATGTAACACATGTGATGTATCCTTTCTCCTTTTAAGAAACAAATCAAGCAAAAAGTCTTCCCCCCGTCTTCTTTTTTGAAAAGATGAATGTGAAAAAAAGTTGTTTCTGTGGCGCAAAAGCATCTGCTGCAAAGATCATTTATACTGTTTCACAAATAAAGGGAACATATATTCACTCAGCAAGGGATACCCACATGACCTGAAGGTGCTGCTGTGCAATGCCAGGTCAATGATTCATAAGACCACTGCCATGCATGACTTGATCATGGATGGAGGACTTGACCTGGCATGTGTGACAGAGACTTGGTTGGATGAAGCAGATGGGCCTGTCCTTGCTGCTGCTTGTCCACCAGGTTTCTCTTACGCACAGCAACCCAGGTCATGTGGGTGGGGAGGGGGGTGTTGCAGTGATTTTTAGGAAGTCATTAGTTTGCACCAGGTGTCCTATTGGGAAGACCCAGTTCTTTGAGTGCATGTTCTGGAAGTTGGGCAAGAGGGGCAGTACAGGATTCCTATTGGTGTACCGGCCTTCCCGCTGCACCAAGGATTCCCTACCCGAGCTGCTTCAGGTCGTGGCGGATGTTCTCCTGGAGACACCTAGTTTGGTTGTCCTAGGGGATTTTAACATCCATGCCGACACGACCTTACAACGGGCCGCTCGGGACTTCGTGGAAAGCATGGCCTCCATGGGGCTGTCCCTGAATAAGTCTGGCCCAACCCATAGCCGCGGACATGCCTTGGGCCTGGTGTTTACCTCTATGGATGTTGGTGATCTGACACTAAGTAAAAGCGAAACGAAAGAAGTGCCATGGTCAAATCACTTCCTGGTGCAACTGGACTTCTCCGTGACCCTTTCCCTCTGCAGGGAGGTGGGACCGATTCGGATGGTCCGCCCCCGCCACTTAATGGATCCAAATGGTTTCCAGAGAGTGGTAGGGGATGCTTTATCCCATGTTGATGGCCTTTCAGCTGATTCCCTGGTGGCTCGCTGGAATGTGGAATTAACCAGGGCTATTGACTGTTTGGCTCCGAAGCGCCCTCTCCAATTGGAGCCCGGACAGCCCCGTGGTTTTCCATGGATCTGAGGGCAATGAAACAATCGTTGAGACGGCTAGAGCGCCAGTGGCGGAAAACTCATTCTGAAGCTGACTGGACACGGGTTAGAGCTCAATGTCAAGCCTACCAAGTGGCGGTAGCGACGGCAAAGAAGACTTTCTTCACCGCCTCTATTGCATCTGCAGAAAACAGCAGCAGGAGACTCTTTCAGGTGGTTCGCAATTTAGCGGAACCACCTGCTACATCGGGGCCCAGTACGGGCCCTCCTGCAATGATTTTGCAAAGTTTTTTGCAGATAAAATTGCTCAGATTCGGGAAGTGGTAGACACCACCGTGGGAGCAGGGCCGGGGCGGGAGAGTGCTAGAGTCTTGTCTAGTCAAGTTGCATGGGATCTATTCTAATCTGTTACCTCCGAGGATGTGGACAGGCTGCTTGGACGAGTGAAACCAACCACCTGTCTCCTTGATCCTTGCCCATCCTGTCTTATAAAAGCTAGCCAGGAAGGGCTGGGTGATGGGCTTCATGGTGTGGTGAATGCTTCCCTCCGTGAGGGAGCCTTCCTAGACCTGCTGAAAGAGGCGGTTATTAAACCGCTTCTTAAAAAACCATCTTTAGATGCAGCCACGATGGCCAACTATCGCCCAGTCTCAAATCTTCCATTCTTGGGCAAGGTGATTGAGCGAGTGGTTGCTGATCAACTCCAGGCACGCCTGGAAGAAGCGGACCATCAGGCCTCATCATGGGACTGAAACAGCCTTGGTCGCACTGGTTGATGATCAGCGGCGGGCTAGGGACAAAGGTGAGAGCTGTTTCCTAGTTCTGCTGGATCTCTCAGCGGCGTTTGATACCATCGACCATAACATCCTTCTGGACCGTCTTGAGGGGCTGGGAGCTGGGGGCACTGTTATACAATGGTTCCGTTCCTTTCTCCTGGGCCGTGTTCAGAAAGTGGTAGCGGGGATGAGTGTTCAGACCCCTGGGCTCTCACTTGTGGGGTGCCTCAGGGTTCTGTCCTTCCCCCCATGCTTTTCAACATCTACATGCAGCCGCTGGGAGAGATCATCAGAGGGTTTGGGCTGGGTGTTCATCAGTTTGCGGATGATACCCAGCTCTACCTCTCTTTCAAATCAGAACCAGTGAAGGCGGTGAAGGTCCTGTGTGAGTGCCTGGAGGCGGTTGAAGGATGGATGGCGGCTAACAGATTGAGGAGTGGCCGCCGAGACCACATAACACCGGTCTTGAAAGACCTACATTGGCTCCCAGGACGGTTCTGAGCACAATTCAAAGTGTTGGTGCTGACCTTTAAAGCCCTAATCAGCTTCGGCCCAATATACCTGAAGGAGCCTCTCCACCCCCATCATTCTACCCGGACGCTGAGGTCCAGCACCGAGGGCCTTCTGGCGGTTCCCTCACTGCGAGAAGCCAAGTTACAGGGAACCAGGCAGAGGGCCTTCTCGGTAGTGGTGACTGCCCTGTGGAACGCCCTCCCACCAGATGTCAAAGAGAAGAACAACTACCAGACTTTTAGAAGACATCTGAAGGCAGCCCTGTTTAGGGAAGCTTTTAATGTTTGATGTATTACAGTATTTTAATATTTCTTTGGAAGCTGCCCAGAGTGGGAAGCCCAGCCAGATGGGTGGGGTATAAATAAATTATTATTATTATTATTATTATTATTATTATTATTACTCAATTATGATGATAGTTACAGGTAGGTAGCCATGTTGGTCTGCTGTAGTTGAAACAAAATAAAAAAATTCCTTCCAGTAGCACCTTAGAGACCAACTAAGTTAGTTATTGGTATGAGCTTTCATGTATCTGAATAAGTGTGCATGCACACGAAAGCTCATACCAATAACAAACTTAGTTGCTCTCTAAGGTGCTACTGGAAGGAATTTTTTTAATTATGATGATATTTTACATATTCCTGTTTTCTTTTTCTTATTGTCATTTCCCCCCATATGAAATGCCCAAATAAAGAATCAGCAAATTCATTTGTTAAGCATTCACCCCAGAAATGGTCAACTTTTGAGCATGAGGTTGAGGTCTCCTCTATAGCTGTGGAGCAGGAAGGGCAGGATCCAAAGATCCATGCAAGTAAGTTCTGTACTCCCCCTCCAAGGGGTCTTTGGGCTGCTGTTTCTTCAAGAGTAGCCCCCTATGTCACATGGTAATTGCCACATTTTAAATGGAAGGATTTTTTTGATATTCCATTGGGCATATCAGTGGAGGAAAAGTATGAAACTGCATTGGGCACAGCCAAGCCCTTAGTGTCCACATAGTAGCTCCGTAGATCTTGGCCAGGGAATTTCGGTGGGTACAACTTACCAGTGGTTTTTTTCTGGGGGACGCGGGGGACGCAAACCCCTAAACATTTTGTGAATCTTTGTAGTTTTGTCCATTTATTGTATTTATTTTTCCCAATTTGAACAATAAAATGGTGATTTTCTTGAGTCAAAATGAGAGTACCCCTAAACATTTTTTTAGAAAGAAAAGCACTGCAACTTACTATGACAGTGCGCTGAAATGGTTCGGGAAGGATTCCCTTGTGAAATTGCAGTACAGTGGTACCTTGGGTTAAGTACTTAATTTGTTCTGGAGGTCCATTCTTAACCTGAAACTGTTCTTAACCTGAAGCACCACTTTAGCTAATGGGGTCTCTCGCTGCCACCACACTGCCGGAGCATGATTTCTGTTCTCATCCTGAAGCAAAGTTCTTAACCCGAGGTACTATTTCTGGATTAGCAGAGTCTGTAACCTGAAGCGTATGTAACCTGAGGTACCACTGTATTGGCACAACTGTTGGAGGTACCACATAAGGTCTTGGGGCTGGATCATGACAGGTGCTTGTGGCCAGGGCCATCTTACCCATAGTCGCTAGGGGTGCGAGGTACCCGGGCGCCGGGCTCTCAGGGTCGCCAGGCCTAGAGTCCAGGGCCTGGGAGTTGAGTCTGGGGAAGAGCCCGCCTCTTGGGGGAAGAGTGCCGCAGTGGGCTCTTCTGCTGCGGGCGGCTCTGCGCCATGAGTTTGGGGGCGACCCATCCAGCGAGACACTGAGGCGGCTGGCCAGCTCCACCCTCCTGTGCGCCTTGGACTGGGCAACTTGGGGGGGGGGACCGGGCTGATCTTTGCACCCTGGCGCCGCATATGCTTAAGACAGCCCTGCTTGTGGCTGCACTCTCAGAAGCACTCTGGTGAGCCACTGCCGACACAGGCTGTGCATCCTCAACTTCTTCAGTCAAGGAGCTAAAGTCCCTTGACCAGGCTGGGCAGTTATGCAATGCCAAACATTGCATTTTGTGCAATGAGTTGTGGTACCAAAGGAAAGGGGAAAAGAGGGTGTTAGTTTGCAAATAGTAATTTATATCCATAACTATGGACACAAATTTAGAAATAATTACTATAATTTAAATAGATATACAATAGATTTCAGTTGACTTGTGTGCCGGTGAGGGCAATTTCCAAGGCTCCTCTGCTCATTTTTTATGGTTCCTTAAGTTTTTATTTTAAAAAATAATTTTTATTAATTTACTTTTCTCAATATCATTGCTAAACATTTTCCAATTTCCCCTCTCCCTCAACTACCACTTCTATTTTATTATATCAGAGAACACATTCTGCTGTTTATATACAATACTATGTTATCACATTGTTGTACTTCTTGTTCTCTGTAAATAAAATTGTAAATGTTTATTTAAATCCTGCCAGCGAGACCATTTCTTTCTGTTGTTTCTGCAAATATATTGTAAAGGGTTCCCATTCTTTTTCAAAGTCACTATTGTCCTTTTCACGCAGTTTGTCCATTAACTTTGCTAACTCTGCATAGTTCATCAACTTTTCTTGCCATTGTGCTTTTGATGGTACTTCTCCGGTCTTCCAATTTTGAGCTATTAAGATTCTTGCTGCTGTTGTAGCATATGGATCCTTAACTTTAAACCAGACTGGGGTTGATTAACCCTCAAAGAGAAGACTGCCTTCTGTAATGATGGTCCCCCTGGCTCTCAGGTCCTGTCACACGTCCTTCATGTGCCTCACACATCCTTCCAATCTGATGCATTATGATGGTCCTTCCAACACCCAGACACCAAAATTAGACTCCCTTCAGGGGCAAATGAACCATTTTTAGGGAGTCTTAAGGATAAATGTATGTTTATTTATATTTATATTCTCTCCCTTCGATATCCACACGTTATTCCCCAGCAGCTTGCACTTTGAATATTGTAACATTATACAACCATATGTCAGTTTACATAATGGCAAAGCCGTTTTTTGTTTTTTTTAAAACCTATTTCCCAAGTGTCATTACATAACATTAAGTGCTCAAAGGAGGTTTGGATAGGTAGCTTTTAGCTCCCTTAGGGTTCCTGGATCTGGGCCTTGTTGTTACCCGCCTTTGACTAATGGACAAATGGTTAGTTTCTCTGCAAAGACATAAGCAATAAGCATTGTAACATAATGCAGGGGGCCAGGGAGCCAAGTGAAATAAGATTTAATTTGAAAACACAAATGCTCACATTCTCCTAACAATTGTGTGGCTGCATTAGAAATCTACCGTACATCTCAGTGTCCGGGCTGAATGATGGGGGTGGAGATGCTCCTTCAGGTATACAGGACCAAGGCAGTTTTGTTCTCTTGGTTTTGGTAAGACTCAAACATTGCTAGTTTCTCTGGAGTGAGGCAAGTTATTTTTATCCACCAAAGAACTACAGCCACACAATTAGGGATGTGAAGAATTTGAGCCACACACTTTAACAGCAGGGCTTGCCTATCAGAAGGTTGGCAGTTTGAATCCCCGCTACGGGGTGAGCTCCCCTTGCTCGGTCCCAGCTCCTGCCAACCTAGCAGTTCGAAAGCACACCCCAAATTGCAAGTAGCTAAATAGGTGCCACTCCGGCAGGAAGGTAAATGGCATTTCCATGCGCTGCTCTGGTCATGCTCAGAAGCGGCTTAGTCATGCTGGTCACATGACCTGGAAAAACTGTCTGCAGACAAATGCCGGCTCCCTCGGCCAGTAAAGAGAGATGAGCACCGCAACCCCAGAGTCGTCCATGACTGGATATATAAACATATGGGGAGAAACATGAGCTTGTTTCAATATGAATATGTGATGAAAGAATAGCTTGTGGGTTTGCAGACCTATCCCCCCCCATGAACGTGCTTCTCAGTAACACCAATAATTTAGATGGTAGCACATCAAGATAACACTATGAAGGCCTTGCTAGCAGGAATACTATGTATATATATATATATATATATTACTTAATTCACTTCTATTTGGTTGTCTATACTTTCCCCCATATTAATAATGCCCTCCCTTGTGGAGTAATTGGACTTACGTTATGGAAGCATTCACACACAATTAAAATTCATTACTCAACAGCAGAGATTGTCCCTGAGCTTTGCTAATGAAGAAATAATTCAGTTTGATAGTCATCTTCATTTCAGCCTTACCTTCAGAGGTTAAATTAGTAAAGTACGTGCCTCTCTTTAGTTAATTACACTGTGCTCATATATGAGCTCTACTTCAATTAATTGCTTTTATTTGTAGACATGGTGGAAGGATGCGCACACTGCAAGCCTACGGTGAAATGAAGCTGCATACCTGTGCATTGCATCTTAGAGCCTTCATAAGAAGACAACAAAAACTCTGCTGGATCAGACCAAAGCCCCTTCTGGTCCAGCACTCTGTTCTCACAGGGATCAATCAGATGCATTAGCATGACATGAGAACTATGGCCGTCTCCCAAGGGGTACACAAGGAAAGACAGACTGTCTCTAATGGGGGAGGAAGAACAGAGTCATCAGGGTTGAAGAACAGGGATAATTGGCATGGTATCAATGTGGCACAGTATCACGCTGTTCCACAGTTTATTCAGAATATGCTAGGAATAACTTTGCAACAAAGAACTAGTATCTGCATTCAATTCCCCACCTCTTCCCTTCTGATCACTTTTCCTTTCGTATCATGCAAGTGTGAGCACAGGCCCAGATTATAAGCCTGAGTGCAGGAACTGGTTACTGGTCGTTCTGGAAGTCTTTTTTGGATTAAAAGGTGGGGTTTGAGGGGAAGGGGGGTACCATAAATAAATAAATATGCATTTTTGAAATACCTTTTCTAATTTGATGTATCTCTATGTCCGTGCCCATCAAGTGTGCTTGTGATCAGTTTGGGCATACTGGGAATTAAGATTGTGCTGACTTTCCATGGGAGCTACCAGGCAGAGTTCAGTGCTCCACCACATGGGTCATCAGATGCCCCACATTCAGCTGCTCCTTCGGACCGCATACACCAGATGTAAGTTCACACCCAGCACACAAATTATCCCATCCCATAAACTATAAGCAACTCTTGCCTTTTTCACTATTGGGCCATTTATCAAAACTGATACTATGGCCCCCAATTCCAGCCTCTTGTTTCACTCAACCTGTTCCACTTGTCAGGATTCTTTCGCTCTCACGCATTCCATTCCATGCCCAACCCAGTTTTTTAAAAAAACTACACCGCCTTTAAACTTTGAAGTTTATGGACATTATCTTTACCTTTATCATTAGCACATGAAATAATGTTTCTGTGCTTCAAATCAAGCTGTACACAAAACAAATCCACACTGGAAATCACGTTGTTATGGGAACTGTTGGCAGCTCTCTGTTTACTGTCCTGCTGGCACTCCTTGTCTCAATACTTGTTAAAACTTTAGCAGGTTCCTGTTTGGGATGCATATTTGTCTTCAGTGTGTTCTTTCAAGTTGCTAGTCTAGGGCATCATGACTTTTTAGTGCCTTTGGAGTCCCTGTCTGGGGAAAAGGTGTGTGGGGGGAAATAAAGAAAATTAATAATAATAATAATAAAAATGGGTCATGCATGGAGAACTGTTTTTCTGCTTGCTATGTGTTGAGTTTCTGACACCCTTTTCTGCTTCTTGTCCCCTTTCAGGCAAAGGGTGGAGATGTCACACAGGCGTGAGAGGCAGACCTGTGTTTAGAAGCTGTGAATCCTTCCTCCTGCTTTTTTACGCACTTTTTTTTTACACACTTTATTGCCAGCCCAGGGAATGCTGTCAGATGATGTAAGGTCTTGTAACTTAACATACAGAAGAATTATTTTTACCCCCATAAGAGTCTCCTTGCTGATGGGTAGCATGCCTATTTATGATATGATAAGGTAAAAATACACAAAGAATTTTTAAATCATTGCATAAGAAGAAGAAGAAGAATATATGGAGTATGGAGCAGATATCAAGATTTATTGGAAAGGACAACACCTTTATGGTTATCACCTATAGAAGCCAGCACCCCAAAGAAAATAAATATGATGGAGAAGTGGGGTAAACATAAAGATATAGAGATGGTCTGGAAGATGGTCAACTGGTGCAAAATGCTGGGATGTTGGTGGAAGCCAGGCAGTTGGAGCATCCTTTCCAACGTGAAGTGGTCCAAAACTGGGACACCATCTTCCAGGGCGGCATTCTTGCACAAGTCATATGACCTGTGTGAGATTGCAGCCCATCAAAAAGTGATTTTTCTGGGCACAGAAAATGTGCATTTTTGGTGCAGTGCCCAAAAATGTGTGTTTTAGGGCACCATGACCGAAGAAAGCACAGCCTGAAATTTTGGCTGCTTAACTCTCACGAGGTGTCCCATTTTTTCCAGGGCAGTTGACGTTGGCGAATGCAATACCTATATTGTACTAGTTTCATTGGTTGCTAGTGCATTTTTGGGCCTAAGTTAAAGTGCTTCAGTCAATATTGTAGTACTCCACAGTTTGTTTTATTTTGTTGTTGTATGGTTTGGTTTGTACTTGCTATTGCAAAACAGTAATATACATATTTTTTAAAGTGGTGGAAGAAAGAAAGGTAAACACCAGGAGGACAAAGGCGCACACCAACCAATGGCCTGGCTATATAGTGCATTTCAATTGCAATCCCATGCACTCTGAGCTGAGAGTAAGTCCCATTGAACTGAATGAGACATATCAGATGGTGCTCTGTCAGGAAGGTTAGTAATTTATTAAAATTTAATCATTGTGGGTCATTGGAAATGCATGGTACTTGCTTGCCCCAATCCAGCCCCACCTCGTGAGTTCATGCTGGTGTTTTAAATTAGTGTGTGTCAGTTCACTGCCATACAAAAGGCCTCCCATAATTTCCTAGTCACAAGAATTACTGGTACCTGAAAATGTATTGTGGGCCACTAGTAGTTCATAAAGGCATTTAAGAATTTCTACAAAGTAAAACTCCTTATTGCATTGTGTGTGTGTGTGTGTGTGTGTGTGTGTGTGTTATGCTGTTGTTAAATACTGGGGCTTCCTAAATACAAGAATATGCCAAGTGACACTGAACAAGGAATATTATCGGTATTTTTAATTAATTGTTGGCACCTGCCAACATTTTCAAGGCCTGAGATAAAATAATATAGAATCTATACCTCCCTCCCTCCTGATGTCTCCTTGTTCTGTAGTAGTTCAAGCAATCTAAAATACTAGTAGAAAAAAAATATTATAGCAGAATGTCATCAGATATGACAGAAAGTTCCAGGTCATGTTAAATATTGAAGATAAAGCTACTATCATCTGTTAGTTATTGGATTTGAGAGCCAAGTATTTTTATTATGCACTAGATGAGGAATACTTTATAAATCACAATAACTTTTGACATGCAATAACATCCAGCCTTATTAATATAAACTGCAAGGATTTTTTTAAAAAAATGTTGGCAGTAAAACCAGCCTTTTCAGAAATCCTTGGCATTCATTCATACCCTGCAGGTTTGCACATCACCTTTAAGTGCTAAAGATGTTCATTACGTCATACACTGAAGAAATTTTTTTGCAATGGAGGTTCGCATTGCAATGAAATTTCCATTACTACTCTGTGTGTCACTACTAAGAGAGGCTAGCAAGTCCACAGTGACAAAGCCCGACTGAACATGCCAACTGACACTTGGGAAAGACACAGCCACTGAATTCACAAGATAGCCTTGGTACATCATGTGATCGATCGCTCTCTTTAGACAAGACTTATGCGGTGATTAAACCAGGTGTGTACAGTTTTGACATGTGGCTGGAGGAGGCTGCACCAAGAGCCCAGGAGCCATGACTGACTGCTGGTTTGGACCCAAGCTTGCAGAAGCTGTGAGAGGGGCAATAAGAGACACTCTTGGGGTATCATGTTCTGTAGCCCCTCCACTTGAAGACTCCAGGTGTAAATATGTGTGCCTTGGTTTTCCCAACGCCAACACAACCCTGGGTGACCACCTGGAACCCCCTGGGGTCTTCCTACTGCATGGCAGTGTTTAGGAGTGGTGTTCAACATTGTTCTGCTTTCCTGTGGATCACATCAGACAAGTTCTAACATTACTTTCTTGACATGGAATTCTCTTGCTTTCTTTCTTTCTATCTGCCTGTCTTCTTTTCTAGTTCAGAGAATGCACAGTCCTGCCCACAGTCCACTGAAAAGAAGCTGGAAAACATCTCAAGGAATGATGAAGGGAGTATTCAGCAGCCTATCTCAGAAGGGAACAACAAGGGAAACTCTGAAAGGGAGGCTAATCTGGGAGAAATCTGGGAGGCTGTACTTTAGAATATTGGAATGTTATGGCAATTTTTAAAAGCTTGAAAGAGATTTTCTGTCTTTCCCCCTCCTTAGGTATATCGTATTTATGCAGCTAATGATTTATTGTTCAAATATATTCAGGTGTTATGCTTCCTTTTAGATTTAAATGAGAAGTGTAATGAATATCCCCCCCCAAAAAAAATTTGCATGTCAAATTGTTTCTATTTCACAAACACTCAAAATCTCAACTGTGAAAGTTCCATTTGCATGTGATAATTTCCACAACGCTAAATCCGAGCAATTTATTTCCACTATGGCTTCAGCTGAAATTAAGGCTGATGTTTCTTGCACATAAAAAGCCCTGCTAGATTGATCATACTAAAGGTCCATTTAGTCCAGTGTCTTGTTTCCAACCGTGGCCGGCCTGATGCTTCTGGAAAGCCCAGGGACAGGGCATGAAATCAACAACCCCTGTCTGCAGCCCCGCAGCTGGCATTTCAAGCTATGTTGCTCCTGAAGGTGGAGGTTCCATTTAGTTATCATGTCTAATAGCCGTTGATATATTAGGCTTGATTTATGCCACGGTTGCCCAATTCAAGTGGTCCTCTTCTAGACCATGAGATGTAGGTGAAAAGTGTGTTTTGCCAAATGATGCTGAGGACCATAAATTAACCATCAGATTGCACCCCCTCTCCTTCCTTCTCTCAATGGGTCAGTGTGTCTGGCTGTTAACCAGAAGCTTGGAGGTTTGAGCCCACCCAGGGACAGCTGTGGGCAGGATTCCTGCACTGCAGGGAGTAGAACTAGATGACCCTTGGGGGGATCCCTTCCAGATCCACCATTCTAAGATTCTATGGTTTTCTAATTCCGCTTCCCACTCCATTTTCTATTTAGATGTCATCGGATTCAATAGCAGCAGCCCTTGCCCTCCAAACCAGAATGAGAAAGCCACTTCATTCAGACCATGTGTTCTGGTCATAGTTTGGAGGACAATCACTCAGCAGAAGGTAGAGATGAGTGAATCTGTCAGTTTTGGCTTACTACGTTGCTTGTTTCTGACTTAAATTCAATTTGGCATCAGTTTATTTTCCACTAACATGTGCATTTTTAATGCACATCTTACCCCAGCACACAAATTTTGGTACACCTTACTTGGCTTGAAAGTAGCACTGCAAAATTCAGAAAAACGTAGATTCTGATGTCCTATAGCTATGTTTCAGCTCACATATTTTTTGGAACACTCCAAAATTGCTAGATTTGCCTTTAAATGCAAACAGAATTGAATTTCTCCCTAGGAAACCTCCTAAATATTAAGAGCAGTAGAGGGGTCCTCTTGGTAGTTAAACCTTCCTCAGAAGTTTGGGTGTCCTGAGAGAGGGCATTTTCTGTGGCAGCCCCCAAGTTATAGGGTTCCTTCCTTTCAAAGGATCACCTGGCTTCTTCACTATACAGCTTTCAGCAAATGCTGAAGCCACACCTCCCTGTGGCGCAATGAGTCAGTGCCCCTGGCTGCTAAAAAGAGGATTGGTTGTTCCAGCCCACCCAGTGAAGGCTATGGGCAGGATTCTTGCATTGCAGGGGGTTGGACTAGATGAACCTCAGGATCCCTTCCAACTCTACAGTTCTATGGTTCTATACCCTGACTTTTGACACCTGAGATGTGTGTTTTCAGGGCCTGTGACTAGAATCTATTTTTAATCTGGTTTTTTTGTTTTGTTTTTACTCTCAATTTTAAATCATGGGACCTGCTCATGATGGGTGGATAAAACAACAACAAAGTAAGCTGCAAGAAAATTTGAATAGTGATACTCATTTTAAGAACTTTGGGAGAGGTGTGGGTTTTTGTTTTTGTTTTAAAAAACTGATCTTTTGCTTTGTAGTGGAAAAGGATGTCTTGAGACAAACTGTTATTTAGATGGTATTTCCCATCCTCATTTGTTTAGCCAGAGATAACAGGGATTGAACCTGGAACTTTTTACATGCAAACCATTGTATGGCTGGTTGATTTGTTTTTGCCACCTAGTGGCTAAAGAGTTTAACGAACTAAGGGCTTTCCACACTTACCTTTTAGAGTGGTATAGTTGCTGTTTGCTCTGATGTTTGTAAGAGTGAATTTGGAGCTGACCATCTGCATTTGGGGTCACATGCTGCTGTTATTAGAAAATGAATGTGGTTTTCCCCTTCCAGACTAATGGTGGCTTGTGCCTGAATTGAGAAAAGTTCCATGGCTGTCATGTTGACCCTTGCATATCCTCATACTCCTCCAGACAGTAAAAGTAACAGCTATGAGCATGTGCATGGGGATAGCTCTTTCATGCTGTTGCTTTTGTGCATTTGTTTATGGTATATAATGCCTGGTATTATAACCTTGTGGGATTAGAAGAGGTGGCATGTGCCTCTACACCTCGTCCCAGAACTCTTGTCGTGATCTGCCTTGGTCTCTTCAGAACATCCCAAACTGAAAGCTTACATTGGTCAGATGTCTCCTGAATCATGCCCACCAGCCCCACTGCCTTCAAAGAGACATCAGGAGAATGCTGAAACTCAGGCATCCCCAGCCTTCGGTCCTCCAGATGTTTTGGACTACAATTCCCACCATCCCTGACCACTGGTCCACCAGTGATTATACCACTATAAAGGCCCGTGTGGAAAGCCCCTGGGACTGAGCATGATCCTAGAGAGTTATTATTGCCTCCCTAAGAAAAATGCCAGAATGTCACTAAATATTGACTACATGGGCATTGTTAGGGGGTGGTCTAGGGGACCGGAGACCCAGTGCTCTGTGCTAGACAACAGATTTCCTGGCTCTTCCCTTAAAAAAACAAAACACACGCAACTTCTTTTTCCTACTTTGCTTACAGGACAGCTGAACCAGGGACCACACAGCCTGTGTTGCCACTTGAGGCAAAAGAGAAATTGCCCTGTCACTGCCATCACTTACCCTGCAACATCTGCCACTCAGACAAGTGGCAACAGCCCCGGCTGGTCTCAAATGAGATTGTGCCAATTTCCACCCAGATCCTGTCAAAATCATGCAAGATATCACACTCTTGGTGAGATCTTGCCGGAAATACGCACAATCTCACCCAAAATCAGAGCAAATGCCAGGACCGCTTCTCTGGAGATGGCAGAGGCAGCAGATGGCATTAGGCACCACCCAATGGCTGTGCCGGTCCTGAGCTGCGTGCATGCCCAGTACAGTGCTGGTGAGACCCCTAGCCACCCACCATTTTCATTTGCCCAGAGGCACTCTGCATATGTCTGCCAATGTCTGATGTGGGTCTTGTCTCAAGTACTAAACAATAACCCAACTTGGCCAGAATGAATGGTTAGAAGTTGCCCTATTCCTGGTGTGATCATCCCTATTTAAAAGTATGTTCTCTGCTCCTGAGTTTTGGGACTTTCTCTGCAAGATATTAAGCCTTCAGTTATAAGGGCCTAAACATGGGGTGTCTGGGAAAAAGGGCAGTGAGCGCAGATCTGGGTTTTCATCAGAACGTATATTGGGATATGTGCGCTGGAAGACAGGATACCACTGGGAAAGATTTGAATCTTTGTGGATTTGCACCTAGTTGAACAGTTCCTTCCCTTAAACAGTAGATGTCACCGTTGTCATTCCAATGAGAGAAAGAAAAGTTAAAAGCAGCTTGTATATGATACCCTGTGAATCTGTTTTGACGCAGAAAATGTTGAACGATAACATGGACATTTTTTAAGCAGTCCAAAGTTCACAGTGTACTGTTAACAACAGTTTAGCCAGTATTCCTCACTCTCAACGAATTTGTAGCCAAGATAAACTGCATTTAAAAAATCATCACATTGACAAGGTATACTGTAGATACTGCTTACTGTTTCAACATTAAAGGCTAGTATTCAACTAACTTTTACTCAGCATAGACACATTTAAATTAATGGACATAATTTAATCATGTTCAATTAATTTGAGCAGGTCTAACACTGAGTAAAACCCAGCTGAATACCTCCCAAAGTCCCCCACCCAGCCTTTTACAGTCTTCTCAAACCCAGTGCTTTTTTCTTTAAAAAAATGTTTAGGGGTACTCTCATTTTCCTACTCATATTGAAATGAGGCCAAACTTAGATTCACAAAATGTTTACGGGTATGCGTACCCCGTGTTCCCCCAGAAAAAAGCACTGCTCAAACCATTTGCGGATATAATTTATTTTAGTGCAAGGAACATGGGGCAGATGCAAAAAGGGTAATATAGACAAACTGTCATCCACTAAACAAGGCTTTATGTGAATGTGGTCCTGAAAATTGAATTCATGAGCCAAGCACTAAATAAATAGGAAGGCCTGGGATGCTTGACTAATTTATAGCTGAGCCGTGAAAGCCGATTAATAACTGAGCCACAGCCTTTTATCAGAATGCTTAAGATATTCACTTTGCACACAGCACAATCCAGCACATCAGGGCCAGCCCAAGACATTTTGGCACCGGAACCACAAAAGGGCATTCCCCTCCTGCCAGGAAAGAAGGCGTGAGGGAAGAAGGAACAAGGTGGGGGGTGAAATCAACCTTACCTGATGGTTGAAGTGGGAATCAAAGGCTGCCACAGAGTCGGTGAGGGTATACTCATTAATCAAGCTATTAACATAACCTAAGACAACAAGAGTTTCCGATCAGTGCAAATTAGGAAAGGTGATGACTACCGGGCTACAATAACCAGTGCTATTTTTCTAGAAAGAGAGATGGCGGAACTCACCATGAATGCCTCCCTTGTTCTCTTATAATGTCAACGGCACCCACCTGAGAGGTTCCAGAACTGAGTTCCAGCAATTTCTGGCTGAAAAAAAGCCCTGTCAAGATCCTGCTTCTTGTGGCACTTTGCAGTAATTTTATGTAGGGATGAATGAACCTGTCAGTTTTGGTTTCTGTGTTTCTCATTTTTCCTATCTCAAATTCAGTTCACCCCTTGTCACGGGCCTCATGGTGCCACCAGGCTCAGGCATAGAGTGGCCGGCAGAGAGAAGTAAGGAGGGGGAGCAGGAGGATGAAATGGTGGGGGGCTGAGACCAAGCAACAGTGTCTGGAGGAGGCAGGTACTTCTCTTTCTCAGGATATGGCTGCTCCAGATGGGGAGCAGGACTCCCACCTCCCTCCCTCCCCAGGGAAGCTTCAATGGGGTGTCAACCAACTGCTGCAGGTAGAAGAAATGGATTAAGAAGGGGCGGGTCAGCCCCATCCCTCCCTAATACAGTGCACATCTGGAACTTGACATTTTCACAAGGCACAGGAGTCTTGCCAATGAGCTCACATGGTGGGTGGGCGGGCTAGCCTATTGGGACAACTCTGTTGCTTCTGTGCAGTTCTGACCTCCTTGCCTAAATCTTGGATGCCTTAAACTTGGACTGCTGCTTCTAGCTGAGATAGTTCCAACTTCCCTGTCAGCTAACCTGAGCATTAAGGCTGCTGTGACCCACTACCTGTTGCAGAACCTGCACTTTTAATCAATAAAGATATTTTCCTTCCTCTCAAGGAAGAGCCTGTGTCACCATAGTCTGAGTGGGAGCAGGGACACAGTTCCTCAATCGTGGGGTTGTTGTTTTCTTTAAAAAAGAAGTTATTGTGAAAATTCATCAACATTTTAGTGTGCATATGTACTACAACACACAATTTTACAAGCAATCTTCCCTTAACGTTATGAATTTTGTTTATTTTCACTAAATATTTACACTTTTGTGCACACTTTTTGTAGAAGAACTGTATCTCAAAATGTGGAGGAGTGTGAATTTTGAAAGCTAGTTCTTTTTCCGTTCACATAATTTTAATGGTCCATGTATGAGGACTTTGCTATCAGTCCCAGGGATCATGTGTCATAAATATCATGGTGTGTCCTCTGCCCCATTGTGACTGTATCTTACCTTCAGTTCAATGAGAAACAGGACCTGCTTCACTGATGAATTTTTCCATATACATTCATAAAGCTTAGCTATCTTGCCTGGTCATGAATATGTATGTTAGGATATCACACACTGGCATCACACCTGTGTGTGTACAGCAAAATAAATAAACTATATTCCACAGAAAGGAGTGATTTGTATGCATGCATACAATAACAAACTTAGTTAGTCTCTAAGGTGCTACTGGAAAGATTTTCACAAGATTCAGTTTTCACTGTGAAAGATGCTGTTTCAGGAGTGCCAAATTGTTCACGCAAAAAGCCCTCTACTTCCTGCATTTCACATCTTTTTTCAAGATTGCCCACTGCCATTATTCTTTGTCTGCTGCTCTGTTGTATTCTGCTAACTCTAAGTGTTTATGATGTTTGTCCTGGGCAAGCCCTAGTAGTTCGGGGGGGGGGGGGCTGTACGCTGAGCATGTGACTGTTATGAATCATTTGAATCTATTTCTCATGGATAAAGGCATAAATATAAAGTGCTGCTTGGGCACAATTGCTTTTACTGAAAAGACTTCTTCACTTCATTATTTCAACCAATTGGGGCTCACTCAGTGATATGATCATGTAGCCAAATGTGATTCACGACAAGATGCCTTGATAGCATTGTCTTCACCATATAATCCCTGACTACCTTGGGAAGTGTTGTGAAGAAGCCATTTAAAGTTATAGACATGGAGCAAGTACATTCCTTGCATCGCTTCCATCTTCAACACAGGCTAGAAAGAAACACGTCCTGTTGCCTGCAGTTGGGGCACCGTCTTGCTGCGCTGGTTTCCTTGGCAGCAGGATTGCACCCCCTCTTGTGCCAGCACTTGCTGCCTTACAGCTTGGCACGTATTTTTTCACAAAGAGTTGTCTAAATGGCTGGAAAGGGGATTGTTTCACAGGTGGAAAAATTTACTAAACGCACAAACACCCATTTCAGTTCATCATTAATGGACATGTATTCTCTGCAGAGATTATTTCTGATAAGAAAGGCAGACAGCTACATGGATTGCAGAAACCTTCACTCATGGCATTTGCAGGGAAATGTAAATGACCCCTTGTCCCTTGAACATCAATGTGTGAATTGATTGTTTATTGCCCTTATTAGTTCTGTTATTCACTAGTTTACCCCACCCCTTTGCTGGTGTAGATGCCAAAAGTTGAAACTGCCTGAAGATTATTGGTGGCTTGCTGATGCTACCCTGTTAAACTAAAGGGTTAAAGAACTGCCTAAGGATGATTCATTGTTACATCTAATGATTTAGGTTCACTTCTTATTAAACAGTCCCCAAGCCAGAAATAAACAATTGCTCTTCCTTTAACTAGTTTAAATTCTTGCTTTCTACTCTCTCAGATCTATGTATTGGAAAGAAATGTCTAATAAGGCTTGCATTTTGTTGACAATGTCCAATAAAATGTTGCTGATTCTTTAATGGTAACTTTGTAAATTTTCATCAAGAAGCAAGAGGAAAGAAGCAGTGGGGTGGGGGTGGGGGCGAGGGTGCCTGGATTGCAAGACATCTAGAAATTTACCTGACACCTTTCTAACTAGTAATGCTTTAAAAAGGAATTTGAGACTCAATCCCAGACATATCACATCAGCATCAGAGTGGCAGGTGTTAGAATCAGGCTAGGAATCAGTTTAAATCTAAGTACTCCAGCTGGAATAATTTGTGCATTGGATTGAATATAAGGCATATTAAAAGAAGGTAGCTGAACAAATACAATAGGCACCTGGTACCAGTCTATTGCTATTACTTCAGTATAGAAATTGAATATAGATAAAGAATCTGTAGCTGCTAGGAGTCCAGTTGAAATCTAAGAAGCAATTTGCTTGTAACATCCAATTGATTATAATTCATGTGGGTGGGTGGAACCATGCGGGGGCTGGCATTGCTAATGAAAGCTGCAGCATGGCATATTGATACTGTAGGCTTAAATGTCAACTGCAGCTTTGAGATTTTTTAAAAAACCATACTGCTTGTTTAAACAGTGGGATGAGAAACGGAAGATATTAAATTTGAACTTAGTGTTGCCTTCTAAACTTGGTCATAGTTCTTCTACTAGTATAGCACTTTTGCACATTGCACACATTTTGGCATGTAGGGCGGGTGGTAGCTTTGCATGCACAGGAAATTGTGGGGACCAGACCTGTGCTGTGAAGACTGCTGTCCCTGCACTGTGAATGGGTGGTATAGTCTGCGCTCCAGGAGGGTGTTTGGACTGCATTATCGGCTGCCAACCATTGTTTGCTCCCCCACAGTCTGAAATAATGTATACTGTACACTGGTTGTTTGTTGTTCAGTATCCAATGTTTTTTTGTTATCTCTTCCAAATGGTTGGTCTTGTGATTTACCGTACTTTTTAAAAGTTTGCATTTACATGATACATTGGCATCATTTTATGTATGACTTGTAACAACAGGTTGTTGACTTATGACTGGACCCCATTGTACCACAACATGGTGCTGAAGAGAAGCAATGAGAAACCATGGTGATCTACTATTTTGTATGGAACTAAACCTATTCAGAATTAGTCTCCCACAAATTGCTTTATTCACCCATTTAACAATAGCAGAGTAAGGCTTTACACACAACTCTAATTTGTCAGTTAAATTTTGTACTCTAATTTGTACTGTAAATCAAATTAAAAACCCCTAAGGTGAATTTCACACCTGGTCTTTAAGGGTTTGAAATATTGTAACATTTGTTGAAGCAGCATCATTACATCAGAAGCAGCAACATTCATCTGAGTTGCCTGTGGTCCCAGGAAAGCTGTTCTCCAGAAAAGTACAAATCCAAGTCTGGCAGCCACTCTTAAAAGGTGCAGTCTCTAAATTGTTGACTAGTTAGAGTTGTGTGTGTCTGTGTGCATTAAAATAAATAAATAACTACATTTAGGATTTCCAGTGATGTGTCCCTGCCTTGAGGACAGCCTTGTCTGTCCTCAATTGGATATTGCATATCCAATGTTAATGATTTTTCCTTTGCCAATTTCAATTTGAAAGTCAGCTTCTCGGCCACTGCAATATGCCAGATGTGTTTTGTCCAGTTCCCCACTGTTCAATGGTCAGCCTGCTTCCAATTCTTTGCCATTTCCACTTAGGCAACTGCTAACATGAAACCAATGAATGATCTGTGTAACTCTCCCACCCCTCAGTTTCTTCCTCCCAAATGTTTAACAATGTCAACACTGGTGACGTAACAATAGACTGCTTTCTTATTTTTCCCATTTAAAAAAGTCTCACAGTACATTATCACATATCATCATCATTATTATTATAGCTGAAACCATTACAAAAGATAAAATACATAAAACAGAGAAAAACAGAATATGAATATATAAAATGCTTTGTTCACATCATCTGCAGCAGTCGTCACTCCCTGCACTTCTAACATGGGCCACTCTGAGAGGTACCACAGTTATGAACCCATTTTAAGGAATTTTCTCAGTTGACCACTGATAAATAACAAAATGGTAGTTGATTTCAAATTCTGTTCCTGGGACCAGTAGAAATCTGCCCACCCAGATCATCCTCCCTTGCTATTCTCAAAGAGCTGGAGGAAAGCGTTGCTGTCTCATCACAGTCTGTTTTTAATGAAAGCGTCGCTGCTGTGCTGTTTTTACTGCAATTATCTGCATGGTTTTAATAGATCTTTATATCTGTATCTGTATAGTTTTAATTCTATTAATATTTAATTTAAAAAAATGTTATCCCACCCCAGTGTTTTTAAATCTCTCCTTAATTTTATCTGTAAGCTGCCTCAAGTCCCTATCAGGGAAAAAGGTGGGGATAAATCCCTCTGAAACACAGCAATGTCAGGACTCTTGTTGAGGGCGTGTTGCTGGGTTTTGTTGTTGTTGCTGCCATCGATATTCATTTCTTTTGTACTTTTATTTTTAGATCTTATATAGACCCGATCAGGACCGGATTGAGGTTTGATGAAGCCTCAGCTCCTCAGTGTAATGGGGCCTTTTATATGTCCAGCTGTCCTTTGTCAACAACATACTGTCGCTGTTTTTTGTGTTGAATATATGCTGCATGGACCTAATAGGTATCTAAAGCCATTTGCACAGAACAGAATATATTTTGGAAATGAACATCCAGGTTTTTTCCCTTTAAATTTTTGGGGGGCCCTAAGCTACAGCTTGTTTAGCTTATAGGTAAATCCGGCACTGGATCACCCGATTCATGCGGAGTCGTCCGAGCTGGATCACGCTCTTCCAGGCGCTTCACTAATTGCTTAGGACTCCTTTTGCTACCTTTGCAATCGGGTCAAACCTTTCCGTCTCATTTGCCCACTGAGCAGGGCTTTAGAAGGCTGAGGTGACTTTCGATCCATTTTCGTATTCTGCTTTTGCCCGTTTTCACGACAGGGCTGTGGGTTGCTCCTCGGTTTTATTGCCTTTCCTTCGTTAAGTGCTTTGAGGGGTGGGGTTTTTATTATTATTATTATTATTATTATTCTGTTTCTAGAGTCGAGCGGTGTATACATTTTCTGAGCCAGATAAAGGAGCTAGAGAAGTACGGCTTTCTTGGAATACACGCAGCACCGTCAGGACACGTGTGTGACGCGTGAATTCCCACGTTAGCCGGCCAAGGCACGGGCGCGCTTTACACTGCGCATGCGAGCCGTGCGCGGTCGGGTGTTTGTTACGCGGCGGCGGAGCGAGGCGCGCTGGGAAGGGGCGGGGCGGGGGGGGGGCGGGGGGTCGCCGGGGCAACGGAGCGACGCGCGCGCGGCCCGGTCGGCGGGAGAGGCGGCGGCGGCGGGAGAGGCGGCGATGGAGGAGGCGGCGACGGGGACGACCACGGAGGGCACCTTCTGCCTGCAGCGTATCCTTGGGCCGGGCGAGGGGGAGACGCTTCCGCGGAGAGCGCCGCTTGCCGCGCAAACCCAGCAGGACCGTCGCCCGTGTAATTCTCTAAAAATGTCCCGCCTCCTGTCGGCTGTCCTTACCTGTCGCCTTCCACCTCTCTAGCATCTATCTGTCGCCTATCATTGGTCACCTGTCCACCCTGTAATGCATCCCATAATCTAGATAAAGAACCCCTGGACGGTTATGTCCAGTCGTGGCCGACTCTGGGGTTGCGGCGCTCATCTCGCTTTCCTGGCCAAGGGAGCCGGCGTACAGTTTCCGGGTCATGTGGCCAGCAGGACTAAGCCGCTTCTGGCGAACCAGAGCAGCGCACGGAAATGCCGTTTACCTTCCCGCCAGAGCGGTACCTTTTTATCTACTTGCACTTTGACGTGCTTTTGGACTGCTAGGTTGGCAGGAGCAGGGACTGAGCAACAGGAGCTCACCCTGTCACGGGGTTTCGAACCGCCGACCTTCTGATTGGCAAGTCCAAGTGGCACAGTGGTTTAGACCACAGCGCCACCCGTGTCCCTATCTTTCTATCTATAAATAGAGGCACAGGGTTCAATATGGGTGTAGGCGTCTATGTTCAGGGGGGAAAGTTCTTACTGCTTTTATTTAAGCGGGTTTGAGCAAACAAATATAGATTAACTCAGACCAAGTCCTTGTAGGTGGAAAAGTTTGTGCTTTAAGTCCCTTTGGCACTTTTATTCCATCTGGGACACCCCGCCCCCCGCATCCGGTTTCATACTTCTATTTCCCCCCAAAATGTGATGATCCCTGTCATTAATTTGCGTAGTTGTAACAGCAACAAGTGATGTAAGAAAATAAGTTTCTCTTAAATCCTGCTTTCTGAACGCCCTGGGAGCAAACCCCTTTTCTTTTGTTTTGTTTGTCCGTAAATTGCTTTGGGTTGCCTTTGGCAAGATAAAGCGACTAACAAATTTAATAAATAATAATAAGGTGATGTCATTTTTTAAAGCACCTTTTATCTTCCTGAACCCTCCTTCAGTCTTCTTAGGATTGCTTTTCCCAAGAGGGGCTGAGTTGGGGCAAAGGTCTCCTTGAAATTTTGCAGCTGGACCTTTTGCATGATAGAAAGGTTTTTGTGGGTTTAGTGGGAGGCGGCTGATCCCAGAAAAATAGGCACTGGGTTGCAACCTTGCAACTCAGTCCTCAGAAGTAACTATTAAGTAGGTGTGCATAGGTTTGTAAGGTAAAGGTAAAGGACCCCTAGACAGTTGAGTCCAATCAAATTTGACTATGGGGTGCAGTGCTCTTTCAGGCTGAGGGAGCCAGTGTTTGTCCACAGCCAGCTTTTCTGGGTCATGTGGCCAGCATGACTAAACCGCTTCTGGCACAGTGGGACACCATGACAGAAGCCAAAGTGCCTGGAAACGCTGCTTACCTTCCCTCCATAGCAGGACCTACTGTATTTTTCTGTGTATTGGATGAGGATTTTTGTCTCAAAAATCATGTCAAAAAACCGGGGTTGTCCAATACACGGATAGTGGCATGGCGTGCCGCCAGCCATTTGGTTGGCAGGAGCATGGCTTCCCCTGATGCCACAGCAAGCGGGGAGCGATCTGGAAGGTGTTTCCTGCCCGCAGCTGCGTGGTGGGGAGAAGCTGCGCACCGCTGGCCAGCTCTTTGATGGGAGCGCAGATCCACCCAATGCCGCTGTGCGTGGGAAGCACTCCCTGGGTCGTTTTCCATGCGTGGCGGCATTGTGGGAGGTTGCACTCCTGCAAACCTGATGGCTAGAGGGAGTGCAAATTCATCCGATGCCGCCGCGTGTGGGAAACGATCTAGGCTAGGGAGTGTTTCCTGCCCACAGCTGCGTGGGGGGAGAGGCTTGACAACTTTGGGCCATCTCCCCTCCTTTTCTTAAAATATACAAGGGGGCATCTTATAAATGGGAAAGTATGGTATTTATCTACTCTAGCTGGTATGCTTTCAAACTGCTAGGTTGACAGAAGCTGGGACAAAGCAATGGGAGCTCATCCCATTGCTCAGATTCAAATTGCTGACCTTACGAATAGCAAGCCCAAGAAGCTTGGTGGTTTAGACCACAGCACCATCCACGTCCCTGCATAGGTTTGTACTCTGGACTGAAATGTTGCAGGCTTTGCCATGTAGGTAGAACTCATATTTCCATGTGATGAATGACAGTACGTTCATCTTTCCCATTGATATTAAAGCAAAAACAGACCACCACAATGTTTGCCAGCTTCCAGGGAGCTTGACCCATAGTTTCAAGGTTTGTAGTTGCCCCATTACAGTTCTTAAGGGAAGTTAAATGTAAAGATAAAGGGATGGGGAGCAGGCAGTGACAGCATACCCTTTTATTCTTTTCTGACTAATGCACATGTCAGCTATTTTAGAAGAATGTATCTCTGTAGAGCTAAAGCATAAATACCATCTAATTTCAATAAATATGCCTTGAATTGTGAAATATATTAAACTGCTATTTGAACGACAGTCACCTTATCAGGATAAACTAAAGGCATGCACAATACTCAGGCTGCAACCTGATGGCTTTGGAGTAGTTAATATAGAATTCCCAATGCAAATATGCATGGTATTGTGAAAAGCTTTTGCTTACCTAGTCAGAGGTTATCACAACTAACTAGGCAGGCCTAGCAAGAACCTAGGTTTCTCATACTTTCTTCTTCTAGGTTAGTTATTCAGGATCTCCAGGGAAATGAGTTACATTTGAAGTCTAGGATGCAAAAGCACGGTGGGCTTTTATTTTTATAGGACCCAGCTTACCCAAAAGTAAAGGTTAAATCATCACCACCTTTTCCATCTTGTTCCTCCAGTACAATATTTCGCGCGCTCGCGCTCTCTCTCTCTCTCTCTCTCTCTCTCTCTCTCTCTCTCTCAGAAAGAGCTTGTGACTCAAGTAGACACCAAGGCAGGTACATAAATATATGTCAAAACACAGTGAAAAGAGATCAGTAATGTGACACTGGATATCAGTTAGAAGGAGAGGTTTGAAATTTTGAAGTGCAACCTTGCTCTGCCACTGCTTCATTGAGTCCCAGGCTTGCGCCTCCATGCTGTGGCTGTTGGGATCTGAGATTTCGGAGATCTGGCAATTCTAAGGACACATTCCAGCCATGCAAAAACAATAAGAGTGCAAAGCAGGTCTAGTGAGGGATCTGGCCCAGGAGGGTGTGTGACTTGAGAGTCTGGAGGGCCAGATAGTCCTGGAGGGCCACATTTTGCCCCAGACCCTGAGGTTCCCACTCCCTACTATATAGCATCCCTACAAAGTGTCTTTTTCTTGCCTTAAATGTGTAGTCTCCACAGTGAGTCTACAATGAAGTAGCTTAAAGGATCTGCCAAGTCCCATGCCCTTATAAAAACGTACAGAATGCTTTCTGGTTTGAAGTGCCCTAAATCATCAAGCTTTTTCTTCAGCTGCTCTTATTTGAAATATTGGGTGGATTTGGTGTTGTGACATATTTGTCAGCATTGCAGCATCTTCTAATAACATTTAATAGACATTTCAAAAGGGGGAGGGCAGTGAATGGTACTATAACTTACTTTTGTTGTTGTTTAGTCGTTTAGTCGTGTCCGATTCTTCGTGACCCCATGGACCAGAGCACGCCAGGCACTTCAGTCTTCCACTGCCTCCCGCAGTTTGATCACACTCATGCTGGTAGCTTCGAAGACACTATCCAACCATTTCATCCTCTGTCGTCCCCTTCTCCTTGTGCCCTCCATCTTTCCCAACATCAGGGTCTTTTCCAGGGAGTCTTCTCTTCTCATGAGGTGGCCAAAGTATTGGAGCCTCAGCTTCATGATCTGTCCTTCCAGTGAGCACTCAGGGCTGATTTCCTTCAGAATGGATAGGTTTGATCTTCTTGCAGTCCAGGGGACTCTCAAGAGTCTCCTCCAGCACCATAATTCAAAAGCATCAATTCTTCGGCGATCAGCCTTCTTTATGGTCCAGCTCTCACTTCCATACATCACTACTGGGAAAACCATAGCTTTTACTATACGGACCTTTGTTGGCAAGGTGATGTCTCTACTTTTTAAGATGCTGTCTAGGTTGGTCATTGCTTTCCTCCCAAGAAGCAGGCGTCTCTTAATTTCATGGCTGCTGTCACCATCTGCAGTGATCATGGAGCCCAAGAAAGTAAAATCTCTCACTGCCTCCATTACTTTAGATAACATTATTTGTACCATATTGCATCTCCTTCCTGGCCCCAGTAAAACTTGTGCCTATCCTATTGTCTTCTTACTACAGACTATACTGAAAGAGTCAACAGCACAGACTGCCTCTTGTTGTCCAACTCTGCCCACCAAAAATGAGGAAGGCTTTGACTCATTTAGTAGCTACTTATAACGAAGAGTCTTGAGGCACCTTAAAGCTTTAGCTTTTGTGGACTACAGTCCACTTCACCAGTTGCATGAAATGTTATCCGGAGCTGTATGCATATCTATCCAAGCATGCGTAATGGGGCAGGTGGTGGTATAAACAGTGAGGTCAGAAGGAAATTAAATGCAGTAAAGTACAGAGAGTAACAGTCATTAGTGGCTGTCCACAAAAAAACCCAGTTATTGTTGATACAGATGTCCAGGCATTGGTGAGCCAATTAACACATGACAGAAATCTTTTGTCTCAGTTAAATTCACAAATGAGAGCATGAAACCACTTGATGAATTGCATTGCGGGGGGTTGGACTAGATGACCCTTGGGTCCTTTCCAACTGTATGATTCTATGAACTGTGGTTCCTTTGCAAATCTCCCCTTGAAGTTCCTTTGTTTAAGGTACAAAGGAACATTTTTTTCGTATTGCCACCTGTGATGTCAGATTAGTGCCTGTTTATTGTTTTGTGTAAGGACAAGCCTGTTCTGTGTAGTGTGCAGAAGGGCATTGTTGGCAGATGATAGCATGTATCACATTGGAAATTGAGCACGTGAATGAACCACTGATATTTTGGAATTCATTATTTGGTTGCCAGCATGGCTGTAGCGAGGGGTGGGGGTTCAGCTGCTCCCCCATAAAGTAAATAAATAAAAATACTTAACTAAAAGTGGAAATAATCAGAATATTGGAAATTGAAATGTTCACTGAGGTCACTTGGATGATGTTGTGATGCATTCTACCAACACAACTGGCAACCTGACTGAGTGATAGGTGTGGCTTCTGCAAACTGACCAATCATGTTGCAGGTAGCTCGGTTCTGGAAGCTTCTCATAGTTTCCAGGATTTTCTCCTGAGAGTGTGCACCTGCAAGGCCTGTCAACTGGAAGTTTCCCACAGGCTATTTATAACTCATTACCTGGACACTTTAGTGTCTTTGATAGAGCATCATTTCTCACCTGCTTTTCCACTTCTGGCCCTACAACCCTGTATCATGTTGGAGATGACCCTTCAAGATGGAAGCCAAGCAGTTCTTATCAGTTGCAAGACTTTGACTGAAGCTGAACTCTGGGACACCATGTGGAAGGAGAAGAAACTCAGCAAAGAGCAGTCCTAGTAAAAGAGGCAGAAAGCTTTTACTCTCCTACAAAAAGGCTCTGATCCCTCTTGTACTGTAAGGTGATCATTCAGTACCTCACAGAGAGCAAAGACCTGGCTAAGGTCGACAGTGGCAGGAGAGTCTCAATGGGATATGCTTACTGAGTGTGCACAGAAAAACTGCATCAGAAAAAAGGAGAAATTTGAGAAGGAAGTGCTGAAAAGGTTTTCAGCAAAGCCAAGAAAACTTGTTTTACTTTAGATTTTTAAAAAGTAAAATGAAATATATGTGTTCTTTGTAATTTTGTAAAATATAATCATTAACTGCATGAAAGATCCTCCCTGATGTTAATTTTTTATTTGACTTCCTAATTTTCAAATGAATGAAGATTTTGACAGATTTTTCTGAGCAAAAGAAAAGTAATTTCAAACAACTGCCATAAGAAATTAATTTAAAACAACTGTTGTTGAGACATTTCATTCCTAATCTGCTAGACAGAGCCAGACACAGGATGACGACAGGTGGGTGTACTCCCCCCCGCCCGCCCACCCCACATAAATTCTGGTTATACCCGTGGTTGCCAGGGTAGTTACAGGGACCCTACAGTTTTGTCCAGAGATATTAGCCCCCTTTTGCATCTTGTGGGTTGCAGTAAACTTGAGAGAGGAGCTTGTAAGTGGGAGTCTGCTGATACAAAGGAATAGCATGATACAAAGAGCTGCTTACCCACCTTCTGGCTTCTGCCAGGCATTGTGAACACTTTTTAAAGGCCCTCTTTCACCGCCCAGTAAAAAGGGCCACAAGTATGCTTTTAAAACACCCAATCAGGATGACTTGTTTGGTTCCGGGGTCAATATATAGCAGACTTCTGTGGCAATTGTGCACTGTGCAGATTAATAATAATAATAATAATAATAATATTTTTTTTTTATACCCCGCCCTCCCCAGCCAAGGCCAGGCTTAGGGCGGCTTACAAGCAATAAGAAAAACAAGTTGAATGATTACAACTTAAAAACAAAATTAAAATACATTAAAATATTGAAACATTAAAATATTAAGAAGTTTTAACACCAGAAACACCAAGGTGGAAAATAGTGCCCTTGTGAAGTCTTTTCACCCTCATCCTCTTGACACAGTGCTTCACATCACAGCATCAGTGAATTAGCATTTCCTGTAGAAGTATTAAAAAAATACAGTCCTAATCCTAGTGAACAATATTTATATCTCATAACAGAAGCATATTTTTGGCAAGCTCAAAAATGACAACCCCCCCTCCCAGCAATGAAGTTAGAAATGATAATTGAATGGACAGGTACTTTATGAATAAATACAGATATTTATTGGAAGATGTGATCACTCTTGAGAGTTTGTAACACAGTCAAGCTGAGATTAGAATCTGTTCCAGCATCCCTGGAGAAAATAGCAACCTGAATTCCTGAAGCAAAGCAAAGCAAATATTCACTAAATGGTGTTCATAAATGTTTGAGAGCTAAATTTTGTTGCCAGATGTATAGTGGCTTTCACTATTGTGTGTGTAGGCAGTCAAGCAGCAAACTGACAGCTCTGAATAGAATTTGCTTATCCCAAGAATTGCAGAGTATGTGTTGCTCAGTAAATACTGTTTACTGTTTTATACTTAACTTAACATTTAGAGGTTTCAGTAGCAGAAAGCTCTGAAGATGACTACCAATATGAAGAGGTAAGAGACGTTAACACAAAAGTTGCAACCTATTTTATTTTTAAGTACAAATTTTGATATTGATATGACAGAGAAATAGAATTTATTTTATTGTTAGCCACAAAAAATAGTCTTACATACTTTATTATTTATAAATGAAGGGCAAGGTCTATCCCAGAACTAGGGTGATATCTGGTTTTCAACATTGTGCTATATCACCAGCTAAACATTGCGATATACCGATATATCACAATGTCTGAAATAAGGATGGAGCTATGTAGAGGCATTGGCTGGCTTCATGGTTTATCCGACATCTTGATTTTTGCCAGTGCCTGTTCTTGTGATTCGCTGCCCCTTGTGTGAGGCAGCGGAGAGCTGAGCCGGCTGCAGGAATTGAGAGAAGCGTTGGCTGGTTTCACTGTTTTTCTTACATTGTGATTTTTGCATAGCGTGCACGCACACACACACTTCAACTTCAACATCATCATCATTATTCGTGATATATTGCCAGGTCAAAAATTATGAAACCGATGTCACAATATGAACTTCAAACCTACTTACAAGACATGGGATTCTACGGATCCCTATTTTCACACACACCTTTTGTGCCCACACAGATTAGAAGGTCTCTGTGCACTGTGTATCTTCTTTATCCTCCATCCTGCCCTCCCTCTTGCCCAGATGTAATTTACTTAAACCCTAAACTCAGTAGATCTGACTAGGACAAAATGTGATAAAAGTATACACTGAACTGATCTTCTGATCCTGTAAAGGTTTTGTTTTGTTTTTGGTTCACTGCATACTGATGTGGAGAGAGGAGAAAACAAGGCCTGGTGTGGTTTTTCACAAGTGCTGTGCCTGGTTTTATTTTATTCTTTTGCAATTCTTTTTTCTCCTTAACTTTATATTTTGGTTTCTAAAAAGACATATAACGAACAATCCCCATTCCATCCATTTAAATGTAAATAATACAGTCAAACATTAAGTAAGTTTGTAAATAATCTGGAAATAGAATTGGCCTGATTTAGGATAGAAAATGTCTGAATGTTTTTAATCTTATTCTTGCACAGTTGGTGCCTGAAAAAAATAGTATGTTGTATCACTGAAACGCTGGTGACTTTACGCAGAAATTTGTTAATTAGTACTATCTTAATTTAAAATCAGTTAAATGCATCTGGTTAATCCATTCTGGGATAGTACTGGCCACTTGGTGCCTGAATGTTCAACTTATATTTTCATAGTTGCAAGTCTACATTTATGTATGCAAGTGCACATAATTTGTAATGTACCATTGATTCTGTTTATCCCAAGTAATTTATAGGCATTCTCACACTGAAAACAGTGCATGCACTTTTATACTTACGTGTCCATGAAAATGAAAGATAATAAGAAATATCCTGCTTATAGTTTTTCCATTTATTCCTGCTGAATAGTAAAAACATCCATGTAAAATTGCTCAGGGACAGGACTCTGATGTGAACCAAATCCTACTGATGCCACAGATAAATATGCTCAGTGACTTCTGAACTTCGGGTAAAACTATGGTCTAGAGTACGCTCTCACTTTTAATATCCCATGATTTGGTACACATTTCTAGAACAGTAATTTCATGTAGACTTTGATCCAAAGCAACGTATGTGGAGAAGTTGTATTCTCATGCAAAGGAAAACATTACAGGCATTTTTGTTCATTTACCAAGTTCGCCTGTACAAAATTGGCAACAGTCTTTAATTGACAGAAACAAACAAACATAGTACTCATTAAACTGGCAACCAAGTGTCCTGATCTAGAATATCGTGTATATATTGCATTTGAATATGGAGTTCTCAGCTCATTTAAATAGATGGACCTTATAGCTTCCCCATCCCATAAATACTTATGTAGATTGGGTCCCCTGATGAAAATGAATAAAGAAGGTATATTAGTTAGGGGTATTAAGATATAAGGAAATATCTTATACTGAATCTGATCTCTGGCCTGTGCTGTCTAGCAATACCTCTGCTGGGGTTTCAGATTTTCCTAGTTCTATCACCTAAGACCCTTATTTAGGTAGAGACATGACTAAACAAGTAAACAACAACAAAAACGAAATAAGTCTAAGTGATACTCAGAGTAGACTCATTGAAATTATGATCTTTAGTTAGTCATGCACATTCATTTCAGTGGGACTATTGTGAGTATGATTTAGTTGGATACAGCCCTGAAGCAGGGATCTGACATATACAAAAAACCATTCCATTGCTGAATTGTGGCAAATAGATTATATAATCTTGGGGATTGAAACAGTTTCCCTCAACTCAGTGGATGTGCTCATTGTATATGTATTTATAATTCTGTCTTAGGTACCAGCCGACGATGAATTTAGCCTGCAAGATGGTGATGAAGATCTGGCAAAGGCTTTATACACTATACAGGAACAGGCTGTTGATGCCCAAATTATGGTAAATATGTTGTTTTTCAAAATATGTGACTACATTGATTCATATGACTTTACAGTTATTAATGTAATATGCATGTGAGTGTGGTGGTTAACGGAATGTTACAGCAAATGCATTATTATTCAAGACTAATGTGAGAGAGAGCAGAGAACTTCTAGATTGAAAAGGGTGACATTATGTTACATCTAAGTGGCAAAACTGAACCAAACTAAGTAGTTTAATCGCACCCCCGTTTTCAAATTTTACAATAGTGTTCATAATGAAAGCTGAAATAAACTTGGCATTTTCTATATTTCATATTCAGATATGGTGACTTATCATCTGGTTGCAATAAAAATAATGGGCATCTAGTGGGAATAAATCCAGTGCAGCTGTCATGCAATTTACATGTTATTGGACAGTTTCAAAACACTTTCTTAAGGCAGGCTAAAGCCATTTAACATTCCCAGTGGAAATACATTCCTTTGCATGTCAGACCTCTATGCTTTACTGCAACTGCTTCTGAAACTGCCCTAAGTTTCAACAGAGATGCTATTAAAGGAAGGGAGCACATGCAACCTGAAAGTGTTTCTTTTGATCTAGGACATAAATTATATAGAATCTGTGAGTTGTGTGCATGTGTAATTATATATATTTAAAAGGAACAGATAAAAATGAGCCAACAGGGGTAATACTCAAGTCTCATCTCAATGAAGGTGTTAAGTGATCCTTAAGCTCCTTTTTCCTTTCAACTGATTCTATTTTTACTTTTGCAACATAGGCCCCAATTCCTTTCAGAGGGCGCACACACTTCTTTTGAAAATCATGGAATTTAAAAGTAGTGGCTTGAAGAGTGGTACAGAAGAACAGGAAGAAAAAGGCCAAAAGCCATGCTGTGTGCGCACAATCAAGCTCTCTGTTGTAGTCATAAACCCTGAAAAGCAGAAGTATTTTATCAATTTCCGAGCTATTGGAGTAATTGTTTACTGCACAGTTAATGATTACAATTAATGACGAGAAGTTCATTATGGAATGTAACTATGTGTAGATGCATGCTGTATTTGGATTTGGTAACTCTGTAAACCTTCCTTTTCCCCAAGGGCAACTTTGTATTTCCCTTTATTTTGTTCTAGCCACTGTGTTTTCTTGTTTTGAAACTTTTTGGAGTTTATTGTAATCCAGGTTTCCTCATATGTAAAAACAGATCAAATCAACATTTTAAAAGTGAAACTGGCCCTCTTTACAACTCCATGGAAGGAGAAGGGAGGAGTGCATGAGTGCAATGTTTTGCTTGGGCTCACTGCAGCTTGTGCATGTAAAGCTAACCATAGCTTAATATTACATGCAAACATAGTCAGTGGGTAAAGATCAAGACTGCTGGACCAGGGATGACTGAAAATAAAAGCAAAGGCTAGATAAATTAATATATCATAGCATAGTATAAATTTTTGGTGATCCAAATGTTATTACTTTGCTTGAAATATGTTTGGGAAGGTTTTACCCAGAAAGGTGGTATATTATTATTTACAATAAACAAACAAATAAGTAAATAATACTTAATGGCAATTGAACCAGTGTCTTGACTAACTGTATTATTTTCAGGTTCAGTTTGGAATTGTTTTTTCATAGCTTTACAACTCAAAGACGTGTCTGTCTTCTTATAGAAACAGGGTCAGTTATGTGTAGCTGGCTAACATGGTGCTCATTTGGGCTTCAACAAAGTGGTTGGATGTGTGTTTTGATGTGGCTATAACAATAAATACCCCACCCAGAGCCCCTAGTTGTTGAATGAAACTAGTTATATGTTGTTGGAACTAGATTCGGGTTAGTTATTACTTTAAGGATATAGTCCTGTGCATAAACACTTGGAACTCAGTGGTGTTAGACTTGTGAAGTCAGTTGGCCCATAATCTGTTACACTGGGCCAACCATCTGTTGTTGATTCTTCATCACACGTCAGTCTCTGTGATCAGCAGAGTATGCAAAGCTCCAGCAGACTCATCCAGTGTTAGCTCACCATGCTGTACTGTCACCATATAGCATGTAACCTTCAGCTTCACCACTGATACCGCACACTTAACTAATGCTGGTGAATGCAGCCTTTGCTTTATACCCACCATTGCACTTATGCACATTCCTTAGAGAACGGGAAGGTGGATGAGTAATACTTTAGGCCTTCTGGCCTTAGGCTGCTTCTAAAGCAGAATCCAGATGTGGAGGTCGGGCAACTCAAGACATGGACCAAGAAGTTAGTGCAATTTCACTCATTCTTCTAAATTACACCAACAAGTGGGATTTCCTTCTGTGTAAAGAAGCTGCATAGCAACTGAGCAGTAGTATATCATCCCACTATGCTGGTTGAGCACATTATGTAGGAGGCATGAACCAAAACCAAGAGAAATTCCTGACAGTTCCCATAAAGTTTCCCTAATATGCCAGACCATGATAATTAAACTGCTATAGTTGTCTTGTGCTGTAATTTATGTGATAAAGAATCCAACTGGCCTGTGATTGAAATGTGCTTTCTTGAAAGCAATAATGAGGCAAACAGGTAGGCTATATTTCTAACAGTTGCTCTTGAATTTTATTTCTAGGCTCAGCGACCAGGTCAGATTGCTAAACATTCCTTGTCTGAAACGCCAGAAGTTGTAGATGACTTTCTTTGCAATTTCCTGATTAGAATGGGGATGAACAGGACACTAGACTGCTTTCAAACTGAATGGTATGCCTTAAAAAAAAAAAAAAAGTATTCCAACTACAAACCTGCAGAAATAAATATGTATGACATGTTTTGCATCCTGATAGGCAAATAAAGAGGCAGACATGAGGTTGAACTGTGCCACTTTTATTTAAACCTTAAATTATAATCAGCAGAGGGGAATGACTATGGGGCAGGAACTAACTTCACTGTATATAGCCATTGGGCTTCCTAGACTGCCCAGATTCCTGGGCCACATCCTGAAGGTGGTAAGGGAGGCCTTTCCTTGTCACCCCCCTCCAGGACTGCAGAACCCTAGGTGGATGAGGGGGTTTGGTCTCAAAGAAGGCCCCTATCTCACCCTCCGAACTGCAGAGTCTGAAAAGTGAGCCTTGGGGCCGATTCATCACCTGAAAGACACCTAAGGGGCATCACCAGGCTTAAGCAAACTATCCCCCCCCCACCTAAACTGCCCAAAGTGATGAAATCCATCTAGCATTCTGTCAGTGCGAAGTAGGCAAAAAACAAATCTACGATCACCTTGGGAATGCATCAATTGGTACCAAGGATTTTCCTGCTCAGCCTCTCTTGTTCAACAGCCCGCAAATAAGCTCAGCCTTCTGGAACCATCTAGGCCAGGCATTGGCAAACTCGGCCCTACAGATGTTTTGGGACGACAACTCCCATTAGCTAGGGATGATGGGAGTTGTCGTCCCAAAACATCTGGAGGGCCAGGTTTGCCTATGCCTCATCCAGGCCTTTTTGCTGAGAGTTTTTATGGCAAATTATAACTTTTGGAAACCTTAAGTATTAATTGTTGTCTTTATTTTTTCATAATAGGACCTTTCCCCAATGTGAGTGCACATTTTAAGCCTGCGTACACACTTCATTTACTGCTAAGTAAAACACAAACATTTTTAAAGTGCGAAGACCATAACATTATTTTTAAAATGTCAAGCCAATTTTCAGTGTTTCCGCCCTATTTGTTCTGCATCCTGAACCAAGTGGTTAAGACCCAGAACTGTATAGTCTGTTTTCAAATAAGTGTCTGGATGATCTAAATTCTAAAATCAATGTAATTATGTTAATTCAGCAGATATATGCTTCTTTGCTTATTTTTCATAAGTTACTCAGTTTTGGCTTGCCATTGGGTGGAAGGGACAAAAGATAGAGCGGGACACCTAACCACTGAAAATGTTACTCAGCTCTCCCTGTGCCTAGCTTTTAAAGTCATATTTCCCCACATTTTGAAACCTATTTTTGTGGCCTATATCTTTGAGAATGACACATATATGCTAATCTGTGACTTACAATGCATGAGCTATTTGACAATGTCAATAAATATTAATTGTTCGCCTTGGTGTTGAGGTGGCTATAGTTCCACACAAGGTATTTTGACAGCAAACTGACTACCAGGTACTTAGGAACCACAGAGCCTGGTGGCGCAGCCAGCCCTGTGCTCATGGGTGTATCCAGAATTTATTTTAGGGGGACAGGCTTTATGTTTGGAGGCAGAAGGGAGTTATCTGTGACACAGTTGGTCAGTTAGTTAAGTATTTTTATTTATTTACTTGATTTAGAGGGGCAGCCGCCCTCCTGTATTCTCATGCCTATGCACTTTTGAAAGCCCCCAAGCAGAGGGCTGGCCAAACACATTTTTCTCCCCCCTCCCCAGAGCAGAAAAAAGTTTTATTTTAATTCAAACCTTTTCCTCTACAGAGGGGGAAATACTCTGTTTTTCAAAAGTTCTATTGTTTTTCTGTATTTCTATGAGACTATTATCTTTTAATAATGTTTAGAATGTTGAACAAGAAACTGGGAGACTAGGGTTCAAATCCTCATTCAGCCAGGAAACTAATTGGCTCACGTTGGATTAGTAGTCATAGTCATTCAGCCCAACGTACTTCAATGGGTTTTTGCAAGGATAAAATGGTGAGGGGGGGAAACTGTGTACATCACCTCGAGCACTTCAGAGGAAAGGTGGGATATAAATGTAGTAAGTAAATTAATAGACTACTTTGAGTCTGAGGGTGCACACATAGACAGGTGATTTCTTGATTAGTGTTTATGGTATTAAAGCATCATGTTTAATGGTTTGTGAACTGATGCCCTAAACATGTATTTTATGAATGTTTTTAAATTGCATTTACATTGTTAATTAACATCATTAATAACTGAAAGTAAATTACATTTATCACATTTTCTTTGTACAAGTATCTTTCTCTTGCTAATATACAGTAGATCCATGCTGTGATCAAACTCTAATGGGATTCAAAATGAGAAAATAATTAATGCTGAGAAAGTTGATTCATTTGCACCTATAAGAGCTCAGCTCATTTATTAAATGACCTCTTAGATATGAAAGCCTGTTTAAGAATTAATCTTTAATTAAATTAGGCAAGGTAATTAATGTGTTTATCTCACAGCTTGAGAATTCTGAGTATTTTGAGTATCTAATTTTATATAAAAGTTTCATCTTTTAACTTTCAGTTTGTTTTAATAGAGGAATAAAACCAAAGTATGAACCAATTAGAATATTTTCTTTATAAAATGAGTGGTATATTGCATAAATTCAGTTTTTTGTCATTTGTACAAATCTATATTTTGCAGTTTAAGACTATACATGGAAATTTACCTATGTGTTGTAATGTTGAGCTTTACATTTCTGTGGATGGGGGTGGACCAAAGCAAAGCCTGCTCTACTCTGGTCTTCTCCCAAGCCCTGCCTACCCATCCTGGCCTGACTGGCCCAAATTCAAATACCGGGCTGACAGGAAGGTCCACCAGCCAACTGCCGGCCACCCTGCCCAGCGTTGCTTACCCAGGATTTGGGCCTACTCCAACGGGCCACAACTGCGCCCACCCCCAGGAGTGGGTGGGCAGCCATTTCTATGGATTGACAAAATTCCTGTCACATCAGACCCAAAGAATGATGCCTTAGGGTTGATAAACTCTGCAAGAACAGCCCTGCTAAATCAGACGAAGCGCCTACCTAGTCTAGCAACCTCTTTCTCACAGTGATGAATCATGTGCCCATCAGACACCACAAGCAGGAAATGAGGACAATAGCCCCCTTCTGCTGTTCTTACCTGACTCTTACTCAGTATAAGTACCATATTTTTCTGGATATAATAATTCCCCCCCGATTTTCCTGTATTTCCCCCCCATGTATAAGACTGTTGGGAATCAAGCCTTTATCAGGAGAAACTGGCAACTCTCCAGACACCCAGCTTGATCTCCTGTTGACCTCCCTGTCTGCATTCCCCAGCAGGATACAGGCTAGGTCGCGATAGGCGATTCTTCTCGGCGTGAGAAGAACACCCCCCCTCTTTCCTGCCCCCCCCCTCCAGGCAGGGGAAAGAGATAGACAGAAACGTATTCACATTCCTTTATTTCTGTCTTTGCAGCATTACAAAAGCATGACTGCTCTCTTCAAGCTCCAGCAGTCGAGAGAGAAAGACTTCCTGTACTAGAACAAAAGGAAGAGCTTATATTACACTCTGAGCTAATTCCGGTGCTTCGCACTGTGAATTGACTGTCCCTCTGTTTCCCACGGAACAGTCCTAACATTCCATCATGTGCTGTTTTCAAGCTAGCAGCTCGCGGCTGCATTGCTTCTGTATCGTAACAAAGACAACCCCTGTTTTTTTGAACCCAAACTTAAGACAACAAAACCCTAAAATAGATTGGCATTGTTGAGCTTTTTGGGGCAAGTGCCCTCTAAGTTTGCATCATGAGGTGCAGTGTCTGGGGCACCACACACTCCCCCTCGGTGGCAGAGGCTCCTGCTGCAAGGGAGCCAAGGGGCAGGAGGCTCCCGAGCAGGTCGCCAAGGCAGAGCCCAGGGAAGGCGGCGCCCACGCTGCCACCAGATTTGCAAGATTACGCTATGTGTTGTGTGTAGAAATGTTGTATTTGTGAGAAGGGCTGGAATAGAAGGCTTAGAAGAGGGAGGAGTGCATTCGAGAGTCTATAGGTAAAGGCTGAAGAATGTGCTAAATGAAGGAATCTTCCTTTTTTATTGTTACGTTTATATTCCACTTTTCCTCCAAGATACATGGTGTTCCTCTTCCCTGTTTTATTCTCCACACTTCCTTATTTTTTTCCCCAGCTGCCACTTTGTGCTTTTCTCTCCCAACCCATAATAGTCCTGATTCTTCTGTCCCTTTACCCAGTTTCCTGATCCTCAGTCCTTGCATTTAGTTTTCAAGAAAGGTTGGACTCATCAAATCATCGCAAGTGTTCTGCAGCTTCAGCTTGAAACCCAGTGCAAAGGGCAGCCTAAAACTACACCCCACCCCTTGCCGCCTGAGTCCCTTGCACATTACTGTACCTTTGGTGGAATCTTTGTAAGGGCCTTCTGGGAAAGTCAGAGGTTTTATGAGACTCAAGCCCTCTTAGTTATTCTACTAATGTGTAAAACCAGCACAAGAATGGTGGCTAAGCATGCTAAGCTCGATGCCCTGTTGTCATCCCCAGCACCCACCATGAGTTGGAGAGAAACTTCTAAACTTTGGCACACAGTTTTGAACCCGTCTAAATTGCACAAGGAGCCTCAAATGTTCATCCTCCAACTCATGATGGGTGATAGAGATGGAGACAGGACCTAGTTCAGCATGCTTCTTCCTCACTTTCCCTGCTTGCATATTGATTTTTAAGTGAGTGGAAAGCCTGGAAAGGGCTTCTCTTTGCCATGCAGTGTTATTGCTTCTCCAGAAATTGTGCACCAAGTGAGAATACTCAAGCCACCAGGTTCTCTGCACATACTCTGCTGGAGATGTGTTGCTTTGAGTGTCAGCTTTTTCATAATCATCATAACTATTTCACATATTGCTTTCCAGATCCCATAGCGCTTCACATGTATTTCTAGTTGTTGTCTTAGTGACAACCTTGTATGGTAAAATCAGTATTATCCCCCATGTTGCAGATGGGGAGGACTGAGGCTGAGTGTGGCTTACAGAAGACCACCTCATGAGATCTTGGTAGAAGTTAGTTTCAAACTGGAAGCTTCCTGATTCATAGCTCTTAGTCACTTTGTACACCAGCTCAGCTTCCTTTCACTTAGATGAAATCCTATGGCCAGAGCTACACCACCTTCCCTAAAGAAACTTAACAGGCCTTAAAATCCTGCTTCAACCAGGAAGTGAACACACTTATTTTCAAATGATTTCAACTTTTAGACTTGCTGCTGTGTTTGTTTTAACATATTGCTTTAATATTTTCTTCCCATTTAATGCAGCTTTTATGCCTTTCGTATACATTGATTTCTAGGGACATGGGTGGCGCTGTGGGTTAAACCACAGAGCCTAGGACTTGCCAATCAGAAGGTTGGCGGTTCGAATCCCCACGATGGGGTGAGCTCCCATTGCTCGGTCCCTGCTCCTGCCAACCTAACAGTTCGAAAGCACGTCAAAGTGCAAGTAGATAAATAGATACCGCTCCGGCGGAAAGGTAAATGGCGTTTCCGTGCGCTGCTCTGGTTCGCCAGAAGCGGCTTAGTCATGCTGTACGCCGGCTCCCAAGGCCAATAAAGCGAGATGAGCGCCGCAACCCCAGAGTCAGTCACGACTGGACCTAATGGTCAGGGGTCCCCTTTACCCTTTACCTATACATTGATTTGGATACAATCAGCAGAGATGTGTCTGCCTTCATGATGAGGTTCCAAGAAGGTCAAAAGCAGTGCAAATTGTCCACTACCTACTTTAAGGCAAAATTAGAGTGGTGCTGGCTTCATTTAAAAGATGAATGAATTCTGGCTCCGTCCCTGTGTTCTTTTAATACAATCGCTGACTCTGTTATTACTTCCAGAATTGTAGTCTGCTTGTAACTGCTTATACAAGCCTAGAACAAGAGCAAATAAAATTTTGCACAAAATAGTTAGCATTCAACACCCACCCACCCCAATAATATGCTTATAAGTTTTTCAGTGTATTTTAACTATGTATTTGTTCTGTTCTGACTTTTGAAGGGTGCTGGGGGTGCTGCAGTTTCAGAATCTAATTAATTTTTATCTCCTGTCATTGAAGCTTTTGATACTTTGATCTGGAGGTCAGGCACAGCATGTATAAGAGCAAGTTACTGTTTCATTCTGAAAGCTGAATAAGAGAATCATAAAGTTGGAAGCAATCCCAAGGGTCTAGTCCAACCCCCCACAATGCAGGAATCCCAACCAAAGCATCCATGACTGATGGCCACTGCTTAAAAACCTCCAATGGAGAGTCTACATACAACCTCCTGAGGGAGTCCATTCCACTGTTGAACAGCTCTTACTGTCAGAATGTTCTTCCTGAGGTTTAGTTGGAATCTCCTTTCTTGTAACTTGAAGCCATTGCTTTGAGTCCTACCCTCAAGAGCAGCAGAAAACAACCTTGTTCACTCTTCCATGTGACAACCCTTAGTATATTTGAAGATGTATATCACATTCTCAGCCTCCTCCTTTCCAGGCTAAACATACCCAGCTGCTTCAACTGTTCTTCATAAGGCTTGGTTTCCAGACCCTTGATCATCTTGGTTACCCTCCTCTGCACATTCAATATCCTTTTTAAATGGTGGTGCACAGAACTGGACATAGCATTCCAGATGTGGTCTGACCAAGGCAGAATAGAGTGGCCCTTGATCTGGGCACTATATTTCTGTTAATGCAGCTGAGAATAGTATTAGGGTTTTGTTTGTTTTTTGCTGCTGCACCGCACTGTTGACTCATGTTAAGCTTGTGATCCACCAAGACTCCTAGATCCTTTTCACATGTACGACTGGCAAGCCAGGTGTCTCCATCTTATATTTGTGCATCTGGTTCTTACTGCCTAAGTGCAGCACCTTGCATCTGTCCCTATTGAAATTCATTTTGTTAGTTTGGGCTCAGTTCTCAGTTTATAAGTATAAAAAATGGCATTTTAAGAGCTCTTGTAGTAACCTCTTTGTTCCTAGGAATCAAAGACTTGAATGTGTGAACTGTTTCAGGATCCAGTTTAGAAGTCTTTACATAGCAGTGGTATAAGGGGAAAATGTGTCTCCTGCCCTGTATTTTGTATGGTTGGGCTTAGTTCAGTCTTGCATGGTGTGCCTTTTTAAAAAACATTAAAAAGTGATCTGAACATGACAACAGTGTTACAGAGTCCCTCCCCTCATTCCAGACCAACAACCTCCCACTTGGTTGAAAATATTGGCTCAAGAGCGTGTGTTGCAAAATGTGTTGGACAATGATTTTTGTGACAGTCCCATCGTTATCAGAATGGCCACCTGCCCCAACCCCAGACACTCCTAACATAGCTATTTAAAACCCACAGGGCAGCATTCTTGAGGGCCTATCAGCCAATTCAGGAAGGGAGACTATTGGGCAGTGGGATGATTGGAACACCAATGGAATTTGTGATCTGTCTCTCTGGTCCAACACAAGGTACAAACTCAAACCCAGTACCCGAGTGAACTGATCTCCTGGTGAGGCAAAATAGCATCTTTGCTTCCCTTACCCTCCCCACCTATTTTTGATCCTGAACTAGATAACATAGACAGAGAAAGTTGGGTCAGATCCTGAGGGTCTTCTAGTCCAAGCCCCTGCAATGCAGGAATATGCAGCTGTCCCATATGGGGATCGAACCTGCAACCTTGGTGTTATCAGCACCACACTCTAACACTCTAACTAAGCTATCCAGACCCACAAAGATCAGTTCCACCCAGCTCATTTCCTCAGGTCTTGGTGACACAGGCCAGCTCAGCCTGCTCATCCTAGCTTAAATCATGGATGATAGTTTTCATGGATGACCTGGAATAACCGGTCAACAGCAGCTCTACTTTGCTACAGGGCAGGTTAACAAGGCAGCCCCAAACCTGTTGGTTGGTAGAAGGGATAGTTCTTCATCTTAAGTAGAAGCCCTATTCTGGACCAGCTGCAGTTTCTGCATCATTTTTCAAGGCAACTTCATGTACAACACATTGCAATAAAACTAAAAGGGAGGTTACTAGACTATGGTGAACTGTGACCAAGCTATTTCCATTTAGGTATGGTCAGCAGAAGCTGATAAAAAAGCAACAACTTTGAGCCACCGAGGCATTGAGACTCTAATGACAGTGCTGGTTCAATGAACACCCTAAACTGTGACATGTTTTAATTTTAATGCATTTCTTGCTAAGTGTTCCCTTTCCCCTTGGATTTTCTAAAGCAATGACAACAATATTGTAATAGCTTTCTAGAAAGAGGAAGTATATTGTATTTTAACCTATGAGTCTCCTGCTGTGTTTAACATTCCCATCAAGTAGTAAACTCTATTTTGATCAGTCTACAACTGGGCGCTCCACTCATGGATCTTTCTAATCCTTGTGGCCAGGAAGAGAGGGAGAAAAAGAAACACTTTTCATTTTAATTTCAGGTATGAGCTAATGCAGAGAGGTATACTTGAACCTAAAGACATTGGATTTGTTCCAGATGCATACACCTGCAATCAACATTTGGAAAGGGAAAACAAATATCTCAAGAAGGAAATGGAGAGCTATAAAATAGCAGCCAAGTAGGTTTTTGTTATTGTTAATGGGTCTTCTGTTGTTCACCTGGGGAAAGATCCTGCTGAATTAACCACAATTTCTGTTAATTTCAAAAGGAAAGTTAAGCATGTGTTCAACAAGATTTGAATGTATTTATTTACCGAACTTACAGCTTAAATTGCAAAGAGCATTGAAGTAAAAGTGATTTAAGAGTGCTTATGTCTGACTAGACTGTGCCCAACATGAACATGTTATAATAAGCTGCCAAGTAAGCAGATTTATGGAATTCTAAGAACCTTGTTGGGGCTAGCTGACAGGAGAGAGCTGGGAAAGCCACCACAGTGTACCAAGCCATTACACAAAACTGCAGACCCATCACAATTCATGGGTCTAAACTTGAAGGGATCAAATGGGTTCATGGGGAGAAAGGCTAGTATTCAGGTTGGGCAACCCAGTCAGATGGGCAGGGTGTGTGTGTGTGTGTGTGTGTGTGTGTGTGTGTTTGTGTATTTGTGGCTGGTAATCAGAAACACAATCAATCCATAAAACAAAGCTTTTGTTCAGCCTTCTGAAGGCATCCAGGCTTTCCAGTTGAAATGGTTCTTTGCTAATTGTATAATTAAGTAAAATAAAACACATGAACGGAAGATGGCTTGGTACCATGCCTTTTAAAAATGTTATTTGCTACACTTCCTTGCTCTATACAAAGACATATAGTATATCAACTTAAAAAAATATCCGGAACAGGAACCATGTAAAGATAAGCAGTAGTTTAATTGCACTGGGATTGTTATATATAAATAGGTCTAAATAATAACATTGTGGTGCTGAAGTGAATATAGGTGTAAACCACTGCGTTTAGAAAAGATGGCAATGCAGACTGACCAGAGATACATGCCATGTTACTTAAGCAGTTTATGTTTATATGTAACTAAATCCTGTCAATTTTCTGAGCCTAAAAGGTATTGCGGGGTACAAATAGAAAGCATAACTATTTACAAAAGAAATTATTGCATGCTGCAGCCATTTTAATGAATGCATGTATGTTTGCTAAATTTTACATTTCACAATTTTTGAAAGGCCATATTGGATCTATGAGTTGGCTATACAGGAACAGGAACCTTTATAGCATTATTGATTTGCTTTTGAGAATGCATGCCATACAGAAAAAAAATCACAAAACACTAAATAATTTACATGTTTTATGTGAGAGAGGGAGATCTACCGTGTTGTTGAGAGGCAGCAGTAAGCATTTGTCCTTAAAATGTTTGCTGCATCTGTCTTGTATGCTCCTTCCTGACAGAAAATGAAATGCATAGACATTTAAAGGGGGAAAGTCCTGGGCAGTAGTAGTTTTGTGAGCTTGATATTCAAGGTGCTAATATTTCTTTGGAAACACGCTTCCTTGTAGACATTACTATGAGATATGTTGACCAGTTGTCCCTGTTTGTGGTACCCAGGACCAGAAACACACTCAGCAAGGTTAACAAGTATACTGTCAATCAAAATATGATCTAGCAGCTTCAAGTCTAGAGTACTTGAAGTACGTAGCTTCAGTAGGAGGGACAGTAACAGGAAATGGCTGCACTACAGTATATCAGATAAGAGTGTTCAATGTCAGCATGTATTCCAGAAACTGAATCCAGTGCAAAGGGAAATAGGAAAGAGAAGGGGCACAAATAAGGACGCTGATTTCACCATGATTTCTTTATATACAATTTGTTTGATTAGTTTTTTTAACATATCATTTTCAACAGTAATTAAACATACTTTTACATATTATTCAAATTTTTGACTTCCATCAATCCTGTCTGAAAATTTTCCAATCTAATCTCTCAGTATGCATTTCTTATCTTCCCTGTTACATTTCAAACTCATAACTTTGTAACACTTCGTATATTTCTCCTTACAAAACTTCTTGTAGTCCTACTAGCGTAATTTGTTGATTGCAGTTGCTCTTCAAATAATTCATATACTTCTTCCAATTTCTTCTGTAAATCTCTGGTCCCGCAGGTTTTGAATCCTTCCTGTCATTTTGTCCAATTCTGCATAGTCCATTAATTTCGTCTGAGATTTCACCATGATTTCAGTGCATGCTTAAGCAGGTTTACTCAGCAGTATTCCCTGCTGATTTGAATGCATGCTGTTAAAGGTAGTAAGTTAGCAGGGTTGTGTATGGGGAGGGTGTAATAAAAGAACCATCTAAATGAGATGAAGTGCAAAATGTCAGAAAGAGAATGTCCAAAAGTAGTGTACACTTATAGACGCATAGAATTGTAGAGAGGGAAGGGACCCCAAGGGTTGTCTAGTACAACCCCCTGCAGTTGCAGGAATCTCGAATGCTATCCTTCATCCAGTTTGATACCATACTATATCCTGTTTAGCACTGCAAATGTGCTAGCAGTTTTATTCTTTTTCATGACAGCTTCAAATCTGAGAAAGTTCCAAATTGATCATGCAAATTTTAAAAAATACTCAAACCTAATAAATATAATTCTAAATACTTAGTTATTGCTCAGATTAATTGAGATACAATTTAGTTACTAACTGCCAATAAAAAACTACCACTAAAAGCAGATCTAGGTGTTAGTGGCATAACTAATAAAAGCAGATCTAGGTGGTAACTGCCATTTTGGACCTACCATTTCTTCTTGCCTGAGGTTGAACAGTTCTTGACTTGAGAGACTTTTGGGGCTGTAAGGCAAAAAAATAAAGTGGGATTTAGATTTTCTTGACCATTCTGGTGCTTGTCCCAGCATTATGGCACCCTCCTATCCTCTCTGTCAGAATCTCATCACCAGTCAATGTCCCCCTGCTTTTTTTGTCTTATCCTTATTTCTTCATCCAGAAAGCAGTCATTTTCTTCTTTTTCTTTCATGCAGCAAAGCTAAAGAAGCACTGCTAAAACTGCAGAAAGAGCGTGACTTCCATCGAATGCATCATAAACGAGTGGTGCAGGAAAAAAACAGGCTCATTAATGACATTAAAAGGTAAACGATTACAAACAGGGTTCTAAACCCACTTGGTTTTCAACAGAAGAGCCAGCATTACCTAAGAATGATATTTATGACATTCCCCTATTTACATGTGTTCAATTCATGCACAACCACTTATATGCACAGCCCTGGAAACCGGGAGGTGGGGGAAGAAACCTGAAAAGCCTCAGCAAAGCCCTGCTGTGCCTCCAGCTCATGCATAAATGGGGATACGCCTGTACAGTGGTACCTCGGGTTAAGTACTTAATTCGTTCCAGAGGTCCGTTCTTAAACCTGAAACTGTTCTTAACCTGAAGCACCACTTTAGCTAATGGGGCCTCCTGCTGCCACCACGCCGTCATCGTGCAATTTCTGTTCTCATCCTGAAGCAAAGTTCTTAACCCGAGGTACTATTTCTGGGTTAGCAGAGTCTGTAACCTGAAGCATATGTAACCTGAAGCGTATGTAGCCCGAGGTACCACTGTATAACAAAGAACTAAGAGGCTGAATTGATACAGGTAGCCTCAGTGGCAAGAAGTATCTTTTACCAACTGCATTTGCCATTCTTGGACTGGGAGAGCCTGGCCACATTACCTCGTACATTGGTTACTTCAAGATGTGATTACTGCAGTGTGCTCTATGTGGGGCTTCCCTCGTGTTTGATCCGGAAGCTGCAGTTAGTGCAGAATGCTGCAGCATAATTGCGGACAGGAGTGAGACCTGTGCTCAGATGTCTGCACTGGTTGTCGATCTGCTACCAGGCTCAGTTCATGGTGTTATTATTAGTATATAAAGCCCTTAACAACTTGGGACTAGTTTACCTATGAGATTGCCTTGCCCCATATGTGCCTCTTAACCACTTTGATCAGCAGAATTGACACTTTTAAAAGTGCCACATGATACCAGTTCCACACCTGTAAAAACCTGATCGTTTAGTGTGGCAGCACCGACACTTTGGAATTCCCTACCTATTGATATCAGGCAGGTGCCTTCACTGTCCTCTTTTCAGCACCTGCTGAAGACATTCATATTTAGACTGAAAAAAATCTCTTAGGAACTGAGTGGAACAACAGGGGCTATGTTCATCTGAACAAACAGCCTAAGGGGCAGGCCTCCCATTAAAAAAAAGGTCATCATTGATAAGCTCTAGAAGGTTTCAAACACTTTGCAGGCAAATTTGTTGATTGCACAGATTACATGCAGAGGATTAGTTAGATCTAAGCAACCTTCCTATATTAGAAATTGCCTCTCTATGTAGAAGTCAGAAAAAGAATATTGTTACTTTCTGAACTTGTTAAATGATGTGTGCTAAACAGTTTCTTGTGAATTACATAGCAAATAGACTCACCATCCATAATGAAAATTTGACTTTCTACTTAATTTGGTGGAACATTCTAAATTTAGGTTCTGTTGTAATTAATACTAGAGAAATACATTTTAGTTGATCTTTCTTAATTGTAATTTGCTTGGTTGTCAGTTCATATGTTCATTTTGTTTGCACCAGGGATAGATATAACATTCATCTGCAAGAAAGAAACAAAGTTCAATATGGACCAGCATATTTAATTCATTTAATGTACTTTGATAATTTGGAAAATGAAAACTCCCACCTCCATCAACATTTGGAATAGTTTGTTTGTTTTTCATAAGATTTTATTAAAGCTTTTTCATAATACAGTAAGATAAAAGAAACTAATCTAAATAAAAACAAAAACAGAAAGGAAAGAGAGAAGAAAATGCATAGTCCTCTCTCAAAGGTACCTCTTAGCCCTTGTCACCCACAGAAAGTGGTGGACCCTCCCAGCTCTCACCTGGGAGATTTCCTTTTTCCTCCCAATCTCTCACCCTGGGAGATCTTCACTTCTTTGCCTCTCACTCAGGGTCCTTCCACCAACCGTCCTTGAATCCCAATAATGGCCAGAGCAGAGGATAACAAAGAAGAAAAAACAAAAGAATAGAGAAGTAAAGAAATAAAATAAAAATGACTTCTGATTTTCTGTCTGTCAGTTACATAAAATAAATTATTCAAAACATTCACTCTAGGATGACATCCAACTATTCTACTTTGTGTTAAGCAGTGTTTTTCCAATCTTCAGACCTGAACATTTGGGTTAGTTTGAAAGAACTTGGATTGTATGATTCTTACAGGTAACCAAGAAACGTCTTTCTTCTGAGAATTAAATGCTAGAGAATATTTATTGCCTTGTGACCATTGTATAATTTCTTTTCTTTATTTTTTTGTAGACTGAAGACACATTATGCATCATATGAGCCACTGTTAAAGCAGTTGAATGAAAAATATGAGATTCTACTGCGAGAGAAGATGCTCACAAGCTTAGAAAGAGACAGAGTGGTTGGGCAGGTAAAAACCTGTAGTGTGTTTAACCTAGAGATTCAGAAAGCACTGATCTCTTTACTGTCTAATGTAGACTAATGTAGAGTCATGGTTAGAGTGTGGGACTAGGATGTGGGAGACAAGGAGTCAGATCTCCACTCAACCATGAAACTCACTGGGTGACCTTGGGCCAGTCACGTTCTCTCAGCTTAACCCCCCTGACAGGGTTGTGTTGAGGATGAAATAAGGAAGGGAAATAAAGAAGGATCATAATCCTAATCATACTTACTGGTTTAAGTTTCCATTTCTATCCTCAAAAAACAAGGTGGACCACATATAGGTAAAAAAGGTAAAGGACCCCTGGATGGTTAAGTCCAGTCAAAGGCAACTATGGGGTGCGGTGCTCATCTCGCTTCAGGCTGAGGGAGCCGGCATTTGTCTACAGACAGCTTTCTGGGTCATGTGGCCAGCATGACTAAACCACTTCTGGCACAATGGAACACCATGATGGAAGCCAGGGTGCACAGAAATGCTGTTTACCTTCCTGTCACAGCAGTACCTATTGATCTACTTGCATTGGTATGCTTTCGAACTGCTAGCTTGGCAGAAACTGTCAGAACAATGGGAGCTCACCCCATTGCACAGATTCAAGCCACCAGCCTTCCAATCGGCAAGCTCAAGAGGCTCAGTGGTTTAGACCACAGCACCACCTGTGTCCCTACCACAAAGAAAACCCAAGAATATGTAATGCACAAAGAACGTGGGGCATTGGCGATTTTGAGTTTTTCTTGGATGTCAAGTGCACAGAGCTCTTCTTAGTTTAAAATCAATGGGTCATATCACTGAATATAAAATGGAGAGATTACCTGAGGTGTGGGAGGGATAATTCTGTATTCTGAAGAAAGCTGTGCCTTGCTGCTTGCAAGTGCCATCTGCTGGATCTGGTGATTGGCAAGCAGCCACTTCTTAAAGTGAAAGGAGCCTCCCTGTCCATCAAAATTCTCTTCAGAGGTGTAATTGGTAGCTTGTCATTTCTTTGCCAAGTTAATAAACCAATCTCTTCACACACACACACAAACACGCACACACACGCACACACTACGCCAGACCCCAGCAGCATACAAATTCACAAGGATTTTTTCTCTTATATATCTATACCTATGAATAAAATGAATTAAAATATGTCCTGCTGGCAGCTACTGTTGAATCAACAGTTGCTGGCCAGAATTGCATGTCTCCGAGTTCTTTCTGCCTTCTAGCAGAACTGGATCCATGTGCTGGACTGTGTTAGGCTGTATGCCAATGAAAGAGCTCTAAGAGTGCTGCTGTGCTTGGCCTGCTTCCTTTCCAAAGCCTCTCAGCAAGCTGATATCTGGCTTTTCAGTTAAGACCCTGAAACATGTTTAAATGAGGTTATTTTTTATTTTCAGTTTTGGAAAATGCAAGGTTATGTGTAGGGCAAGTGGTGTCTCTGTCACTTCAACCTACTTATATAGTGGGTAAAAGGATAATATAACCCACTGCATAATGGTTTCACTCTTTCACACTGGTGAATCCTGATATTATTGTCAGCCATGCAGAATCTCCCAAGTGTCACTGCTATGCCGCCTCCATTCATTTCAGTGAGGTTTATGCCTCAAACAAGCCTTGAGAAAATGAATAATGTGTTCTGCTGCTAAATTCATAACACTGTTCTGCATCTAATGTCAAGGTTCTCCCAATTTTGACACAATTAAATAGATGGATAACATTATTTCAAGAAAAGGAGCAGAATTCATCATTCCCTTTATTAGCCTCACTAAAACGATTGAGGCACTTGGTAGATTTTGCAAGAGTTAAAGCCTCAGGTGTCTTCAGTATAAATATGCAAAACAACTGTCGTTATATATTTCATAGAAGTGTACGTGACTACACTTCTAGGCACAGTGTGAGGAATGTATGTTTGATGCATATTATCCCAGTGTGGGACAGATCTGATACATTCATTTCCCTCCTTGTCAGGCACATCTCCTGTTCAGTTGTGGATAGAGCATGGCAAAAGCAGAGGGCCAAGAAGGCAAAGCCAACCTATATGCAATAAGGGCAGATCTCCTCAGTGCTCAGACTGTTTAGCAAGACAGCCCTGGAAGCATTCACAGGATCACTCTGCCTTATTGATACAAATAAAGCATATTTGATTCCCCCCCCCCCAAGAATCCTAAGAACTGTAATTAGCCCCACACAGAGCTACAATTTCCAGCATCCAAAACAGACTACAGTTCCTAGGATTCCTGGTCGGAGTATGCGCTTTAAATGTTTGGGTTGTTTTTGGGTAGCCTGGCCACAATTTTGCATCAACCAAAATGCTCCAGACTTCACAGAATCATAAAATCATGGAGTTGGAAGAGACCCCCAGGAGTTGTCTGGTCCAACCCTTTGAAATGCAGGAATCTCAACTAAAGAATCCAAGACAGATGGCCACCCAACCTCTGCTTAAAAACCTCCAAGGAAGGAGAGTCCGCAAGCTCCCAAGGGAGTGCGTTCCACTATCGATCAGCTCTTACTGTCAGAAGGTTCTTCCTGATGTCTAGTTGGAATCTCCTTTCTTGTAACTTGAAGCCATTTATTCAAGTCCTACCCTCCAGAGCAGGAGAAAACAAGTTTGCTGCATCTTCCATGTGACAACCCTTTAGATATTTGAACTTAATTATGTTCCAGGGCACCATGAAGGGTAGATGGTGGAGAGTATTTTGAAAACACTGCAAAGTGACATTTTTGTGAGAAAAAGAGAAGTCTTAGTATTTTTGAAGAATAAATGGCTTTTGATAAATTTTGGCTCAGCTGTAGTTGATACAGCTGGCTTTCTTGCATTTCCCATCTTTGGCCAGAGTGTGGTGGTAATTTGCAGGCTAAATTCCTGCTGGATAATTTAGGCCACCTGTAAGCTTGAGTGCTGATTCCCCTTTGCCCGAGAGTTACTGACGAACTATGTGAAGTGATCTTGAGAAGGTGGAAAGATTGTTTACTTCACTTTAATTACCCTGACTGAGTGCATGGAAAGCATTGTTTAAAATTATGTTGAAGGATAACTAATATATTGATTTCTATAGGCACTCAGATTCTTACCACATTGAGATATTTTAGGCTGATTATTTTGCATGCATTCACACATATGTCTGATTTTCTTAATGGGAGAAATGAAAGTTCTCAATGTCTTTTTCCCTTCATTGTTCAGATTACAGGTTTACAAGCCACTTTACGAAGCTTAGAGTCTGGAAGCTACATTCAAATTCCTGTCACTAAAGGTAAACGGTTTCCTATATATTGAAATCCCAAACTTGAACAGAAAAAAATGCTTTTCAAAGATTGTGCAAATGGTTAGGCATTCAAAATTCTCCTGCATGTTAAACCCTAAAATGATTTAATGAATGTTAAGCTTTGAGACACAGCGATTCACATGGAGGAGGCAAATGGGTGTGAGCTCTGAAGGGCTATGGTGGGAAAACATTGTTAAATCTGCAAAATGAATGAAATGCTTTCCCAGCTACTGTGGGAGTTGAGATGTCACTGAATGGATTTTTAATACTGCGTCAGTTCTCTTTCCTGATTGCCTGGGAGCAGAGGTTGCCCTGGGGATGAGATAGTCCATCATTTCATTAAATACTGCAGACTCTGTCTAGTCCACCATAGAAACAGTCCTCCATGCTTAGAGAGATTCCTGCAGGAATCAACAGAGTTTTGTATCCGCTTTCCTTCCTGCAGGGTGTGTGCATGGTCAGTACACTGCCTGTTACAGGCCAGACATTGATATGGGAACCATTTACAGGCATCTCATTCCCTTAATGGCTTGGTGTGTTGAGTGGATGTGCTGAGGAATGGGAAGGGGGAGTGTTGGCTCCATGAGGATTCCTCTGTATACAGGCTGAATTGACTCTGAGCTTTTCTGTTTTAAAAAACATTTTGTTACCAAGTTTTGAAGTACAAGATGCTAATGTTAAGCAAAATTTGAATATGTACAAACTGAAATATGGAGGCTTTTTGAGGGATTTGCATTTTTATATTAGGAAGCGGCATTTATATGTTATTTGTATTAGCAAATTCACTAAAAGGTTAAGGGTGTTCATGTTTGGATGGAGACTTGAAAATCAAAACAGGAAACTCAAATGCTGTTTGCAATATCACTTTACTACTATTGTTTAACTGGAAAATAGGTTGGCAATAAGTCATAGCATATGTCAAGTTTTATAGATCTTGATCATGGACATTTCTTTTCCTTTGAGTAGCTTTATGAAATATATTTGCAGGTTTGGCAATGGAACATTGATATTTTTATTTTATGAGCCCTTCAGCCTATCTGCTGCATTACTATCATTTTACTCACCTTCCAGAAGTCTAATAGAAATGACTTACTATAAAAATAAATAGCAACTGCAGTGAAATGTGATTAGGCTGCAGCCTTAAGCATATTCACAAGGAAGTCTCATTGAAGTTAGTGTGACTTCCTTCCAGGGTAAACTGTTTAGCATCCGCCCATAATGTTTTATGATAGTTGCATGGCTAAACCCTTTTGCGTATAATTTTTTGTAGTGGTTGTGTGTGTGTGTAACAAAACATTGATTTAGATTCTGGTTGATTCAATCAGTAGGTACGCAGTTTATTTTAGAGGCAGAGGTCTCACTGGGGTGTACCATTTCAGATTGTAGGTTGGAGTTTACATGCTTGAACTCCATAAACACCACATCCCCTCGACACAGAAAATCTGTCGCTCCAATAAGGAGAAGTATGGTAGCCAAGTGTTCTCCTTGATGTGTTAGAATGCTGTTTAGTGTGCCCCTCCCCATAAACGCTGCTGGATTTCATATTTTGATAGCAGGTCCATTGTAGGTAGAAGGTGTGGTCCCAGGAATACCTCAGTGAAGATGTTCACTCAGAGTGCAGCAGCTGTAAAAGAGGTGTGTTAAGGATCATTAGGAAAGGGACTGAAAGCAAAACTACCAATACTATTATGTTGTTATAAAAATCTAAATTACAGTTGTATTTGGAATATTGTATACAATTCTGGTTGCTGCACCTTAAAAAGCACGTTGAAGTTAAGCTGGAAAAGATCAGAAAATAGCAACCAAAAGGTTCAAGGGGCTGAAAAACTCCTATGAGGAAAGGTTGCATCATGGAGGTCCTTTAGAAAAAGTGGCTAGAGAGTTTTCCTCCTCCTCCTCACATAATACTATAACCCAGGGCCACACAGTGAAACCAAATGTTGGAAGATCACAGGAGCCAGATATATGGAGAAACGTGACTCAAAGAAGTAGGAGGCCCAGGGTTTGCTCTGATTGTTTAGAAATACACAATCGCTTTGAGGTCCTCTCCCCTAGCATGGAAGACGAAGAGCAGACTCCATTTGAGGATCTCTCCTCATTACAGTCGATCAGGTATATGAAGACGAGCAGCAAAGTCAGTCCTCAGGGAATGTGCAGGCGACCTTGGAGCGGACAGCTCACGGAAGAACCCCGACCAAACCTAAGAGGAGGCATGTAGTGGTGATAGGGGATTCCCTACTGAGGGGAACAGAAGCAGTGATCTGTGGGCCTGACAAGATGTCTCGGGAAGTGTGCTGTCTCCCAGGGGCTAAGATCCAAGATGTAACTGAACGACTGCAAGGAATCATAAAACCCACTGACAAATACCCCTTCCTCTTGGTTCATGTGGGAACCAATGACACTGCAAGCAATAGCCTCCAGAAGATCAAAAGAGACTACGAGGCTCTGGGCAGGAAATTGAAGCAATTAAATGCACAAATTGTGATCTCATCTGTCCTCCCAGTTGAACGACGAGGCCCAGGGAGAGAGGGGAAAATAGTGGAAGTGAACAGCTGGCTTCGCAAATGGTGTAAACAGGAACAGTTTGGATTCTTAGATCACGGACTGCAGTTTCTTGAAGATGGACTTCTGGCAAGCGATGGGCTGCACCTCACAACGGTTGGGAGAAATGTTTTTGCCCGAAATCTCAGAGACCTCATCAGGAGGGCTGTATACTGACTAATGTGGGGAGGGAGACAGTGCTCCTGAAGGTAGGAGTCTATCAATTGATGAAGATGATCATCCAAATGTCCTTGACCAAATGGAGCACACAGCACACAGACCGAGTGGTGGGAGGAAAAATCCTTAAATAAGAGTCACGGGGGAATGATTAATGGACTTCAATGTCTGTACACTAATGCGCAAAGCATGGGAAATAAACAAGATGAGCTTGAGCTCTTGGTACAGCAAACTAAATATGACATAATAGGCATCACTGAAACCTGATGGGATAAGTCCCACGATTGGAATGTAATAATGGGGGGATACAATCTATTTCAGAGAAACAGACCAGACAAGAAAGGAGGAGGAGTGGCGTTATATGTCAGGGATGTGTATACCTGTGAAGAGATCCAAGATTTAGAACCTCAAAGCCAAAGTGAGAGCATTTGGGTCAAAATTAAGGAGAGAAGAATAACAGTGACCTCACTGTGGGAGTTTACTATAGATCCCCAAGCCAAACGGAGGACATAGATGATGCCTTCCTGGAACAGATGGCCAAGCATGCAAAAGGAAGGAGATAGTAGTAATGGGGGACTTCAATTACCCGGATATTTGTTGGATGTCAAACTCAGCCAAGAGCATAAGGTCAAACAGATTCCTCACTGGCCTTGCAGACAACTTCATTGTCCAGAAAGTGGGAGAAGCAACAAGAGGAACAGCCATTTTAGATCTGGTCCTAACCAATGTTGATGACCTGGTTAGTGGGGTAGAAGTGGAAGGATCATTAGGCGCGAGTGATCATGCTCTTCTGAAGTTTACTATACAGCGGAAAGGAGCAGCCAAGCATACTAGGACTCAATTTCCTGACTTTAAGAAAGCTGACTTCATAAAACTTAGGGAAGTGCTGGGTGAGATCCCATGGACAGTAATACTAAAAGGAAAGGGAGTTCATGATGGCTGGGAGTTTGTTAAGAGGGAGATACTAAAAGCACAACGTCAGGCAATACCAATGAGACAGAAACATGGAAGGTGCCTAAAGAAGCCAGGGTGGCTATCTAAAGAACTTTTAACTGAGTTAAGATTAAAAAAGGATGTGTACAAAAAATGGAAAAGGGGAAACCACCAAAGAGGAATTCAAACAAATAGCCAGCACGTGTAGACACAAAGTCAGAAAAGCTAAAGCACAGAATGAACTCAGGCTTGCTAGAGAGGTTAAAAGCAACAAAAAAGGCTTTTATGGGTATGTTCGTAGCAAAAGGAAGAACAAAGAAACAGTGGGGTCACTCAGAGGAGAAGATGGTGAAATGCAAACAGGGGACACAGAAAGAGCTGAACTCCTCAATGCCTTCTTTGCCTCAGTCTTCTCCGATAAAGAAAACAATGCCCGACCTGAAGAATTTGAAGCAAATGATTCAGCAAAGGAAACACAGCCCAGAATAACTAAGGAGATAGTACAAGAATACTTGGCTAGTTTAGATGTATTCAAGTCTCCAGGGCCAGATGAACTGCATCCAAGAGTATTAAAAGAACTGGCAGATGTGATCTCAGAACCACTGGCAGTCATCTTTGAGAATTCCTGGAGAACAGGCGAAGTCCCGGCAGACTGGAGGAGGGCAAAAGTTGTCCCTATTTTCAAAAAGGGGAAAAGAGAGGACCCAAATAATTACCGCCCAGTCAGTCTGACATCAATACCAGGGAAGATTCTGGATCAGATCATTAAGCAAACAGTCTGTGAGCACCTAGAAAGGAATGCTGTGATCACCAATAGTCAGCATGGATTTCTGAAAAATAAGTCATGTCAGACTAACCTGATCTCGTTTTTTGACAGAATTACAAGCCTGGTAGATGAAGGGAACGCAGTGGATGTAGCCTACCTTGATTTCAGCAAGGCATTTGACAAGGTGCCTCATGATATTCTTGTAAAGAAGCTGGTAAAATGTGGTCTTGACTATGCTACCACTCAGTGGATTTGTAACTGGCTGACTGACCGAACCCAAAGGGTGCTCATCAATGGTTCCTCTTCATCCTGGAGAAGAGTGACTAGTGGGGTGCCACAGGGTTCTGTCTTGGGCCCAGTCTTATTCAACATCTTTATCAACGACTTGGATGATGGACTCAAGGGCATCCTGATCAAATTTGCAGATGACACCAAATTGGGAAGGGTGGCTAACACCCCAGAGGACAGGATCACACTTCAAAACGACCTTGACAGATTAGAGAACTGGGCCAAAACAAACAAGATGAATTTTAACAGGGAGAAATGTAAAGTATTGCACTTGGGCAAAAAAAATGAGAGGCACAAATACAAGATGGGTGACACCTGGCTTGAGAGCAGTACATGTGAAAAGGATCTAGGAGTCTTGGTTGACCACAAACTTGACATGAGCCAACAGTGGGACGCGGCAGCTAAAAAAGCCAATGCAATTCTGGGCTGCATCAATAGGAGTATAGCATCTAGATCAAGGGAAGTAATAGTGCCACTGTATTCTGCTCTGATCAGACCTCACCTGGAGTACTGTGTCCAGTTCTGGGCACCACAGTTCAAGAATGACATTGACAAACTGGAACATGTCCAGAGGAGGGCAAGCAAAATGGTCAAAGGCCTGGAAACGATGCCTTATGAGGAACGGCTAAGGGAGCTGGGCATGTTTAGCCTGGAGAAGAGGAGGTTAAGGGGTGATATGATAGCCATGTTCAAATACATAAAAGGATGTCACATAGAGGAGGGAGAAAGGTTGTTTTCTGCTGCTCCAGAGAAGCGGACACGGAGCAATGGATCCAAACTACAAGAAAGAAGATTCCACCTAAACATTAGGAAGAACTTCCTGACAGTAAGAGCTGTTTGACAGTGGAATTTGCTGCCAAGGAGTGTGGTGGAGTCTCCTTCTTTGGAGGTCTTTAAGCAGAGGCTTGACAACCATATGTCAGGAGTGCTCTGATGGTGTTTCCTGCTTGGCAGGGGGTTGGACTCGATGGCCCTTGTGGTCTCTTCCAACTCTATGATTCTATGATTCTATGATTCTATGATTCTATAAGATCAGGACAGATAAAAAGGAAGCACTATTCATACTGTGAATAAACACAGGAATTTGGCCACAAGTTCTGATGGCTCTGCATAACTCTGATGTTGAAAGTAACATGCCTCTGAGTACCAGTTGCTGGGGAGCAGAAGTGGGGAGAGTGCTGTTGTGCTCATGTCCTACTTGTAGGTCTCCCACAGGCCTCTGGTTGACCATTGTGAGTGGAGGATGCTGGGCAAGATGGAACTTTGGTCTGGTCCATCCAGAATCTCCTTATATGTTGGTACAGTCTGAAGTGATTGAACAAGATGTAGCCATTTTTTTTATTTAAGGCTGTGATCCTAGTGAAATTTTTAGCAATGGTGGTCACTGATAATATGCAGCTTTCATTGAAAAAAGACTTTAATTGTGTACAAAAAATAGCTGAGGATAATTAGTGTTAATATTGGGGCTGTATGTTTCACGCTTTTGCTCAGTTTGGGACCTAAATGGAACAAAGTTAACAGAACAGATACACAATTTACTGAAGTGATTTTCAGGAACATCACTGAAAAGATGCAGAGCGAACAGTGCAAAACCTGTAAATCATGGGAAAATACTTTTCTTAAATTTCAGTAAAAATGTTCCTAATTGTCTGTAGTGGCTGAGGAAGTGTTTTTCCCCTGTATATTATACACCAGATTTTCTTCATTTTGCCTGCTGACTCTAATGAGTGACTTGTTATATCTCTATTGAAGTAACATTCCTGGGGTAAAACAATAGCATTCCACTTTTATATACCAGCACAGTTCCTAGGGTTATAGGCTATGAACAAAAGGCTACCTTGCTAAAGCACTCCAGATAGTAAGCCAACCCTATTTTTAGAGGGAGGAATTAAGGTTATTTTGTCATATTCCTGTTCTCCACCAGGAAACATTTCAGATGATACCCATTTACAGTAATCAAGACAGCCCAGACTCACAACAGCAGAATGACTCTGTACTGCTATTCAGTGTGGCTCTTCGAAAAGCTCTATTCATTTTTGAAAACAAGTTTTTGGGAGATGAAAACTGTTATTTATAATTAATCTCTTAAGTACCTCTAGTAGGTGGGGGGACGCGGGTGGCGCTGTGGGTAAAACCTCAGCGCCTAGGACTTGCTGATCGCATGGTCGGCGGTTCGAATCCCCGCGGCGGGGTGAGCTCCCGTCTTTAGGTCCCAGCGCCTGCCAACCTAGCAGTTCGAAAGCACCTCCGGGTGCAAGTAGATAAATAGGTACCGCTTTATAGCGGGAAGGTAAACGGCGTTCCGTGTGCTGCGCTGGTGCTGGCTCGCCAGAGCAGCTTCGTCACGCTGGCGTGACCCGGAAGTGTCTCCGGACAGCGCTGGCCCCCGGCCTCTTAAGTGAGATGGGCGCACAACCCTAGAGTCGGACACGACTGGCCCGTACGGGCAGGGGTACCTTTACCTTACATCTAGTAGGTGGGATGGGGTGGAAGTGGAACGGTGAAATGAGTGAATGAGCAAGGATTATATGGCAAGGAGTACCAGCAGTGGTGGTTATGCAGCAGTCATGGCTGGACGCTCTCCTCGCTCCACCATCCTACTTATGCCATGGTGCCACACTGTTTTCATAGCCCACAGAAAATAAGCACAGAAGGAGCCTTCTATCAGCAGGCTGCAGTTACAACAAGATCAAGTAGGGAAAAAATAAGCTTCTTTCTTTTGGGATGCCTTACTCTTGTCCCCCAGCCATCACATAGCAGTGGTCTAGATACCCATCAACTGGACCAACTGCTACCAAGCCTTTTCACGTCCCTGTTTATACCTGTATGCAAACTTACATACTGCCTACATATTTATGGAGATGCGGATGTGTGGTTTTTTTTTTTTACAATGAATCTGGAAAATATTACATGTCACTGGATTCTTGCACTTTGCCAGTATACACTTAGTTACGTTGGGGCATCAGCAACTGAATTCCAGTATTAATCTTAGTAAGGAAACATTCATTTATTTATCTGTTTTCCCTAAGATAGTGGGCAGTGAGTAAAATGGTTCTGCTGCTTGAAGGGGCAAATGCAATGTTACAGAATGGGAAGTTGATTAATAATGCAAGTTTATACACAGGCTTCCCCAAACCCAAATTGCCTAGACATTGGTTGTACTCATTTCTAGATGGGGTTGCACTCTTCCCTCAGAAGAGCTGGTACATAGTCTGGGGGTGCTCCCTGACTCACATTTCTTGCTGGAGGCTTCAGTGACTTCAGTATAGTTTTGCCAGCTTCTCTCCCTTTGACAGCTATGATTATTTTGGGACAGGGATAGCCGTGACATGGTGACTCATGCATTGATAACCTGAAAACTGGACAATTGTAATATGCTGTATATGGGAGTGTTCTTAAGGCTGGTCTGGAACCTGCAACTAGGACAGAATGCAGCAGCTAAGTTGCTGGGTGAGGCACCATCCCAAGCACAAGTTATGTCACTTTTAAAAGAGGAGCAGCACCGGTTTCTTATATGTGACCAACCTAGTTTAAGATTTTTGTTCTGACTTAAAAAGTCCTAAACAACATTGGACTAGGCTGCCTGAGGGAAAGACTTATTACAGTTCAGGTCATTAAGATTGTCTGATAACCCTGTCCTGTCACCTGGTTGTGCCACAACACAATTTTATGTAAACTAGAGATGAGGAATCTATGTGTGTCTAACCCTCACTATACCCCCACTGTAAACCTTCCCCTGCATTAAAGCTTATTAGGCAAGTTCCTTCCAAAAGGAATTGCAGTTTTAAAACGTTTTAGTCATCATGCAATACAGAATGACCTGGTTGGTATGCAGTGCAAAATGACTGAATGACTGAATAGGAAGAGGCACCTGTTTTAATTCTGCTGCATATACGGTACATACCTTCCATCCCACCTGAAAGGCACTCAAAACAGGAGGTCTGCAAATGCTTCTGAGATATTATACTGTGTAACTGTAATGATTTTGTAGAACTTGGAAATGTGTTTGATCAGAAGATGCTATTTAAACCTCTGGGCTTTCCTAGTTCTGTAGCAGTTTGCAAGTATGTATATTTCACAAACGAACACATTCCCACGAGCAATGTAACTGCCAGACAACCACAGCCACTGAGTGAGAGAAGAGCTTCCAAACAAATAAAACATTTCTGCAATGTGTAATGCTTAGGGAAATACTCTGAGACATGATACTTGTAACAGTTGTTGAAAAGTTTTTAAAGTATTTATAAGGCTAGCATCTTGTGCAAGAAACAGTTCTTTTCACATGCGTCCCTTCAAATAAATTAGTTAAGGTGGCCATACCTTCAGTTACTTTTATTTTAAGGGTTTTAGCTCAAAGAGAAGTTATTCTGGGGCAGGTCCCATGAATGGGAACTGTGCAGAGAACATAGCTGTTTATTTCAGTGGGGCTTACTTCCTAGTCGATTGCAGGCCCAGACAGAGGGGGGGGGCCATATGGGCCACTTGGCCCGGGCCTCCGATTCCAAAGGGGGCCTCGGTCAGCATATTCACAATCGCAGGGGATACACTGGGGCAAACACGGAGGCGCAAAGGGGGCCACGTGATCTACCTGGCCTGGGCCTCTGCCTGGCTCCGCAAGGCCCTGGTCGATTGTGCCCTTTGGATGCAGGCTTCATAGTAAAAATGAGAGAATAATTTCACATGCAGAAAGGATTTTTCAATTTATTTGTTTTAGATGCACATATTATTTTAGTGTTGGATTTTGTGTACTTTTCAAGAATGACAATTCAAATGACTTCAGTTTACCCATATGGCCATCACAGTCAATTTTACAGAACACTGAAGCATGCAATGCAAAAAGGTATATGTTATCTGGAAAACATGGATAGGCTGGTTGGTCTAAATCTTTAAACAGACTTGATTTAACAAACAGTTTTCCCCACTGGTGCTTGCAGTTTTTATAGAATATATATATATTCATTGATACTCATCAAAAGATATACAAAAGTTCATACACAATACAAAGTATCTTTTTATAATACACCATAATAAAAAATATTTTTGAAATCTAATATAAAAAGGAACAGGAGCAAAAAGAAAGAAGAAAAGTAATTTTCCTGATTAACAGAAGCATTAAAAATCTTAGCCAGCAAAGAATCAAGTAGGTTGTCCTATGGATATATTTTAAAAGTCAGAAAAATAAATAATATTTAAAATAATCAAGAAATTAATGGTACAGGTGGATTTACAGCAACTTCCATCAGCCTCATGTGCAGGGTTTTTTTCAGCCGGAACTCACTTGAACTCAGTTCTGGCACCTCTCAAGTGGGCACCATTGCCATCAATATGGAACAAGGGAGGCGTTCATGGTGAGTTTCGGCACCTCTTTTTCTAGAAAAATAGTACTGCTCATGTGTAATCATTATTCCAGCATTTGTAACCTTCACACTTATTAGTTCTGTTGAATTTCGCACAAGGACATCGACAGGAATTATGATGCTGACCTTAAGCATTAAAGGTAAAGGTAAAGGTAAAGGGACCCCTGACTGTTAGGTCCAGTCGCGGACGACTCTGGGGTTGCGGCGCTCATCTCGCTTTATTGGCCGAAGGAGCCGGCATACAGCTTCCGGGTCATGTGGCCAGCAGGACTAAGCCGCTTCTGGCGAACCAGAGCAGCGCATGGAAACGCTGTTTATCTTCCCGCCAGAGCGGTACCTATTTACCTACTTGCACTTTGTGCTTTCGAACTGCTAGGTTGGCAGGAGCTGGGACCGAGCAATGGGTGCTCATCCCATCGCGGGGATTTGAACCGCCGACCCTCTGATCGGCAAGCCCTAGGCTCTGTGGTTTAACCCACAGCGCCACCCGCATCCCATAAGCATTAAGATTGTGTTAAAATGGCAAATGCAGTTCAGTGGCAGAGGCTGACCACCAGAAAAGGCATCTTGGGGACTGTTGATGGAAAGCTCAATTAATATGTTGACCCAGCTGTTTAAAAGATGAATTCCATGTTAGGGAGCATTAGGAAAGGGAAATTGGTGGTGCAGCTGCACTTGGAATAGTGTGAACAGTTCTGGTACCTACATCTCAAAAAGGATATTGTAAAGCTGGGAAAAGAGCAAAGTGATAAAGTGGCTGGTACAATTCACCTGTGAAGGAACATTACATTGTTTGGGGCTTTTTATATTAGAATAAAATCAAGCATAAAACCTGCATTTGAATGCTATTTCAAATGGGTTTGTAATATTATGTTACGTTGTATTATCTATGTAGTACCACTTCAAGTAATAAATAAATAAAAGTTCTTTTTTTTGGTATTCAATAAAATTTAATAAAAAATTAAAAATAAAATAAATAAAAGTATGCATGGTATGGAGGTTTTGAAGTGTTTTGTATTGTAGCATGTTTCTTAGTAATGTATTTGTACTGTTGTGAACTGCCCATGGAAGCAGTGATGAAGGATGAAGGATCCGGTCTATATTAGTTCCCTTTGATATTGTAAATGTGAATGTTACATCGTCTTTCATGTTAAAGGCAATAACCCCCATGCAGATAGTCCATTTTGTGCTCTTTTTAGTCAGAGCTTTTTCTGTCATTCTCAAATTGCTATCCAGCATAGACTTCTCAACCAGCTTTTTAACTGGAGAGAATATAATGAGACACTTGTGACTTGTGGGTGTGCAGTTGTACATGCAGATATACTTTCATACTCATACTCATTTTTAGAGCTCTGCTAAATAAATAAATAAAAAAGATTCCAATTTTGTGACTGCAGTCCTCTTCTCCCAAGCACTGTTGATTTTCAAACAATATGGATTCTTCTGCTCTGTGGTTCTTCAGGCTCTGTATAATGGTGCCCACATTGACACTAGCAGTGCCATCTTCCGGGTGTGTACAGATCAGTTGCCAGGTGTTGTGTATTGAGTCAAAGGATTTTATATCTGTATTATTATTGTCTGTATTTGCATTAGGGTAAAGTAACTGCCTTTTGGTTCCAGAGGGTACAGCTACTATTGGTTCATTTAAGCTGCTGTATTTGGATCCTCTGTCTTATTGGTTCCCTCCAAAAGGCAGGACTGTGATTGCCTGATATTGTTCCCTCCAAAATGTATCCTTTCTTGCTAGTTCCCTGTCCCTATAAATGTAGCTTTCCTCTCCCCAGTCTTCAGTCTTGTTGCTTTAATAAAGAAGTGTTACTAGAGAACTGTCTCCAGCATGTTATATCAGGAGAGCTGAAATCACAAACCCCACGTCACAACAACTGGCGACGAGGATGGGATCCGGAATGCTGAGGAGCGGTTAAACGCAGCCCTGCCTCAGAGTCCGGATTGCAGCTAAGAACAAGACTCACTGACCAGCTGAGAAGACGACCCTGCCACAGGACAATGGAGAGTCCAAGGGTATTGGAGCCCTTCCAGCCATCAGAGCCCGACACGTGGGAAGACTACGTCGAACGCTTCGAGTTCTTCGCAGAGGCTCAAGGGATCACCGATGCCAGCAAAAGAAGGGCCACATTCCTGAGCTACTGTGGGCCTGAGACCTTCAAGCTGGCCAAGGCATTGCTTGCTCCAGCGAAGCTAAGTGAGACATCTCTCAAAGATATTCTTGCCTGCCTAACAAGCCACTTGGCGCCTACTGAGACCAAGATGGCTCGGCGGATGGAGTTTCATAAGAGGCAGCAGCATGCTGGGGGAGTCTGTATCTGCATTTCTGGCTGAACTGCGGAAGCTCGCTCAGCGCTGCGACTTCCAAAATCTGGAAGAGACTCTCCTGGATCGGTTTATCGGTGGTCTGAGCAGCAAGAAGGCCAGAAGACGCATCGTGGCTAAAGAAGAGGTTACCCTTGCTTCAGCCTTGAAGGAGGCCACCGCCACGGAGAATTATGAAAGAGAGGAGCTTGATGCCAGTCGCAAGGCCCCTAAGCCACAGATAGAAGTTGCGCATGCCATGGACGAGCTAGAGGCTACTCCGAGCCAGAGCCCAGTCCGTGGGGTCGAGTCAGTGAGTCAGGCCTGCACAGTGCACAAAGATCACCGAGGCAGGTGCCCAGGTTGTGGCGGAAACCATGAGCGGAAGAGTTGTCGTTTCCGGGATGCTATGTGCCGGACGTGCGGGAAGACAGGTCACATCGCCAGAGTCTGTAGATCGGCGGCGTTGGGAGCGACAGGAGCACCTAGACCGGAGCATCGCAGACCGCCCGCAGCAACCCATTTTCTAAAGGACTGCCACTACGTTACGGAGATCAACGGGAGGGTCGTGCAGTTCCCAGCACAAGGCAAGGCACACGTCAAGGTGAAGATTGAGGGTCAGCAGTGCGACATGGAGGTGGACTCCGGATCTGGATTCACTATCGTGTCGGACGAGACCGCGAGGACATTCTTCCCCAGGGGTAAGTTGCCCCCTCTGGAACCCTTCCCGGCAACCTTGCAGTCATACTCAGCGGGCCGCATCCATGTTATGGGAATGTGTGCCGTGAGAGTACAGTTCCGGGACAAACAGGCTGTACTCAAACTGGTGATTGCGAAGGGCAGTCGCCCCAGTCTCCTGGGCACTGACTGGTTCCCCGCCCTAGGACTGAGTATATCAGGGCTTAATTCAATCCAAACCTGCCCTGAGATGAGCGAGGCATTATGCAAAGAATTTGCTGGTCTCTTTAATGGAAAACTGGGTTGTTATAAAGGGCCCCCAGTTGACTGAGTTGGACCCTGGGGTGGCCCCAATCCGGCTCAAACCAAGGCGAGTGCCATTTGCACTGCAACCCAAGATCGAAGCAGAGCTGGATAAATTGGTCAAGCAGGGAGTTCTCTCACCCGTGGACTCTGCTAAGTGGGAGACTCCAATCGTCACGCCCCTTAAAGCAAATGGGGAAGTCAGGATCTGTGCAGATTACAAATGTACTATCAATAAGGCACTCAGGGGAAACTCATACCCCATTCCAGTCGTATCACATCTCTTGGCTAAACTGGCTGGGGGCAAGGTGTTCGCCAAAATTGACCTGGCACAAGCTTACCAACAGCTGCCAGTAACCCCACAATCAGCGGAAGCACAGACTATTGTCACACATAAAGGGGCGTTCAGAGTTAACAGATTACAATTTGGAGTTTGTGTGGCCCCAGGGATTTTTCAAGGGCTCATGGAACACCTGTTAAGAGGTCTGCCGGGGTCTTGCCATTTTTGATGACGTTTTGATTGCTGGAAAAGACCCTCAGGCACTGGTTGCGCGGGTTCGTGCAGTGTGGCTCAAGTTCACGGAGGTGGGGTTGCAACTGCAAAAGGAAAAATGCAGTTTTGGGGTGCCAACTGTGGATTTCTTGGGGTTTAAAGTTGATGCATCAGGCATCCACCCCACAGATGCTAAGATTAAGGCCATCATCGAGGCGCCACGACCACAGAACAAGACGGAGTTGCAGTCATTCCTGGGACTTATTAACTTTTATCATTCGTTCTTACCCCAGAAAGCTTCGGTAGCTGAACCATTACATAGACTGTTGCAGAGAAAGACTGTGTGGCGATGGGGGCAGGGGCAGCAGAAGGCTTTGACTCCTTGCGAGGAATGCTGAGTAGCAGGAGTGTCCTTGCTCATTATGACGAGTCAAAGCCTCTGGTCCTGGCATGTGATGCCTCTCAATACGGCCTGGGGCGGTGCTAAGTCATAGGGAACCGGATGGGTCGGAAAAGCCCATCTCTTTCTATTCCCGTACGTTGTCGCCCACGGAGCGCAACTATGCTCAAATTGACAAAGAGGCGCTTGCAATTGTGGCAGGAATCAAAAAGTTCCATGATTATGTGTACGGTCGCCATTTCTACATTGAAACGGACCACAAGCCACTGTTAGGGTTGTTCAACCCGAACAAACAAACGCCACAAATTCTCTCCCCCAGAATGTTACGTTGGTCTATATTCCTGAACGGGTTCCAGTACACCTTGACCCATGTGCTGGGAAGCGGTTGTGCCACGCGGATGCGCTGAGTCGATTGCCCCTTCCTGGCGGGAGCACTGAGGATCCTGCTCCAGCGGAGCACATAATGATGCTGGAAACACTTCCGGGGCTCCTGTAACGGCTACTGATATAGCTGAGAAACGAGGAAAGATGCTGTTCTCTCCCGTGTGCTCACTTGGGTGGGGAGGGTGGCCAGGTGGTCCGCATGAAGACAAATTCAGGCCTTATGCGACTAGGCAGCACGAGTTGTCCATGCATAAGGGTTGTCTCCTGTGGGGAGATAGGGTCATCATTCCAGCACCACTGAGAAACAGGGTTCTTGAGACGCTTCACATGGGACACCCGGGAATGGTCAGGATGAAGTCGCTAGCCCGATGTTATGTGTGGTGGCCTGGAATGGACCAGAACATAGAACAATGGGTACGAACATGCAAGGCATGCCAAGAGGTGCGGCCAGAAGTGGCCAGAGCCCCAGTCCACTGGTGGGAGCAGTCCAGATCTCCCTGGAGCCGGCTGCACTTAGATTTTGCTGGGCCATTCCAAGGAAAGGTCTTTTTGGTTATCGTTGATGCATATTCCAAATGGTTAGAAGTGGCGATGGTCCCTAGCATGGCATCAGCTGCCGTCATCAAGGTGTTGAGGCAGCTGTTTGCAACCCACGGGTTACCTGAGACCATTGTATCTGATAATGGGGCAGCTTTTGTATCCCAAGAATTCAGGGCATTCTTGGCTGATAACTTCATAAGAGGGGTAACATCCGCACCCTTTCACCCATCCTCCAATGGGCAGGCTGAGCGCATGGTAAGAACAGCCAAAGAATCCATTGTGCGCTTAATGGAGGGTAACTGGTCAGCTCGCATCGCGCGAATGTTATTTTTGCAGCATGCGACGCCGTGTACCACAACGGGCAAGTCGCCAGCTGAGCTGCTCTTGGGTAGGAGACTGGTAACGGTGCTGGATTATGTCCACCCGGATAAAATGCCAAACCATAATTCAAGAGCAACCCCCCAGGCTGAGACTGACACAACAAGGTATCTCGCCCCTGAAGATCTGGTCTGGGTGAGGAACTATTCACGAGGTTCGCGGTGGGTGGCTGGTGTGGTCACCCGGGCTAGTGGACCTGTGTCCTATTATGTGACCTTGGAAAATGGGCAAGTGTGGAAGAGACATATAGATCAGCTGAGGCGCCGGGCGCTCAGCAGGGAGGAGCCAGATAATTCATCCCAGGCTAACGACGCAGAGCCGCAAGACCAGAGTGAAAATGGCCCAAAGGTGCAATCACCAGGGGCTTTAACAAATGAACCAGGGTCTGCTAGTCCTCACGATGACGAGGTACAGATAGGGGACCCTGAGATGTCGGGGACTCCATCTGTTCCTGACGAAACCCCTAGAGCAGCCCCTCTACCACAGGTAACACCCAATCCAGAACCTGCAACACCTGTTGTCAGGAGATCAAGTAGAAGTTGTAGGCCCCCACAGTACCTGAGAGATTACGTCTGCTGTGCTCACTAGGGGGGAAGGGGTGTTGTGTATTGAGTCAAAGGATTTTATATCTGTATTATTATTGTCTGTATTTGCATTAGGGAAAAGTAACTGCCTTTTGGTTCCAGAGGGTACAGCTACTATTGGTTCATTTAAGCTGCTGTATTTGGATCCTCTGTCTTATTGGTTCCCTCCAAAAGGCAGGACTGTGATTGCCTGATATTGTTCCCTCCAAAATGTATCCTTTCTTGCTAGTTCCCTGTCCCTATAAATGTAGCTTTCCTCTCCCCAGTCGTCAGTCTTGTTGCTTTAATAAAGAAGTGTTACTAGAGAACTGTCTCCAGCATGTTATATCAGGAGAGCTGAAATCACAAACCCCACGTCACAACACCAGGAATGTTCAAAAGAGTTTATTTAGTCTGGATGAGGGCCAATGTCCTATCTGTTCCATTTGAGATTCCAGTTTAGATTGCCAATCCTTGTTGGATTGGATTGAAATCACAAGCAAGTTGGGCAAATTAATCAGGGATTAATTTGTTTTATACTAGAACAAATTTATGCATGCTTAATTTCTACCAAAAAATGATTTTTTAAAGAAATGTAAAAACCAAACTGCTTTTATTTCATAGCCGGCCGTAAGTGTGAAAGAGAAGATGGATTACAGGGACCTTCCCAGAAAGCTCTCAGAGAAGCCAAGGAACACAAAGTATTTACTGGTGTTAATCCGTATGACTCAGCCAAAGATCCAACAAAACAGATGGGCAAGAGATATCCAAAGGTATGCCAATTCTCATTTTGCCTATTTTTGTAGAATTTGGCCTCATGTTCAGTGTTTTAATATTGTTACAAAAAGTATTGGGTTTATGTGATAGCAAACACCACCATGATTAACCATATCGCTGTTTGCTGAAAGATTCTGTAGCTTCCTACAGCTTATCCCTCTTTGTATTCCAGAAGCCAACTGGTGACTCCTGTGTAGCACCAGTGCTGTTGGTGTCAACTGGTTCTGGATTCTGAGGCTTACAGCTGAGAAACACTGGCTCTTCTAATTTTTTTCTATGTGGACAGAGGATGGCTCAGAAGTGTTAAAGGGGGCAGCGATACAGTGGAACCTTGAATGCTTCAGAAATCGAACATTTTGGCTTTCTAACACCAACAACCCGGAAGTGAATGCTTCCGTTTTCGAACGCGCCTCTGCAGTCAAACAGCTCTTGAGGCGCGTTTCTCCATTTTTTAAATGGATTTTGCCAACCGGCAATTGTGCCTCGGTTGTTGAACGTTTCAGAAGTCGAACGGTCTTCCGGAATGGATTACGTTCAACAACCAAGGTTCCATTGTATGAGAAAGTTGCTAGGGGGCACCCAGAGGATAATGGAGTAAAGGTACAGGCAAGTCCTCAGATGTGTGGGGGGGGTTGCTTTCTGGGTCATTGTGCCCCCTCCACCCCATGTAGCTCCCTCCCCATTCAGCCCCCTTCCAGGGCCGAAAACAGTGTGTGTTGGCAGTTGTGCACAAATTGAACGTGCACAAAATGGCTGCTGCCTGTATTATATTTGGGTAGGGAGAACTTGAAAAATATATTTCTATTTATGAAAGAGTCACAATCCAGTCCAACATAAAGTACATTCTGCTGATTTCAAGTCCTGTTCACCCTGTACGTAACACTGTCTCATCCACATTCTAACCAGCTGAGCTGTCCAGGCCAAGGCACACCTTTGATGTTTCTCCTGCCAGGAAGATGTTCAAGTTCCCATTGCATGTTTTTCTGAAGCATTATCTGTTTCCTTTCTGTTACAACAAAAGTTGTGTGTATTGAATAAGCGCTGTTCTGTTAGTACAACTCCAACCCAGGAATTTCCTTTTCTGTGCTTAATATTGTCCTTTTTGGCTTTTTCCTCCGGCTTACATTCATGGTTATATTAGTTGTGTTAGGAAGAGGTGTTTTTGCTTGTTGCATCAGGTGGATACTTTCTCAACCCCCTTCATATTTTGAAAGGCCTGCATGGGGGGGGGGGGTTTGCACTGCATAGCCCTGTCATGTGTGCGAGCCACACGCCTTCCTGCCACATATGAAGAGTTGTACAATCTAGACTGGTTTGCAGGTGTGTGTGTGTGTGTGTGTGTGTGTGTTAGTGGAACCTTTAGCCCTGCTAGGGTTTTCTTCACTGTCTGAGGTTTTTGGGGAACAGAAGTCAGACTTGAGGGAAATAGATCTTCTTCAGATCAGTTTTACCTTAGCGCTTTGTATTCTAAGTGGCCTAGGCCTCAAAATCAGGAGAGCTCTCACATTAAGCATCTGTCTTGGTTGCCAGACGAGCCGTGCTCATTTGAGCTCAGAATTCTTTAATCCTATATGTTTGTCTTTTGATGTCCATTTATTCAATTTGCACTGTAATGCCATCTCAGGATATTTCTGACTTCAAGATCTATGATGTAATTTTTACTAAAGATGCCAGGCTGAACTTTGAATATATGAAGAATGATGTCCTCAGTCTGGTATTTTAAAATTAAATTGAACCATAAGAGGGCTGTTTATCTGTGGGAATTAACATTCCTGTGAGACACATGTTTACCTAGCTCAGATTGCAGACTGTGCTTGCAGAATATCTGACCAGTATATTAAATAGGTCAACAAATTACTGTCTTTGTGTGAGTTGATCTAGCCAGATCAAAGACACTGCACTATGTTATTTCTTCTCCTTGTTACTCAGAGTTTGGGAAAGGTTAAAGAACAAAAGAGGGAAATTATTAATAGCTACTAGGACTACAATCATACGTTCAGTTGCTTGAGAATAAGCCCCGCTGAACTCTGTACAAATAGCAATATATGTTTGTTAAGCATTTAAATAGAACTAGCTATCAATTTTAAGGTGTAATTGCATATACCCAGACACACCCCTGCCCATAGGTGCCATCTAGGGTGTCCTGGGGGGGGGGCAAGGGCCCCCTCCCCCAAAATCTGCAGTGGCTGTGCATGCACACTGCACAACATGCTCACATTAATTCCGCAGCACGTTGCGCAACATGCTGACATTACACACGTTGTGCAGCGCTGGCCCCCTCAATCTCCAACTCCAGCACTTTCAACTGTCTGAATATCTCCTGCTCTTTGAAACAAGTCCACCCTTTCTCTCTTGCTTTGGCATCTTCGGAACACCTCCTAGTTCAGCAGTTCCCAACCTAGTGCTCTCCAGATGTTTAGGGTATGACCATTGGCCATACTTCCTGGGGCTGGTGGGAGTTGAAGTCAAAAGCATCTGTTGAATATCAGGTTGGGGGAAACTGCCCTAGGCCCAGTACCCTGTGACTAAGCCAAAGTATGTGTGACTGAAATAATTACTTCTGCCTCCATTTCCATTTTCTTTCTCTATTGTTTCCAGCGTCTGTTTTTAGTTTTTCAAGTCCCTTGGGAAAAGAACTTCTCATACCATTTTGGGGGGTGAAGTGCCTTTTGCATTGCGTAGCTGATGCTAAATAAATAAATAATCCGAAGGGCCATTAACTAGAACTAAGGCCCACTAAAATTGTGGCTTGCTGCTAGACAGTTAATAGTTAGCTAGTAAATTAACCACAATTTTTGGACCTCTATGTGATATTGTAGTTAACAATGATAATTGTTAATACTTATTTCCATTTTAATGCCTCTTTTTATAAGTTATTCATGAATGGTTTTCCACCACTGAAGTGTGATTCAAATACCAAGTAGGACCGCCAAAGCCTTAAGCCTAACTAAAAAGGGCTCAGGTGCTCATTTATGGCAGTATTTATTTTAGAAATTAATAATTCTATCCTGAATTATGGATTTTCCTCCTAAATCTTTTTCACAATATTTAAACAAAGCTCTGCATATGTAAATATATCCAAAAGAAATAAAATCAGCATTAGCATTTAGTTTTTCCTGATGCTGAATCACACTAATATGCCACAAGTAAATTGGACTTACGTAATATTACTTTTTCTGATACCCAGTGTTATTTACATTGTATTTTTTAAACACTGTTTGACTCCTGGGAGTATAAAATTAAATCTTAATTGTTTTCATATTGTGCTGAAACTATATGTGCAAGAAGATGCCAAGTCTACATGCCAACTGGTTTATGAATTAATAATTGGCAGGATTAGTTTGCTTCATAGTCAACCCTTGGAATGCATATTTGGTCTTAAAAATAATTTGTCACTTTCCTCAGTTGGTTTTCCTTCTGACAAGATTGTAGATACTTATTTCTTGTCCATTGATTCACAACAGGTTCTAGTTCTCCAGTGTGCTGTGTTCTGACCGCAGTTTAACAACATACCGTACTTGTTCCTCTACAGGTCTAAGAGGTGACCTCACAGATTTTAGGGGGGTTAGCTATGGATGTGGTTCCTTTGTTAACTAGCAGCTTTCATTATTAAATCCTTATCCTTCTACTGCAAAAGCCAGTGTGTAAGGGTATTGCAGTTTGGTCCATAACAATGCAAGTGCTTAATTTTATTTTAGCAGAACATGCTGCTTTTGCTGGCTCATAGTGCAATCCTATACATATCTACTAAGAAGTAAACGCAGTTGAGTTCCCATGTATATTTGTGTAGGATTGCTGCCTTGAAATGATATCTGCTTCTACCACTTCATTCAGTTTTGAAATGTTACTAATTCTTGTATACATTGCCAAATGCTCCTTCGTGTTTATTTAGAATAGAATTTCAAAAAGAATACTGTTGGGTTGAAATCACGACAGACGAGTGGTAGGTGTCATGTGAGAGGCGTCTCCCCGGGGCGAGCCCCGGGAACTCTCTTTTATTGAATATTAGAAACATTGCCACAGGTGTGCTTGTGGCTGATTGGTTGATACAAACACAAAGCATCTTGTTGCTGATTGGTTAACATAGGTACAAGGCGGGAATAACATATTACATCAATCACTGATAGATTAAAGACTGGGAACGGAGCTGGAACTAGACAGGCATGAAACCTCCTAATTAAATTATAACTAAAGATTGATATTGAGAGAACATAACATGAAGAAATACAACAATCACGTTCCGTAGATGTGGTCAGCAATGCATTAAGAACAGGTCAGGATACACTGTTTCATGAACTCAATGGGAACTGTTCAGAACATTCTCAGACTCTTGTGCAGAAGCAGAGAAAAGATTATGAGCAAGACTTCCCAGAATGCAAGAGTTATGTGCAGTAAGAGAACTGCAGAAAGAGAACTTCGCAGTAAGAGAACTGCAGAAAGAAAACTTCCCTTCATCTCCCCCTTTCTTTTCTTGTTTGCGAGGCGTTCTAGGTAGATAAGGCAAAAATACATCGGGATTAGTGGTGTGCCAGCGAATGCCCGAAATAAGCCTGCCAGGGTCGATGGGACAAAAATACTTCAGGATACGTGGTTTGCCAGCGCATGCCCAAAATAAATCCGCCCACATCTCCCCTAAGGTTTACTGTTGGTGTTGCCATTTCGCAAAGTAAGCAGCAAGGAGTTTACTTGGTGGTTGAGGGGGAGAGAGAAGCCGAGAGAAAAGACTTATGAGGCTAGGAACGCATTGAAGGAAGCAGCATAGTAAAATAAGAATACAAATTATGACAATAGCATATTGAAAGAAGACCACGAAGCCAAGTAAAGTTTGGCAGCCAAGCAGTAAGCCACTGGGTGAAAGAATCCCAGAGGCCAGAAAATCCAATGTCCTGTTTGATGTGGTGTGTAAGATTTTGCAAATGAGAGATTTGGCTTTGAATGGCTCTTCAGAATTATCAGTAATATTGAAACAACACATGTCATTCACTTGTTCACAGCCATAATGATGAAGCATCAGCAAATAGTGATAGCAGCACGATTTCATAAAAGTCCATAGTGGAGTTCACTGTTCTTTATTCAAAAGGTGAAGAGGTTATGAAGTGAAATTCAGGGCTTTTTTGCTGCAGAATAGGCTAAAGAATTAATGTTCATACGATTCCGTGCAGCCAATCCAGGGACTCCTAAGAGAGAAACAACTAAAAAGATATATTTCAGACCTACTGAGAAAAGAGACAAAAGCATCACAATCATTAGTCAATTCAATATTGCAGCGATATCGAGAGCGGGATAAATGATGCTTCTTGGGTAAAATGATGGACAAACGGCTTAAACAGCAAGGTGTGCCATGGCTGATGTATTGCTGGAATGTAATTAAACGTATAGCCAGGACACGACCAGAAGATTTCCAGTTGGGGGAAGTGCAAGCTTACTCATTAAATTGAATGGTAGCTTGTAATTGTTGTAGTAAGTCTCTTCCCCACAGATTGAGGTGGATTTTCAGCACACAGGGCTGGATGTAAGCAATGGTTTCAGAGCTATCAGGCAGAGAAACAGGCAGCCACTGTACGCTCTTGGAAGAGGTTTGGGGGCCACCCACACCCCAGACTGCAGAGGCAGACTCAAGGGGCCACGTGGGGTCCCAGCAACTACTAGAAATTACAGAAACGTCTGCGCCTGTGTCAGTCAAGCCTTCCAGCACAATACCATTGATTTTATACTTACAAAGAAGTTTCTTCTCACCAATCCTCTGGACTACAGCTAACAGCTGTGGAGGGAAAGAAGAGAGCTCGTGCAAATTAGTATCCTTAATAGAAGCAGAAGGATGAGAAGGGAGCACCACCAAATGCGCCCAAGACTCACCCTTTTTTAATTGCATGGGCATATGGCTCCAGAGTTGAACCATTATTGTGCCTACATAGTCAGGATCCAGAACTCCAGGAATAACCTGGATTCCTTCTTTTGCCGCAGAAAATTTGGGTAAAATTAAACCTGCGACTTTAGGAGGCAGTGGGCCTGCCAATTGAGTGGGCATAAGCACAATTTCACCAGGTAAAACAGAGTCTTTGGTCTCTTGATTGATCAAATCAATGGCAAATTCAGAGGGTGTGCTTTTTGAAAAGTTTGCAGCAGCAGAAACTAAAGGTGGAAAACTCTCTAATTGCCCTGGCCCGAGAGTGGGGCCGCAATGGAGTTTCCCGGACTCCTGCATTGATTAGCCCAATGATAGCCTTTGCCACATTTCGGGCATTTTTTAGAAGGTTTAGCCTTAGAGGCAGCACCATCCTTGTTGGCCCCCCCGCCAGGGGCTCTGCATTGCTTGGCAAAATGGCCTGGGCGCTTGCAATTAAAGCAGTTACCAGTAGGCCTAGTGGTTGCTTGGATTGCGCCGGCAAGCAAAGACATCGCATGGCTCTGGCTACCGACATCCGCACAAGCTTGAATCATATCGGCCAGGTCATATTTAGGGCGATGTATGATTGACTGCAAACTTTCTTGCAATCAGTGTTTGCGTTTTCAAAGGCCAATTTTTTCATCAATTCATTTTGAGCAGTGGTGTTATCAATCTGCCTAGTGACTGATTCTTTCAATCTATCTATAAACTGATGGTATGGCTCCGAATGCTGTTGCTTAATATTTACAAAGGAGCTCAGCGGTTGCCCAGAAACAGGGACTTTCCGAAAGGCGCGTTGTACACAGGTCGCGGTGTGAACAAAATGTACAGGTGTCAGTGTTACTTGGGCAGTTATATCAGCAAACTGACCAGCACCATAAAGTTCATTGGCAGTATGTTGAGAATCAGACAGGGCTGATGCGCTATGTTTAAATTCACTCTCAAACACCACATACTGAGCTGGGGACAAAAGCATGCGCATCAGGTCTTTCCAGTCCTGAGGTAGCATAATGTAACCAGTTGCTATGCCTTCTAGCATTCCTGTCACATAAGAGGATTTTAGACCAGAATCAGCAATGGCTTTCTTTAATTCTCTCATTACAGAATAAGGAAGCGATTCATAATAAACCTGCTGTTGAGCAGTTCCAGGGTTTGAATAGGTGATAGGGAAAGCAGACGGCATTTCACCTGGCCACTCAGACTCCTCCTCTAAGGACAGGATCCCTTTCTGCCTTGCCAAAGAGAGCGCAGCGCGCACAGCTCCTATAGAGCAAACAGGGGCTGTGGCAGGAGGAGGAGGGATGGGGGGGAGGAAGCAGGCTGAGGTGGAGGGATGGGGGGGGAGGAAGCAGGCTGAGGTGGAGGGATGGGGGGGGAGGATGCAGGCTGAGGAGGGAGAGACGCAGGGAGGGATTGGCTGGGCTGCAAAGGAGAAGGAGGTAAAAGTTTCGGGTAAGGTGGGGGATCGTCTGCTATGGCCAGAAGTGCAGGGGCCGAGCGAGACGCCTGTGGTAATTTAGCAACGGCATCTGCACATTTCTGCCAAGTGAGCAGACAATGAATCGGAGCCCTAGGTTCTGCAAAAAGGGTCTTTCCGATCTTTTGCCAAGTCTCTACCTCCAAAGAACCTTTCTCTGGATAGGAGGGATATTGGCAAGAAATCTCACATAGCAATTGTTCAATTTCTTTTAAGGAAATATTAACACCCACCTCCCGCTGTCTAACTAAATAAAGCAATTCTTTAGCATGCTCTTTCTGGAATTTAGTCAATTCCCCTCCCATACTCACGAAGTAGCTGAGACTTTTCCAGTCGGGTGAAGTATGAGGTTTGGCTGCGTAAGGGATCTGGCACGTCAGGGGTCACCAGATGTTGGGTTGAAATCACGACAGACGAGTGGTAGGTGTCATGTGAGAGGCGTCTCCCCGGGGCGAGCCCCGGGAACTCTCTTTTATTGAATATTAGAAACATTGCCACAGGTGTGCTTGTGGCTGATTGGTTGATACAAACACAAAGCATCTTGTTGCTGATTGGTTAACATAGGTACAAGGCGGGAATAACATATTACATCAATCACTGATAGATTAAAGACTGGGAACGGAGCTGGAACTAGACAGGCATGAAACCTCCTAATTAAATTATAACTAAAGATTGATATTGAGAGAACATAACATGAAGGAATACAACAATCACGTTCCGTAGATGTGGTCAGCAATGCATTAAGAACAGGTCAGGATACACTGTTTCATGAACTCAATGGGAACTGTTCAGAACATTCTCAGACTCTTGTGCAGAAGCAGAGAAAAGATTATGAGCGAGACTTCCCAGAATGCAAGAGTTATGTGCAGTAAGAGAACTGCAGAAAGAGAACTTCGCAGTAAGAGAACTGCAGAAAGAAAACTTCCCTTCAGAATACTATATCCAACATCAAGTACTAAGAGAATTTAAATGTATTCCTGAAATAATTAGTGAGTGTTTTAAAGGATTGTAGATAAATGACTAGTAAATGTTTCTGTATTTTATTCACAATAATTCTTTGTCTGGTACTTCAGCAGCCATCCTTTCATTTTTAGTGTTCTCACAAAAAAGGTTAAGAGTTATCATGGCCAAAAACCTCGCTTTGGAATGCTGAATTCAAATTACTGAGTCCCAACTGTTGTTCCTGTTAAGTTGTGGGTGAACGTATCAGACGACACAGCGATTCTTCAAACAGCTCTTGTTTATTCACAGGCCAGAACAGAGCAGGGCTGAAGGGTTCAGCCAGCCTGCTTATATACAGCTCAACTACAAAGCAACAGTAACAACTCTCTGTACATATCCAATCACTGAACGTCACTTCCAATTCCTTATTTGCATATGTGGACCTGAGTGAAAACTATCTGTAGTATCCCCCTGCTGGCCCAGGATGAGAACTTCAGTACATAACAGTTCCTGCAGTCTTATTCCTAGATGCTCCTTTGTTTCTGACTTACAGCATGGAAATGTGCTGAGCAAGGTGAGGTAGTTCATGCTGCAGCCCTTGTCTTCCCCCTACATTGGGACTAAGTGTTAATCTGATTCCTGAGAAAGGGTCCTGGGTTCAGCAAAAGCCTGTACCCAAGTCCCTAAAAGGCTCAAAAGGGTGCTACTGCAGATCAATACCTCCTTAAACTTCAATTGGAACTTGTAGGAGCTGTTAGCTTGATTCCCTGCTTCTACTTTCTCTGAAGTGCTTTTTCAAGCAGCAGAGCCAGTGTAACACAAAACAGGTCTTCACTTTTTGGCAGGACGCCATGGGGGGGGCAAGGCCCCCCAAATTTTGAAGCAGGGGGCTTGGCCCCCTCAATATTGCACAGCCTGTGACAGGCCCTGTCAGGCCTAAATGCAGCCACAGCGGACCCTGCCGGGCGTCCTCCCGGCGTATGACATCACACACATGTGCCAGGCTCCCCAAAGTTGGGCAGAACCCGGTGCGTATGCTATCTGGGCATGCCCTGATGCTGTCCAGAGTAGACTGGCTTGATGTAAATGTTTGCTTTTCTGACTAAGGGCTTATTCATACTCCTCTGCCCACTTCGCTGCTGCCCCAGGGAAAATCACTCTTTAGTGCTCAGAGGAGTACGGAGATGTTAAAAAAATATATATTTTTATAAGTGTGTACCCTTGTTTCTCAACACACACACACACACACACACACACACACACACACACACAGGCCAACATAAGGTAAGAGTACCTACATACAGAAGTAAGGTAAAGGTAAAGGGACCCCTGACCATTAGGTCCAGTCGTGACCGACTTTGGGGTTGCGGCGCTCATCTCGCTTTACTGGCTGAGGGAGTCGGCGTACAGCTCACGTGGCCAGCATGACTAAGCCGCTTCTGGCGAACCAGAGCAGTGCACAGAAACGCCGTTTACCTTCCCACCGGAGCAGTACCTATTTACCTACTTGCACTTTGGGCATGCTTTCGAACTGCTAGGTTGGCAGGAGCAGGGACAGAGCAACGGGAGCTCACCCCGTGGCGGGGATTCGAACCGCCAACCGTCTGATCGGCAAGTCCTAGGCTCTGAGGTTTAACCCACAGCGCCACCTGCGTCCCTACATACAGAAGTAGAGCATGCTAAATAGGCAATAGGGCAACTGTAGAAGTAGGGAGTACACATACTCATTCTCTCAACTACAATAGACCAGCATAAGATAAAAATATATAAAGCACCTAAATCATGTGGCATGGTTTTGTGGTATTTGTCATTTTGTAAGTTTTTGTGGTATTTTATGCACTGACTTGCCGTTACTTTTATTGATTATAGTTCAGTAATTCTGTATTGTCATTGTTAAGTGTAAACTGTTTAATTATTATTTGCTGATATTTAATGATATTTAATGATGATACTACTACTACTATTATTATTTATTGAATATTGTTTTATTTGATATAAATTATTTATTTCAAAGTTATGTTTTTATTATGACTTTGTGTATTGGATAAGATTGTTATTAAGTGTCTGATCTTTGCTCTCTATGTAGTTGTTTCTTCAGCTTGTAAACCACCTTGTGTATAGTAATATAGAAAGGCGGTATACAAATTAAAAGAAATGAAATGGAGCAAACAGCAATTCTGATTTTCTCTGGATTGATGTTTGCTCTGATTTAGCACTGTAGAATGAGTTTTCCCTGGGAAAGGAACGGGGCAAGGGGGACCCACGCCTAAAAACAGCAGGTCAAATGAAAAACTGCTCAGACCCATGATTTCTATTCATGGGACAAGCAGAAGTATGAATATATCCTGTTGATTTCTTTTTTAGTCAGCTTGAGGCTGAACAGGCAGTGTGTTCCGTGTTGCAGATTTGCTATTCTTTCCCCTTCTGTGTTGGACATTACATGATGAGGGATGGTTCAGTTGGTAGAGCATGAGACTCTTAATCTCAGTTTGTGAGTTCAGGCCCCACGAAAGATTTCTGCATTTGGAGGGGGTTAGAATAGATGATCCATTTGGTCCCTTCCAGCTCTACAGTTCTTTGATTCTATCACATTTTTGTATCTCCTTTTTCTCTTCAGGTTTGAAAATGACATTGTAGAGGCATTATTGACTCCAGCGTGTACACTCATCCCACGGGTGTTTCTGATTATAGGCTTTCCATGTTTGTAATGCTTTAAAATGGCAAGTCTCTTAGCACATTCACATGCTGACGGTTTCTTCCTTCCTTTCTAAATTCTATTTTAAGGCATTGTCTTGAACCTACTATGAGCCACAATTGGTCACACCAGCACTTTGTAAGGAGACCATCCTGTCACATTTATTATTTCTTGTGGATGAAAGCTTCAGCTTTTGTTAGTATGCTTTCCCCCTCAAAGTCTGCAAAAGAAAACATCTTTGTAGACCCATAAAGCATTTCTGCAGCACCTGTAAACAAATTGTAGCCATGAAGTAATAGAGGACAAATTGAGACTGTCTCCTGTGATTTGAATCCGTTGCAAGCAATTTCCCCAGGTTTCCCTAGGTTAACAAGTAAAGAGAACAATAAACAAATAGCGGGGGGAAATCCCCGTATTCTGATACTTTTAAAAACATTCACGTAGTATGAGTGCTTACTTGTTTGCATAAGAATTTTTTATGCATACCTGTCATCCTTCAAACAGGACTAAACCTCCACACTTTCTCTATAGAGGTCTTCAGTTCTTAACATTGAATGAATTCATTTATTATTTTATCAGTTTAGCAATTACACAAACAGCAGCAGCAGCAGATCTGGATGCTTCTGGTACTTAAAGGTGTCTCCTTGCATGCATTTAGCCCAAGGGGATGGCTCAGCTTGTCTTTTGTTGTTCACTCACTAGCAGAATCAGTAATAGGATGCTTTTAAACAGCAACAAGATTTCCAAGCTTTATCATCTCGCATTTTGAAAAGGATTTCCATGTGGTACAGTGCTGAGGTATTTGGAAACAGCAAAAAAGAGGTCCCTCAATTTTTTGAAAACTATCTCCATGTTGAGAATTATTAGAAAGTACTCCAAAGTACTTTTACAGTGAAACTTCATATTGAGAGTGGTCTATGAAAAAGTGGAAGACACAGAATTCTATTTAGTCTCCCTTGTCCACATAGCTTTTAATCATTCTTTCATAAATATAGAGAAATTCCTTACCCCGCACCACCAAAAGCTGAATAAAGCCCAGAATCTATTGTGGCAAATTCAGAGAGGAGGGAGTATATCTCTTAGTCTGCTGTGTGTTTTCTACTGTATTGTACATACCCAAGTGACTAATCACATGAGGCAATTAATAAATATAAAATATTAATAAATATAAAATATTTTATAAAATATTAATAAATATAAAAGCAATGAAGAGTTTTGTGGTACATTAAAAGCTAAGAGATTTGTTTTGGTATGAATTTTTGTGGGCTGCAGCCCACTTCACTATGTACTATGCACCTGTGTTTTGATTTGTTGGTTATCTTTGTGCTCTCCATAAATGCCAACTCTTTGGGGCTGAGGTCCCTTCAACCCCTCCCAATAAAAGATTTGAGGGGGTTGCCCCCCCAGCTGATCAGCATCATCATTCAAATGGTCTCTGTGGTGTGTGTGTGTGCGTGTGTGCGCGCGCTGCGTCATGTGATCCATTATGTGGAGCAGGGCTTACCTGGGCCCCCAAATATTTTATTCAAGTTGGCACTCCTGGTGCTCACTCCAATGTGTGATTTATTTTAGAAACTTACCCTGATTAAATTTAGACCTCTTAAGTGAAACTGAGAATGTATTAATATTGTCTTCCCCATGTCATTTCATGGGGTTCAACTGCCATGGCTATTTCAATACTACCGGTAATCACTTTGTTGCATTTCCCCACATATTAATGGCTCTTTATTTGAATTGAAGCCTTTCCTTCCACATTCATGCTGAGAATAGCTGCATTATTTTGTGCAGGACATTTAGGAGCTACTGAGTCAATGGCCATGGTCAGTTTTCAGCTACGGTATGCCATTGACTGAGCAGCTCTTGACATCAGTGGGCAGGTGCCCCAACTAGACAAATTTGGAACCATAGAATCTGTAATTCTCCAGAGAATGCTGAAGTCTTGCAGTAAAATAAGTCTGAAGATTCTCAGCACCAAATTTCAGCTGTTGGTTTAGTGAGAGCTTATCCATGCTTCCTTTTGTGCCGTGCTTCTAGGCTCAGGTCTGCACTTTAAAGCTCTATATCCAAGCACTTATTCTTTTGCCCCAGAGCTTTCCCTGCAAAAACCTGCTCTTTACTGCTGAATTAGCGCAAACAGCAATCTGCGAAAAACCCAAATTGTCGTTTATTCTGATTTAGCGTTAAAGAACGGCTTTTCCTGTGGAAAGTTGCGGGGCAAAAAAAGGGGGGGAAGCGGTCAGAAATGGAGCTTTAGAACACGGGCCTATGCCTAGAAAGCATGGGGCAAAAGGTACATGTGGACGAGCCCTCAGAGAAAAGGTTATTTCCAGCAGATTCCTTTAGGGGAATTGGAAACAACTTTCTTTCCATGTCGTTATCCCCTCTCTTCCTTTTCCCCTGCCCCACTGCACACACTCTGAATCTTAACTGAGAGCTAATCAAGGAAAAATAGGGTATCTTTCAGACACTTCTTTCAGGTATCAGAAAGAACCTCTATTCTGTCAAGACTGCAAGTTTAGAAGAGATTATTGTGAGTGCACCAGAATAACAAATCTTTTGTGTAAGTTTGTGGCACTTTTTAGAGTACAATTCATTTTTAACTCACCATGCCATCTGCTGTAGCCCCCATAAATAATTTATCCCCTGTCTAGAGATTTTAGAGTGAGTTACAGCTCTTGAATAACAATTTGCACTTAGGATAGCCACAAAAGCATATGGTATTACATTTTGGTGTATAGAGGCCAGGTGGTAATAAACTGATTTTATTCTTCTTCAGCTTTTTCTGCACCAGGAAATGGATCCACAGTAAAACAAAATGAGTGTACCAACTCTTTGTGAGATTATAGTTGAAAACTTTTTGGGAAGGTATTAAAAAACTCTGAAAGAAGTGCAAGTGCAGGCACATTTCAACAGGGTTTCTGGATTTGTCTTGGGTGTGTTTGTTTGTTTATTTGTGTATGTGTATGTGTGATGGTTGGAGGTCAAGGTGGTTCAGTATTAAACTGAAATTTAAATTCAAAAGGATCTCACCTGAAAAGAAACAATTCATGAATACTGTAGAATTATTGGAAAATTAGAAACAATGTTCTGGGCTTAGCCTGTTCATTCCCAAATTCATCCATCCATCTTCCCCCGGCCCTAGTCACATCTGCACCATACATTTAAAGGACATAGTTTCTCCAAAAGAATCCTGGGAACTGTAGTTTGTTAGAGGTACTGGGAATTGTAGCTCTCTGAGAGTAAACTACAATTCAGAGGGTTATTTAGCGGAAGCCACGAGCTTAAATGTATGGTGTGGATATTATCTCTCCACTTAAATTAGCTCTTGGCTCCATTCAGCTTTGGTCCCTTCCCACTGCAGCAAATCTCTGCTACAGCAAGCAAATTGATTACTGGATCCTAGAAAATGGGCAGCACCTCTCACTCTTATTTATGAAATAAACTTAGGTACAGCAGCTGTTTTTTAAAATCTGGTTTTCCTACAGGAGTTTTCCATCACCCTCCCCACTCAGCTAATTTTCACCCCTTACAGGATCCTTGTATTTCTGCAAGAAATGAGTTTTAGAATTGCCCAGCATTTTTTGTTTGGCCCCCCAGACAGAGGCTCAAGGAAATAGTGTCCTTATACCTCTAGTGGCACACCTCAGCTAGCAGCTTTGCAGGTTTTTGAAGGATATTGAAATGTAGTTGTCCCAAGAATACCTTTGAGACTCTGGTATGGGATCAGGCATGCAGCTCAGTGTTCAACTGGGAAGGAAGTTTAAAATGAAATCGGTCATTACTGCAGATGTGTTTGGATATAAACAAGAACTCAGAATGACAAACAGGATGGGGATCATTATTGACGCAGGGTCCCATGGAGCGTGGTTTCCTTTCTTTCTAAAAATATTTCTGGGAGCCAATCAGCCTCAGCTCTCAATCCTGCAATAGCCAATTGCATTTTCAAAACCAACTGCTGTTAATTGTCTCACTGAATTGTTACTAGGGTAATTCCTTCACCTAACTCCAATACTGGTTGGGATTCAGACTGCTGGCTATGTGAGGACATTATTGCTTGTCTGTTCCTACTGCCAAACAGCTTTATGAGAAATGGCAGGTCCACATTCTTCTATATTAGCTGTATTTTTTTTGATATTTGTGTCTTATCAGGCCACTCTTATACAAAAACTAGTAGCCTGGGAGATATCTCTGATACAACTGCCAGCAAATCATTAATTGTTTATAAATGTGTTTACCAGTTTATTTTGGTACTAATAAACAAACACTTCTTATACAGTGGTACCTCGGGTTACACACACTTCAGGTTACAGACTCTTCAGGTTACAGACTCCGCTAATCCAGAAATAGTACCTTGGGTTAAGAACTTTGCTTCAGGATGAGAACAGAAATTGGGCTCCGGCGGCGCAGCGGCAACTGGAGGCCCCATTAGCTAAAGTGGTGCTTCAGGTTAAGAACAGATTCAGGTTAAGAACAGACCTCCGGAAAGAATTAAGTACTTAAGCTGAGGTACCACTGTAATTTTATTGAGATCATTAGGGTGAACATAGAAACTCACTTATTAAGTTTAATCTGTCTCAAGAACCCTTTTATAGACTCATTTATATTTCTGTTGCAAGAATATATAGGAAGGTTTTGAAAAGACTTTAAGAAGTGGTGCAGTTAAAATTTCATCTTAGTACATAGTGTGTGAGCCCACTGGTAAAATAACTGTGTGTGCGTGATGAACACACACTAAACAATCTAGTGCTTGCTTACATTTTCATATGAAATATATTTAGTTTTTAAAATAAATATAAGTTGGAAGCTAAACCCCACCAATGTCAACAGGAGCATCTCTAGTCATGCATAAGGAATGCTACCAATTCTTTACACACACACTCAGTATAGTTCCTCATATATTCCAAAAAGTCTCTTGGGAGAGTTAAGGTACTCTCAAGTGGTGTATGATGTGGCATGAGGAACTACAGTCTCAGAATAGTATTTCATTTATTTAACATAAGTTTGTTGTTTAGTCGTTTAGTCATGTCCGACTCTTCATGACCCCCTGGACCAGAGCACGCCAGCCACTCCTGTCTTCCATGGCCTCCCGCAGTTTGGTCAAACTCATGCTGGTAGCTTTGAGAACACTGTCCAACCATCTCGTCCTCTGTCGTCCCCTTCTCCTTGTGCCCTCCATCTTTCCCAACATCAGGGTCTTTTCTTCTCATGAGGTGGCCAAAGTATTGGAGCCTCGGCTTCAGGATCTGTCCTTCCAGTGAGCACTCAGGGCTGATTTCCTTAAGAATTGATAGGTTTGATCTTCTTGCAGTCCATGGGACTCTCAAGAGTCTCCTCCAGCACCATAATTCAAAAGCATCAATTCTTCAGCGATCAGCCTTCTTTATGGTCCAGCTCTCACTTCCATACATCACTACTGGGAAAACCATAGCTTTGACTATACAGGCCTTTGTTGGCAAGGTGATGTCTCTGCTTTTTAAGATGCTGTCTAGATTTGTCATTGCTTTGTAAGTTACATGCTGCTTAATCACAGTGCAAAATAAACATTAAAAATACCAATAAAGTCAGATGTTAAAAACAAGTGGACTATAAAATATAAGTAAAATCCATGGTGGGTGGGTGGGTGTGTACACACACACACACACACAGACACACACACACGTTAAAGTACATGCCAGAATTACATGTCTGAGTAAGATTGGTCAAATAGAACGTGTTTAGGCAGTCTAAGTAATACAGCAAAGGTGCCTGCCTAATATTGACAGGGAAACAAGTCACGGAGTGATTGAATTTGCATTACAACGAAATTACTGACAAAGGAGGAGGATAGGGACTTATGTGCCACCTGCGTGACCTCCTAGGCACCTAACCAGGTCTAGGTTCCAGCAGCCTTCACTGCTGCCTTCTTACTGAAATTTTAGCCTTGCCTCCTAATGGCATTTCACCTAGTACTTCTGTTTGTAATGCTGAAGAAGGATGGCAACATCTGCTCAATTTTACACCTTGGAGGTGGCAATTACTATCTAAGAACCAAAGTGTTCAGGATAATTTATTTGACCAACATCCTCCTCTTCGTATATACATTTCAGTTGTGTCATATATGCGTTCTTTGCCATGTTTGTGAAGCTAAATGATGCTTATTCCCATGTTTCTGTTCAGCCTCAGTACAGAACGTTTCTGAGCTTTGCAGCTGGTGCTGCCTGCTTCTGATACTGGATACTGTGATTTAGATTCACCCCAGCACCTCACATATTTACCAGATGTATGCCAGTGGTGGCCATGTAATGGCCATAACTAGGCATTTTTGCCTTTTCATTTATATCTGACTGCCTCTTTGCACACAGTACCAAGACAAGCCCCCCTGAAGGGTTTCATATGTCACCTTAACTGTGCTCACTTCAGCTGTTTATTAATGTCGACAAATTATGTCGCGTTTCCATTCCGTAACATCAATTCATTGGAACAATCTTGGCCTTTTTTTCCTTGCCATGTATGCCTTTCCTGCAATTGTGTAGATGCTATTGTTCCTCTTACCTTGCCATTTGGGCAGAACAGCATTTACTTGACTGCATGCCAGCCTTTGTTATCTGCCAGACACCGTTCTGGATACATCTGCTTCAGCTGATGATACCCCGTATATTCAGTCAGTCCAGGTATGTCACACAAGATTTCCAGCAGAATACTTGTCACTCATTTGTGGACTCATCAACCTTGGTTCACTAAACCTTTACAGTTGGCCAATTACGCATGCTGTTTTCTGCTGCGAGAATCAGACATCAGTTCTGCATGGCCCAGAGTGCACACCCAGACTGCTTGCTCTCTTAAGAGGCTTTCTCTTCTTCCTCAGGGATGTGATCAGCCTGCTGTGTGGGGACTGATCAAGGGATGACTGCTGTTCTGTCCCTCTGCTTGTTTTCATGCAGTCTGCACCCATAGCATACTGGCTGTACTAATATAGGAAAAAATGTTAGCTGCTACAGATTGATTTTTTTGACTGCCCTTTTATAAATAGTCTCACCTATGAAATATAGTTGAGGGGAAAATATTCTTCCCCTTCTGGACAACTTTATGTAAAAGAAAACCCAAACCTCTCAATCCTTTGGAAGCCTTCTATAGTTGCATGGAAGGCTTTGACTGTTTTTTCTTTCTTAAAAAAATGTTCCTCCCAATTTGAGTAGGAGGAGGAAAAGATTTAAAGACAATCAAGGGTGGAATTCAAAGTAGTGATAATAAGCGAATTGTTCTGTCACCTATCTCCTTTTCTCCCCCTGTGTGCTGTTCTGGAGGTATACCCTGACCCCCCAAAGCAGATTTGGTGAGGGAGTAGGAACACACAGGCAAAGGGGTGGGGTGGGGAATCCTGTTGAGCTAGTGGGACTCATTTCACTGGTTTCCACTAGCACAGCATCTTTGTTGGATCTGACCTTAAGACTCCACCAAATGCAGCATATGGCATTTGTATGGATTGATAGGAAAACAGTGGGTGCCAATAGGTCTATTAAAGTGTAGTACCTTCATATAGATGGAACCATATCAGTCATAATAAAATCTGGCATTGTAAAAAATCTACTCCACTACCGCTTCAAGCGTTCAATATGTAGCAGGCCTACAATTCTAGATAATTATTATATATCTATATAATAATGAGGCATCTGAAAGCAATTTCACAATACAAGAAAACACACTGGTAGTTTTCAACTTAGTTTTATTCAGAGCAGACCCACTGAAATGAATAAACACAATGAAGTAAGGTCTTTTGGGTCTATTAGGAGTAAAATATAGTTGAATATCACCTACATAAAACAATTACATATACAGTGGTACCTCGCAAGACGAACGCCTCGCAAGACGGAAAACCCGCTAGACGAAAGGGTTTTCCGTTTTGGAGGCGCTTCGCAAAACGAATTTCCCTATGGGCTTGCTTCGCAAGACGACAGCCCATAGGGAAATCTCAGGGACAGCGGGGAAGCGCGTCTTCCCCACTGTCCTCGGACCTCCTCCGAAGCCTAGCGGCGGGGCGGGGACACCTCCTCCCGCCGCCGCCAGGCTTCGGAAGGCTCCTCCGAGCTGGGCGGGGAGGGAACACCTCCCGCCGCCGCCCGGCCGGAACGGTGCTCCGAGCCGGGCGGGGAGGGAAGACCTCCCGCCGCCGCCCGGCCTGGAACGGTGCTCCGAGCCGGGCGGTGGGGAGGAAGACCTCCCCGCCGCCCGGCTCGGAACGGTGCTCCGAGCCGGGCGGGGAGGGAACACCTCCCGCCGCCGCCCGGCTCCGGAACGGTGCTCCGAGCCGGGCGGGGGAGGGAAGACCTGCCGCCGCCGCCCGGCTCGGAACGGTGCTCCGAGCCGGGCGGGGGGAGGGAAGACCTGCCGCCGCCGCCCGGCTTCGGCACGGTGCGCCGAAGCCGGGCGGGGGAGGGAACACCTCCGCCGCCGCCCGGCTCGGAACGGTGCTCCGAGCCGGGCGGGGGAGGAAGACCTGCCGCGCGCCCGGCCGGTGCTCCGGCCGGGCGGGGAGGAGACCTCCGCCTCGCCCGGAACGGTGCTCCGAGCCGGGCGGTGGGGAGGAAGACCTCCCCGCCGCCCGGCTCGGGACGGTGCTCCGAGCCGGGCGGGGGAGGGAAGACCTCCCGCCGCCGCCCGGCTCGGAACGGTGCTCCGAGCCGGGCGGGGGGAGGGAAGACCTTCTGAAGGCGGGCGGGGGCGAAAGTCTTTGCTCCCCCTGCCTGCCTGTCCCGGAGGGCTTTTGAAGGCGGGGAGCAAAGACTTTCGCCCCCGCCCGCCTTCAGAAGAGGTCCAGGACCTCTTCTGAAGGCTGGCGGGGGCAAAGTCTTTGTCCCCCTGCCTGCCTTCCCAGGGGCTTTAAATTGCCCCGGACAGCGGAGAAGTCCTCCGCTGTCCCGGGTGATTTTAAAATGCCGCCCGCCAGCATTTTAAGATCGCCCGGACAGCGGAGAAGTCCTCCGCTGTCCCGGGGTTTTAAAATGCTGGGGGTGGGAAGAAAAGCCCTTGCCCCCCAGCCTTCAGAAGAGGTCCGGGGACAGACTGTCCCCGGACCTGGTCTGAAGGCGGTTTCCCTAGGAACGCATTAATTGATTTTCAATGCATTCCTATGGGAAACCGTGCATCGCAAGACGAAAAACTCGCAAGACGAAGAGACTTGCGGAACGAATTAATTTCGTCTTGCGAGGCACCACTGTATAAAAATAATTTCAAATCTACTACTGATAGCAACCGGGGTAAATAAATGTCCACTTAGAAGTTTTGCTGAAATAGGAAAGTGTTCAACAAGTGTCAAAAAGACAGTAAAAGGGCCTGAAATGCAATGAAATTGAGCTCAAAGGGGTAAGGTCCTGATTGTTACAACAGGTGGAATGGCTCTCCGGATAAGATAGTATCTGCAGGACGTCCTCTCCTGTAGAGTGCAGTGATTGATTGGGATGCAGCAATCTTTCAGGTATTCTGGTCCCAAGCTGCATAGGACTTCTGGACATCTGTACCATCTCCTTGAACATAGCCTGTTAGCTACTTGGCAGTCAGTGCAATTCTTACAACAGCAACATTCTGTCCATTTCCTACATTCCGCAGTAGCTGCAGCTTCCAAGCAGAGAAAGAGGGGGGCAGGGGGAGCCCATCACCCCTGGCACCACGATCCCGGTGGGCTGCCATTGCGTCTGCCCCCCCCACTGGGCGCCATGCCCCCGCAGACAGCGTGCCATGCCCCCAGGACGCGCACCATGCTCCAGGCAGCGCGCTATGCCCCCAGGACGTGCGCCATGCCCCTGGGACACGCACCACACCCCTGGGATGTGTGCCACGCCCCCGGGATGCACACCGGCCACGCTCCCGCCTACTTTCTGCCCCCAGTGCTGGAGCAAGAATCTCCGCCACTGCTTCCAAGTGAAGCTTAAGAGCAGCCTCACATAGAGCACATTGCAGTAATGGAGGTTACCAGCACATGGGCAACGGAAACTGCCAGCTGCTTTGGCCTTTACTTTTACTTACTGAGCCAAGAGACACCTAGTATTAAGCTATTAATTCAGAGCTCTGCAGGAATGGGCTTCCCAACCGATGGTGTTCTTGACACCATAGTGAATACGAAGGCACTTTTTGAAGCTTCATCTGTGTATAGGGGGCTCCTACTTATTTCAGACGTAGGAAAGGGGGTGCAATCCTTTCATCTTTAAGACTAATCTCATTGATTCAAATGTGACTTATGCATAGGTAACTAGGCATGTAATGACATACCAATAAACAATAATGATTTTAATAATCTAAAGAGTATTGTAAATTAGCCTTATGCATATAAGATTTCTTACAAAACATTGTCACATCTGATCTTATTCCTCAATTTCCTGTGTCTGTTGTGTCATAAAAAATATTCAAACTGCTATAATAATAGAAAATCACCATTTGGAAAGGTCATCAGAATTTATTTGACATACTTTTTAGAGTATGATGTCTTGTGAGATGTTTCCTGGCATTGTTCATGTGGCTTCAGATTGGGAGATTATGTCAAGCAGAAAAGAAACAGCTGTAGCTGTAGCACATTTTGCTTCTCATTTCATCTCGGCAGAATAAGCAGCAGCTGAAGAAAGTTTCACTTGCTTTAACAGACCTTTAAAACTGGGACTGTGTCAGGAGCAGTTTCAGTTTTCATTTTACTGTTGGCATTATTACTCAAGCTTTGTATGAACAGTTGGATGAGCACAGTTGTCATTGTCTATGAAGTTACTGCAGTTTTACAATGGCTTTTTTAATTAATCTAACTTTTACTATCTACTGCATATTATCTTTATGTTTATTAAAAAAGAAAGAAAAGAAAATCTGTCAGGGTTATAAAGTTGAATAAGGTGGATTTATGTAGCCACAGCCTTTGTGGATGATTTTTATGAGTTTTATTAGCAAGCTAAGCAAGGTGTAGTATATAATAAAGTTTTTACTGTGCTCTTTTTCTGCAGTGATTTTCAACTTTCCCCTGATATTTCAGATGTTTATAAAATAATTGCACTCATGGTTAAATCACATTGCACTACAAAGTGTCTGCAAGAAGTACTGTAGAACCTTTTAAATGAGATTTTTTATTTTTTTTTGGTATTCAAAAGCATTTCCATGGGGCTTCCTTTCACAGCTACCTTTTTTTTACAATGGCAACACATAATATTGAAGTATCATATACATGCTTTATATTGACCCAAGTTGAAAATGAAAAATAAGGCTTAGAGGATAGCACTTCTAACAATCAAACACACTTTCTGCATGTTGAAGATGTTTTCAGCTCTATGGCTGCATTCATATTGAGCATGAACCACAGTAAGCCCCCAATTTGTATGCTCATCCCCTTCCCATTCTTCCTCTGATGTGGCCACAAGGAGATTGGAAGCTTCCACTTCCATTTTAAATTAGCCACTGTTTAGCATGCCATTCAAATCCTAAACCAGAGGTCTTCAGCTATTTTGGCTTATGCTCATACTTTTGAGTATGAGCACAAAAATTTGCAACCAGAAAAATGCACACCCACAAATCACCACACATTTGTGTGTGAGGTTTAAAAAGGTAAAGGTAAAGGACCCCTGACAGTTAAGTCCAGTCCCGGATGACTCTGGGTTTGCGGCGCTCATCTCGCTTTACAGGCCGAGGGAGCCGGCGTTTATCCATAGACAGTTTTTCCGGGTCATGTGGCCAGCATGACTAAGCCACTTCTGGCTCAACAGAGGACCAAAACCAGAGCAGTGCATGGAAACGCCGTTTACCTTCCCGCCGGAGCGGTACCTATTTATCTACTTGCACTTTTTTTGGTGCGCTTTCGAACCGCTAGGTTGGCAAGGAGCTGGGACCGAGCAACAGGAGCTCACCCCGTCACGTGAGGTTTATTAGGAAGCTAATGTAACATTATCACCATCACCATCAGTATTATAAAAGAAAATAAATGTATGCTTTAGTTGAGATTCCTGCACTGCAAGGGATTGAATTAGATTACCCTAAGGGCTCCTTCCAACTCTATACAATTCTGTGATTCAATGAAAGGGAAGAAACTTGAGAGCAGAGCTGGTTTTCATTGGGTCAGAGCTGTTCTCTGGCTAACCTTCCACTTTCTTTCTCTCTCTCTCTCTCCTTCCAAGGGAGAGAATTTAGCATTGAGATGAACACTAAGTGTCCCAATCTGGAAGATTAGGTAATGAGCACATTTGGAATCTTGAGAGAGTGCCTTGGAAGCTGTCATAAAATGGCTGCCGTGGGGAGGGTGGGGGGCCCATTCACAAAAATGGCTGAAATACTGTGTGTGTGAGAGAGAGAGAGAAAGAGAGAGAAAAGCAAACTACCCGGAGAAAGAAACATGCCACTTGATACCACACAAGTGGTAATGAACATTATTTTAAATTACTTCATATATTCTCTTTCTACACAAGCATGGGCGATGCAGTATAAAAAGTGAGAGTGAAGACCTCATTTCTTGTTCAGAAGGTCGGAGCCTTCACCTGGACCTCAGCCTGCTGGGTATAACAGCATGATTGATAATTTAATGATTCATTAACCTGTGTCTCTACCTTTCAATGTGAAAGAGGTACTTGTAAATTTATCATTGGCCTTAACTTAAATGGGAAAGGTTTCAATCCCAAATCAGCATTTGCATTTTTCAAAGGTGCATTTTCTTGCCTATTGGTATGAATCCATTGTTATCTTTTCATTTTTAAAGACATATGCTTGGCAGGGGGTTGGACTCGATGGCCCTTGTGGTCTCTTCCAACTCTATGATTCTATGATTCTATGATATTATATATTGACTCTGCTAACACAGGCAGATTATAATTTTAGTGTACATCGGGTTACAGATGCTTCAGGTTACAGACTCCGCTAACCCAGAAATAGTACCTTGGGTTAAGAACTTTGTTTCAGAAATCACATGGCGGCGGTGTGGCAGCAGTGGAAGGCCCCATTAGCTAAAGTGGTGCTTCAGGTTAAGAACAGTTTCAGGTTAAGAACAGACCTCCAGAATGAATTAAGTTCTTAACCCGAGTTACCACTGTAAGTGATATGAAAGAAAGAAAGAAAGAATCAAATTCTGGCATTGAATGAATCAGTTAATTTTGGAGCCTTTAACAGCGTTAAACAACTCATCAAAGAAAAAAATTATTTGGACTCTAAATGGAGGAACCTTCATTCACTTTCCCAGATGGAATACTCATCCAATATATGAAGCATCTTTTGGGCTGGAGCAGTACTTTATTAATCTCACACTGGCACCACTTAGAAAAGCATTTACAGCTTTGCCTATTCAGTGTATGCCCTCCCCATATCTAATGGGAAGATTCAATAGCACCCCTGTGTACCAAAGTCTCTATATCTGTGAGTCTGGAGACGTGGAGGACATTCAACACTATTTGTTACAATGCCCTTTATATACACCCCCTAGATGTGCTAAAATGTTTAGTAAATGTTTAGTACAGTCCCCAAATGTTTTCAAATCATTCAGTTGATGGGTACTTTGAATTCAGCCTGTCTTCCCCTTCCCCTCCTTCCTGGACAATACTATAATTGTAGATGTAATATAGATTTTTTAGTGAGCAACAGGAAATCCTGTGGCTTTCTTTCTGACATATCGTACATTGGAAGGGCAGACACTGTAAAGCTGGAGACTTGAGTCCAGTCATGGTAACAGGAGAACTTTATTGATATTCAGGAACCCCTAAGGCCAGAGGCAGAGAGTGAAAGCTAGCATTACATGTTTATCTTTTTCCTTGGGGATGCAAAATTATCCAAGTCCTCTAAGTGAATTTCCACTTCAGTGATTCAAGAATAACCACAAACAAGGGAAGGTGCACTTTATGAGGTCCAGAGAGGCCTAGGCCACTTCCATCTTTTGAGGACCGTAGCTATAATAAAAAATATTTAAAAATGTCAATACATGAACACAATATAAGGTGCATGCACACACACATATGTGAGAGGTTGGTTAATATAATCAGCTGATCTGAGAAGACACATCCATCATCTCATCTTGTACCATCAGAGCCAATATATTTTAATGAATATTTATTGACATTTTATGCTCTTTAATATGATAACCTCTATATCAGTTACCAAAAAAGTAAGTAAATAACTTTTCTTATTTTCTTAAATTTGAAGCTTAAAGCTGAGAGTGTGCCACATTTTTGTCCAATGTGCATAAAAAGAAAGAAAGAAAGAAAGAAAAAAAGAGAGAGTTTGGACTTGATATCCCGCCTTTCACTCCCCTTCAGGAGTCTCAAAGCGGCTAACATTCTCCTTTCCCTTCCTCCCCCACAACAAACACTCTGTGAGGTGAGTGGGGCTGAGAGACTTCAAAGAAGTGTGACTGGCCCAAGGTCACCCAGCAGCTGCATGTGGAGGAGCAGAGACACGAACCCGGTTCCCCAGATTACGAGTCCACCGCTCTTAACCACAACACCACACAAGTTGCAGATTTAATTGTTTGGCTCTTGGGGAGGGCAGAGTCTCGTCACAATCCCTTAGGCGTTTGCCTTGGCCCATCATTATGAGTCTTTTAAAATAGCAGTGCTTAAAAGATAATAAAAGGTAGTAGAAGTAGAAATACAACTGGATGTGAGCTAGCGGAAAACCAGTAAGTCGAAGGCTGCTTCCAAGGCTGCCGGAGACTGCAATTATGTGCTCATTAAAGCTGATTTACGATGCGGGCTTTACAGTTATTAGCAATGTGAACTCCTGGCATGGGCTCCAACAACCTGATACAGTCTTCATCAAAAACTTGAAAGGCTGGGAGCCACAGCACAAATTTTAGGGAGGATTCGAAATGAACTCCGGCAAATGCGTCTTACCTCGTCCAGCCTCTCCCTCCAAGTTGCAGACCTTATCAAATACCCCAAATCAACAAGTGTCTGAAGTTGAGGTCCCCTTTGAGTTTGAGGCCCAGGTTGAATCACCCTCTTGGCTTCCCCCTGATTGGCCATGGTCCCATGATTAGGTAATCTGGAAGAGGAGGCAAAAGAAAGACCCTGCCTATCCAGTCCAGTGGGAGAAGTCATCCTATTGAGTAAATGTCCTGCAGTCCATCCTTCCAACAGAAATGCATGGTCAAACCAATGTCCATTTTTTTTAAAGCTACAGCTAACTTGTGAAATAACCATTATAGTCATGCACCTCAAAAATTGTACCATATGTCCAAATAGTTCTGTTATATAAGGAAAAAGCAGGGACAGAATGAGGAAATGGAACAAGAATGTTATAATCCTCTTTCATTTTTTCCCCAGTTTTGTGAAATTTTATTTTGCGCTTTCTGATCCTTTGAAGACGTAGAATATGAATTGAGGTTTTAAGTTACCATATTTTTTGCTCTATAAGACTCACTTTTTCCCTCCTAAAAAGTAAGGGGGAATGTGTGTGCGTCTTATGGAGCGAGTGCAGGCTGTGCAGGTATCCCAGAAGCCAGAACAGCAAGAGGGATTGCTGCTTTCACTGCCCAGCGATCCCTCTTGCTTTTCTGGCTTCTGAGATTCAGAATAGTTTTTTTCTTGTTTTCCTCCTCCAAAAACTAGGTGCGTCTTGTGGTCTGGTGCGTCTTATAGAGCGAAAAATACGGTATATCTTCCTCGTATTTTGCAGTTGTAGAATGTGATTGCTTTAGGTGTATTCCTTGTGTTCATAAAATTGAACAACTACCAGAAGGGTTTCAGAATGAAATGGCTACAAATGAGCATCTTTGTTATGCATGGAGATTCAGATACTGAGATTTTTTTTAAATTTTTTGGTATTTTTAATCTCCAGGGATGATAGTAGTTTGAGAGGGACTTGTATGTTCTTTATCTTTTTTAAATGAAATCACTATTTAACAATGTAGAGTGACAATTTTGCAAACATTATTGAGTTTCGAAACCCTCTAATACTCTCTTTTTATTGCTTAAGGTATACTATATAAGGTCAAATTCTCTCCTGACATTGTTAAATTACAATCAATTTTTAATAAAGCCTATTTAGCCTGGTTAATTAGAGTTAATAGTAAATTTTCTAGCCTGCTGACTTATCTTTAGAAAATATTTGACCACACTGTTCAATGAAATTGACTCCACATGTATTTCTTACTTATGTGAATCTCATTATGTAAGAAAAAAGCATTGGTTCCAGCTTGTTGTGTTTACCATCTCTGGTTAATTTGCAGACACAAATATTGTTCAGAACCTATATAAGCACTGAGGGTTACTTATATGCTTGCTTTTTTGTGTATTTGTTCTAGGATTCAGAGTTTCCTGAAGATATTCAAGTGAATCCCTACCTTGCTCGTGCAAAAGAATGTTTGCGCCCTCTAAAGTCTGGAATATATAGGTTGAGCAACACCTTGAAAGTACATGATCTGGCAGTGAGCTGGTAGGAACTACCTTCTAAAATTGCTTACTTATGTATTTGATTTTTTAAACTAACATAGAGAATAATTAACTTTTAATGCTAGTTGCCAAATACTTACTCGTAACAATGCAACCATTTCTATATGCAATGAAATAAAAGAAATGGATGGGTAGAGACCCCGTGAATAAATGGTACAGCGGGAGGTGAAAATGACCATGGAGAATGTAGGTTCTATGAGGCCCTTTTGTGTAGAGCTATTTCCCCTTGCATCTGAAATAACTCCCACTCCCAAATATTATATGCATTTATTTCTTTTGATATACACAGACACACACACATACACCAGCTAGTCAGCAAGAGATTTAGAGTGATCTCTGACACTGGCCCTATTGAGAGTGGCTGCCAGACTTTGACTCTCTGCACTTTTCTAGAGGAAAAACATCCTGGGCCTGGAGGCAGCTCAGACAAAAGCTGCTTCTGGAAATGTTACAAGATTTGAAATCAAATTCTGATTCTGATTCTAAAAATCTGGAAACCCCAAAATGCAACGATAATATGAACGAAGGAGTTGTGGTTCTCAGGAAACGGGTAGCAAAAATAATTTCATTTGGAAACAGAGACTTAGTGCTACTGTTTTGATTGCTTGAAGGCTGAAAGGCAGAAGGGCTTTCTATATAAGGTTGCTAGAGAGAAAGCAAAGAAGAGGAGCTTTTGTTTCTTTAGCTATGGATAGCTGCAACTAGTTCAAAAAGCAGAAGACAGCTAGTGAGCTCCAGAGGCATAGTGAAGACATGAGTTCTTCAGCAGTCACGCAAGTAGCACCAAATGTGTCTGCTTTAAAAGAGGCAGAAAATATCCAGCAATAGACAGGGCCAGGGCACGAGAACATCCCAACTGAAAATACTGAGGAAGCTATCGGTACTTTCCAACCTGAACAACAGGAAAAGCTGAATATGGCAAACTACATATCCAAAGCAACTCCTCCATCACAATGCTGGACCCCCACAGAAAGTTATAATAATTATTATTTATCAAATTTGTCTTTCATCCTTAGATCTCAAGGCGGCTTACAGCATAAAAATACAAGATAAAAACACAAAATACATAATACAAAACAAAACAATACCCCCCTCCACCTCCCTCCCTCCCACAAACACATTTGAAAGGATATAGGATACCTGGTTGAAAAGGAATGTTTTTGCCTGGTGCCTAAAGGTGCATAATAAAGGCGCCAGCTGAAACTAATCAGAAACTAATTGGCATTCAGTGCAGTCAGACCAGGATCCGTGTAATATGCTCGAACTGTCTTACAGCCCTACATATAGCATGCTGCAGTAATCTAACCTAGAGCTTACCGGAGCATAGACAACAGTAGTTGGGATATCCCTGTCCAGATAGGGGCACAACTGGACCACTAGCCAAAGCTCAGAGAAGGCACTCCGCACCACTGAGGCACCTGAGCCTCAAGCAACAGCAAAGGATCCACAAGTACTCCCAAGCTATGTACCTGTTCCTTCAGAGGGAGTGTAACCCCATTAAGAGCAGGCAACCTTCCATCCATCTGGTCTAGGGAACCAGCAACTAACACTGCCTCCGTCTTATTTGGATTGAGTTTCAGTTTGTTGATTTTCATCCCATTATTGTTGCAAGACAATGGTCCAGCACATCCGCTGCCACACCTGCAGATGTAAATGACAAGTAGAGCATATAGATGTATTCAGAAACTCTGAATAACCCCACTCAGTGGTTTCATGTAGATGTTAAACAGTATAGGGGATAAAATCGAACCCTGAGGAATCCCACACTGAAGTCTCCCCAGGACCAAAGAACACTCCTCAAGCAGCATCCTATGGAAATGTTCATCCAAGTAGGACTGGAACTACCACAAAGCGGTGCCAACTATCGCTAACTTGGACAGCTGCTCCAGAAGGATACCATGGCTGATGGTATTGAAAGCCCGTGAGAGGAGAAATAACAGGGACACATGTCCCCTGTTTTCCTCTGACACATGTCATCATAAAGGGTACCCAAAGCAGTTTCTATGTCAAACCCAGGCCTAAACCCCAATTGAAATGACACAAGTACTATATCACAACTCAAGCAACACCAAGATAAGATAGCTTTTGTACCAGTTGTTGTGCACCTCTTGCACATCAGCTTTTATTGTTTGTCTTGTGATCTTAAGCAAAAATTCTTAAATGCTGGAGCCAGTCACCCAAGCTCTGCAGTTTGTGAAGTTAGATGTAAGGGAACTTAGTGAGAAGACCTTCAGCTCAATAAAAGAGATGTGCACAGAACTGGCAGATGACATGGATGTAGAGCTTTAAGCACCTAGAGAAACCACACAGCTAGTAATACTAATCACCATCACCATCGCATATACAAATAAAGTTGTTGAACTTTTTTTTTTACAAAAATGCCCCCCAAAAGTGATTGACTTGCCAAAGAACCAGGACAAAGCTCTGACTTTCATAACTCCCCCCCCCCACACACACATCAATTTTGCCTTTGAAATCTAGGTAATAACTAACAAATAGTTATTAATAACTAACAAATAGTTATCTCAATTCTCCTGGGTGCAGGGCATCAGTAAGGGTTACTAAATTAACATAACCTTGGCTTTCTTGACTTCCTTGTCTCAGCTCTCAACACTTCTATGCACAAAAACATGCCATTTTGTGGGGAAGTCAGATTCAGCATCTTTGAGACATTGGTGTATTTAAGTTTCTCAGCTGTGATGGGATGATGAGCTGCTTGTGCGTAAAATAGTATCCCCTCAGAGTTTGTTCAAGTCCACAAACCTCTGTCTGTGACGGAGCCCCTCAGACATGGCTCCTCTAGTCACTAGCAGATTCCGACAGTGGTTGCTTTCGGAATCGCTTCCAACATAAAAGCTCCTTAACGGAAACACGTCTTCTGGACTCTCTGCGTGACAGTTTCCGGCGAGGAGTGGGTGTTCCTACAGGAGGTCCTGAAACCTCCCCACTGTTTTCGCTGGAAGTGTCTCTGAGCCATCCCTCCAGCTCACTTTCCCTCAGCTCAGCTCCTCTCCCCTACTGGTTCCCTCTTCAGCTGCTGAGTCTCTCCCAACCTGTGTGAGCCCTTTCACCTCCCTTCCTTCCGATGGCAGTTCCCTGACATCCACCTCCCCTCCAGGGCCCCTTTCACCCCCTCTCGCCCCCTCCTCTACGGGCGGTGAGGAGGCAAAACCCGGAATGAACTTCCTTCATCTTCCGATGTCTCGAACACTTCTCTCCACCTGTTGCGGTTCCTGGTCTCGAGTACTCCTCCTCCTCAGAGTCCATCTCCCTTCCCCTTCCGAGTCCGGGAATCCTTCCAACTCCTCCTCCTCATCAGTGGTCCCAAAGTATTCCTCCGGAACCTCTCCACAGGCTGAGGTTTCCTTGGGAATCTTTGATGGAACGTTTCTATCAATACCTCGTCATTGATATCTTCGGCCATTACCCAAGTGTTTTCTGACTCCGGTTCTCCTTCCCACGCTACCAAATACTCCACCTGATCCCCCTTCCACCTGGCGTCGAGGATTTCTGCCACATGGCTGCTGCATTCTCTTTCTTCTATGACCGGTCCCCGAGTGGCCATCCCTTCTCGTCCCCCTTCGTACGGTGACAGTAACGACCTGTGAAATACTGGGTGCAGTTTCATGTGGTTGGGTAACCGGAGCCTGAAAGCCACTGGGTTGACCTGTTGAATGACCTCAAAGGGACCCAACCTCCTGGGTCTTAATTTCTTACAACCTCCTTTGAACGGCAACCCTTGGGTTGACAGCCACACCCTATCTCCCACCCTTATGGTTTCACCTTCCCTTCGGTTCTTGTCTGCCTGCCTCTTGTATTCTTCCTTCGCCCTTTCTAAGTTGAGTTGGAGCTGACGATGGATTGCTTCCATTTCTTCCACAAAATGCTCGGCTGCCGGGACGCTCCATCTCTCCCCATCTCCCCTGGGAAAGCCCTGGGATGACACCCATAATTAGCCAAGAAGGGGCTCATCCCTGTGGACACATTCTCGGCATTGTTGTAGGCAAATTCCGCCAGCGCCAACTTTTCTACCCAGTCATTCTCTCTGTCATTGACATAACACCTCAGGTATTGCTGGAGGACACCGTTTGCTCTTTCCGCCTGCCCGTTGGTTTCAGGATGCCGGGCAGTCGAAAAATTGACCTCCACCTGCAGTAAGCTCATGAGCTTCCTCTAGAACCTGGAAGTAAATTGTTTTCCTCGGTCTGAGACCACCCTCAATGGCACCCCGTGCAACCTAAAAATGTGTTCTACAAATAACTTCGCTGTCTCTTCCGCCGTGACTGCATGCGAGCAAGCTACAAAGTGGCACATCTTTGTTAGTAGGTCTACCACCACCATGATGGCTGTTTTCCCTTTGGACTTCGGCAGATCAGTCATAAAATCTATCGACACTGCCTCCCAAGGTCGTTCTGGGGTTGGTAAGGGTTCTAATAGCCCCGCCGGCGCCCGCCTTTCCCCTTTGGCTCGCTGGCATTGCTCGCACCCTCTTACATACTCACGTACATCTTCCCTCACCTTAGGCCACCAAAATTCCCTGGTGACCAACCACATGGTTTTGTGTTGTCCAAAATGCCCCGCCGTAGGGCTGTCGTGCAACTGCTTGAGTACCCTCCCCTTAAGTCTCCTTCAGGGATATACAGTGCCCCTTTGTAATACAAAGCTCCATTTCTTTCCTCGAAACCCCCTGGTTCCTCTCCCTCACCCCTAAGACCTCTGAGCTTATTCTGGGCGTATTCATAATAATAATAATAATAATAATAATAATAATAAATTTTATTTATATCCCGCCCTCCCCAGCCAAAGCCAGGCTCAGGGCGGCTAACAACAAACAAATAATCAAACAATCAAATAATCAACATTCTAAAAACATTTCATTATAAAATTAATTAAAATCAAATTAATGGCAACCGTTAAGCAAAGTTCTGTGCAGGTTGCCGGAGGTGGGAGTCAGGCTGGGCCCTGACCAAAGGCCTGGTGGAACAACTCTGTCTTGCAGGCCCTGCGGAAAGATGTCAGGTCCCGCAGGGCCCTAGTCTCTTGTGACAGAGCGTTCCACCAGATTGGAGCCGCAGCCGAGAAAGCCCTGGCTCTAGTTGAGGCCAGCCTAACCTCTCTGAGGCCTGGGACCTTCAGGATGTTTTTATTTGCAGACCGTAGGTTCCTCTGTGGGGCATACCAGGAGAGGCGGTCCCGTAGGTACGAGGGTCCTAGGCCGTATAGGGCTTTAAAGGTTAAAACCAGCACCTTAAACCTGATCCTGTACTCCACCGGGAGCCAGTGCAGCTGGTATAGTACCGGATGAATGTGGTCTCGCAGCGAAGACCCCATAAGGAGTCTCGCCGCGGCATTCTGCACCCGCTGGAGTTTCTGGGTCAGTCTCAAGGGCAGCCCCACGTAGAGCGAGTTACAATAATCCAGTCTGGAGGTGACCGTCGCGTGGATCACAGTGGCTAGGTCAGGGCGAGAGAGATAAGGGGCCAACTGCTTAGCTTGGCGGAGATGAAAAAAATGCCGCCTTTGTTATAGCTGTAATCTGCGCCTCCATAGAGAGGGAGGTCTCGAAGATTACACCCAAACTCTTAACGGACGGTGCTGGCACGAATTGCACCCTCGCAAGAGATGGGAGTTGCCCCCAATCCCATATCGTCCCGTCCCAGCCAGAGGACCTCTGTCTTCGAAGGATTTAACTTCAACCGGCTTCCGCGTAACCATCCAGCCACAGCTTCCAAACATCTGGTCAGTGTGTCTGGGGCCGAGTCAGGATGGCCATCCATCAACAGATAGAGTTGGGTGTCATCAGCATACTGATGGCAACCCAGCCCAAAACTCCGGACAAGCTGGGCGAGGGGGCGCATAAAGATGTTAAAAAGCATCGGGGAGAGTATCGCACCCTGAGGCACTCCACACACCAAGGAGTGGCGGGATGACAATGCCCCCCCAAGCGCCACCCTCTGTCCCCGACAGAGGTATTCATCCTCTGTTTCCTCTACCAGTTCTCTTTGTCCCACCAATGCCGCCCCACACACCCAGCGGTC